TGGGCTCCAAGATCACTGCAGACGGGGACTGCAGCCAAGAAATTAAAAGATGCTTGCTCCTGGGGAGGAAAGCTATGGCAAATCTAGATAGCATACTAAACAGCAGAGACATCACCCTGCCAACAAAAGTGCATATAGTCAAGGCTATGGGTTTCCCAGTTACAATGTATGGCTGTGAAAGTTGGACCATAAGGAAGGCTGAGCACTGAAGAATTGAGGCCTTTGAACTGTGGTGCTGGCGGAGACTCCTGCGAGTCCCTTGGACCGCAAGGTGATCAAACCAGTCAGTCCTAGAGGAGAGCAACCCTGACTGCTCTTTCAAAGGCCAGATTCTGAAGATGAAACTCAAATACTTTGGACACCTAACGAGAAGGAAGGACTCCATGGAGATGAGTCTAATGCTGGGAACAATAGATGGCAAAAGAAGAAGGGGACAGCAGAGAATGAGGTGGTTAGATGAAGTCACTGAAGCAGTTGGTGTGAGCCTGAGTGGACTCTGGGGGATGGTGGGGGACAGGAAGGCCTGGAGGAATGTTGTCCATGGGGTCACGATGGGTCGGACGCGACTTCCAACAACAACAACATCATCACTGTGTATGTGTATGAAAATGGACAGTGAAAAAAGCAGACAGGGGGAAAATGATGTTTTTGAAACATGGTGCTGCAGGAGATCTTTGAATTCACTGCACTGACAGAAAGGGGTCCTAGATTAATTCAAGTCTGAATGTGATAAGCAGACACTGGACTGTACTGCCCTAGCAGCCTATTATCAGATAACTTTGGAAGCTAATCAGAGACTTGTAAGATCCAAGTTATTTTCCATTGGGCTCATATTAATATTAAAGACAATGAACTTTTAACATACAGTTAAGCCAGGCATAAGAGGCAAGTTATGACCATTTTTTCAATACTGTATATCTACACACACACATACAGATACTATCTTCAGTACCTGTAGTTATTTTATTATTCCTGTATCATCGTCATTATTACAATGCTGTATTTTGTTAAGATATTTGAGTGAACACGGAAGTGTTTCTTAAGTGTTTTATATGCATAGAAAGGTGAAATAAATACATGTACTAGGATAGCCATTTGGCTTACTCATATGATTCAATTTACATACAAATTTGACTTAAGGACATTCTCAGGAACAGAACTCATCTGTAACCCCGGAGACTACCTGTAGGTCATTTTGTTATTTTATTTCTCACAGCTACCAAACAATTACCTCTAAATGGAAAGTAAAACTGCAAAAAGATATTTGCTTCTGAAAGTGGGTGGTGGAATATATGCAAACTCCCTTTGCAGTGAGATCTTCTGGCTTTAAAGTCTGACTCCAACAGTTCTTTGTGTCCTCTACATTTTCTACAGGTGTTTAAGACCCTAGGTGCTCAGGAAAGGGAAAAGAGAAAAAGTGTATCCCACTTGATTTACAGGAGCATGACATTTTGACAACTGACAAAAGAAGAGGTTTCTTTCAAAACAAGATTTTTCAAAGCAAGATAAGGCTTTATGGCAGGAAAATATGCATCCATGAAAGCTGTATACATAATGGCTGTGTATGTCCCAAAACCTCCACTCCAAACTCAAACCCCTCTCTTTAAAGGGAACCAGAGCTTTGATAGCTACTTGTCAAAGCTGATAGCCCCCTTTTGCATTTTGCTGAGCACCTACAGACTAGGGATAAAATGCAAAATGTGGGCACTGGTGAGAACCAGAAGGGGGAAGGGTGGAATTTTGCTGCAAAGGGAGAGTCAGATTCTAAAACCCTCTTTTGCTCCTAAAGATCACTTGTGTTTGGTTACACCTGACAGCCCACATGCTGACAGTTATTAAATACAACCAAATGGAGGAAATTTAGCTCTTTCCCCTTAGGTGAAGTGCTAGGGTAGGTACCTGCTGGACTATTCCATTTGTTCTCCCCCCTCACATATTAATCATCTAAGGCTTCCTATCCCTAAACCCATGCAACTACAAATGTTCACACTTGCATAAGTATAGGTAGTGTTTTAATTTAGCTTTTTGTGCAGAATTATTTTCTAATTGGCAACCAAAGGCAACCCTTTCGCTGGAGCACTTTGATGGGACTACTTGTAGTTGTCAAAAGGGGGACTGCTCGACAGCCAGCTTGCACAATCTCTGGGAAAAAAGGAGGAAAAAATTGCAGTAACCCTGAACAGCAAAAAAACCCAGTGCTAATGTTTATATTATTTGAAATATGACTATGTAAGATGCAAGCACAAAGAATAAGGCTTCAGGCTGAGTGTGGATGATTCTGCCTTTTCCAGTTCAGTCGAAGTAGCTCATTTGCTTCTAGTCAAATGGTGCTTATCCCAACGTTTCACTATCTTTTCTTTTAGATGATATCCAACCTTCACATTTCCTGCTTTGCAAGAATACTGGCCTTACTACTAGTGGTTTGATTTCTGTTGTAGCCACTGATTTTGGACCATAATGTGTCTTTTTCAGTGCCCACAACATTGCTTCTACAGGAGGACATGGTGATGCCACAGTCCTATTGTTTGAAATATGTGGGAAATGGAAAATGTCACTTTGTAAAGCTTGCCTTTCTTCTCTGTTTGGTCCATTATTCAGTCTTATTCTTTCAATTACTTTGAGTGATCAGATATTCATAATACCGAACACTTATCTTGTGTCCCAATATTAATTTCATGCATGATTAAGATCAGACACTGTTTATTTGAATATTCTAGAATATTCTGTAATAGAATATTCACTGTTCTATTAAATATAACTGCAGGGCAATACCAGCGCTGTGAAAAATGAGTGCTCCTGAGTGGTAGCTTCTTATGATAGATTAAAAGCAAAAGAAGCAAACTACGATAGCATTAGAGGTCTTATTATTTATCCTTTCTATATTTTAATTATTTTCCAAGGCTTGCAGCAGTAGTCCTGTGTCTAATAATATAAATATATAACTAAAGTAATAATACTTTATTACAATACTTTTTAATAATAAAGTATTGCTCTAAAAGGTTCTAATTAGAATTATTTTGTTTGTTTGTTTAGATTTATATCCTGCTTTTTCCTTACAATAAACTCAGAGCATCTTACGTAAGTCTCCTCCTCCTGTTCTCAGTCTTATCCTCACAACAACGGCCCTGTGAGGTAGGTTGGGCTGAGAGTCTGTGATGGACCAAAGTCACCCAGTTGGTTCCATGGCTGAGTGGGGACTAGAACCCAAGTTGCCTGAGTCCCAGTCATGTGCTCTTATCTAGTACAGATCTAGATCTGACACAAGGATGAGATCAAAAGTAGGCCAAACAGATAATGGGAGAAATGCTTAGGGTTTAAAATTATTTTTCATATTGATTCAAAAGTAAACAATGACTTTGAATTCCAGAAAATATTTAGTTTTATTTTTGCCATCTTGGGCGAAGTAACAACTCCCTTTTCTCTCTAATTTTCTTTTGAAGGTTGGTTTGTGTGTGAAAGCTATATAGTTATTTTAAGTCAGTGTGGTGTAGAGGTTAGAATGTTGGACTAGGGCTGGAAAGATCTGTATTCAGGTTCCTACTTGGACACAGCAAGCTTGGGCCAGACATGCATTCAGCCTTGCTTACTTCACAGGGTTGTTGTGAGAATACAATGGAATAGGAGAAACAATGTACACTGCCTTGAGTTCCATGGAGGAAACACAGGAAATTAGTATAAATATTATTATTATTTTACTTTAAAATAAGCATGTTTTCAGTGGATCTTTCATGTGCACGTGTGAGCTTGTAAAAGATGGTCTCCTCCAGGCTGTAATCATAAACAGAGTTTCCTAGGAGTAAGCACCATTGAATTCAGTGAGACTTACTTCAGAGTAAAAATAGATAGGCTAGGGCTACAGTGTTAGTTTTGCTTAATGTCCACATAACATACTGATATGTTCAAATGTTAGAAGTAGCAGCTTTGTCATGATTGTGTGTGCATTTAGAATTAGATCCTGGGATCTAACATATTATGTGCATGGAATAAATATTTCACTGCAATATATGTAAAGTGATGTGGCATGAATGGCAGGACAGATCATTCAGTTCTGAAATACTAATTTTGTGGGTACTATGTTAACACTCTTGTTGGAGAGCCCTGGTGTATCACTCCAGGGTCTTAAGGGTATTTTTAAATTGAATTAATATTTATTAGTTTCCCTGGGCTCTGTAGTAGTAGTAGTATTTTTGCCAAAAGCATCACCTTATGTCTGAGTAGAGCTCATAATTTAAGCAAATACTTAAGGGAGAGAAAGAAACCTAAGAAGTGTTTCAATATTCTATAACTAGTTTTTATGTAAGTTTGTGTTCTATTACAGGAAAGAAACAATTCATGATATTTGTAGCCCATTTATTTATATTACGGTGTTGATTCATTTGGATGAATTTTTGTTGGCATGCTTGTTGTAAACATACTAACATGGTTGCATATAATATGATTAAATTTAACCATAACTGCATAAGCGATTTGTCTGGTCTTGGAATGTTCCAGTTGAAAGAGGGCATTTACTCGCTTATGATTTCAGACAATGTCCTGAGATGTTTTGAATGGTTCCTTTGGAAATACCTTGCATGACCAGATACTTTATTAACAGAGAAATCATTCATTATTTCACTTTTTTGGGAACAAAGAGCTAAAAACACATTCCCCTCCTTGTCATTTTCACTTCAAAGTTATCTATATGTTTTAACTCTCAACTGTGAAATGATCGATGATTTATTTATTTAGAACTTTTCTATATAAATAGACTCTTATCAAATAGTCTCAGGATGGTTTTACAATAAAACAAGTAAAGTACAGCATCATTTCTATACAGTGAAACCCCAATTGAAATAGCAATTTAAACCTTAAAATACTGGAAAAATAAAGAGGTTTTATCCTGGCATCAAAAAAAAAAATAAAGTGTCAGTGCCAGATGCATCTCCCTTGGGAGTGTATTCCATAACTGGGGCACCACCACAGAGAAGGCCCTTCTTCAGGCAGCCACTCTCCTAATCTTCTTCAAGGAGGTCTCCTGAAGAAGGACCTCCGACCCAGATCTTAAGGGGCATGCAGGCACAATTAACTACCGAGAAGATAGTAATTTTAAGTACAAAAAGTATTGTCAACAAGCCTATTCAAATATGCATATAATTGCTTTGCCTTAACAATTCCCATTTTTGAAATCATTTTAATGTATACTTATAAAGTGTTAAGGACAATAAGTTACTGCTATACAATTTTCTACCCCACAAATATTTCTTCTGGTCTGGAGAAAAAAGCACAGCCTTTGTAAATGTTATTGCCTGCTTACCTGGAGATAATTCCCACCTGTCACAGACCAGCAGATAAGTAGCCATTTTCAAGCAATGCCCTGATATTTTTTAGCATCTTGTTTAAATTCTGTGGCTCTTTTACATGATGTTATCTGTTCCTGTGCTGTTTTGTCATTTTGTATTTTATTTTAATTTTTCAGCTGTTTATATTGCATTATACTGTATTTACTGTTCATAATCTTCCCAGAGAAATGATATTAGCAGGCAGCTAAAATAAATTATTGAAGTCATTTGCCTGGTTTTAAGGAAAATTTAGTTAGCTGAAATTGCCTTCTTGGAATTGCTAGGGTACCACATAATTCCATGTCTAATGAATTCATTATGTCAGTGATTATCTGCTGAACAAGAGCTAAGACTTATGTGGATGGACTCTTCTAGTATTTTCAGTATGCACATAATAAGATCTTTTAGCATTTTCCATAGTCTAGTAAGTGTAGATATTTCTTTGGAAGCTAAATCTTCTAAATGGGCAAGTTCTTCAACATTCAATGCATATTGAAATGCTAATCATTATTACTGTTTTTAATTCAGAGTGTTCACTTTTAAAAATTGTTTGCTACAGAGAGTAAAGGTAAAGAGACTGCTTCAATGAAAGCTGACCATTTGAGGGCCCGAAACATGAAGAGGTATATTAATCAGCTTACTGTAGCAAAAAAGCAGTGTGAAAAGCGAATACGACTTCTGGGAGGTCCGGCTTATGACCAGCCAGAAGATGGGATCTTTGAGGATAGTGATGGCCCTCAGAGCCAGAAGGTAAGTGTCCACTGGAAATGTGTGCATGTAAAACACCATACTGCAATTTTGGTATCTTTTGTATGCATACCGACTACTGTGCAGATGCCCTTCCACTTAAGGCCCTTTTGGAAGTTGCTTTTAGTAGCATGGGAGATGGTGTAGCAGAACACATTCCTTAAGGAGTAGGCAGGCAGAGTGGTACAGTACCCCCTGCCCCTTCCCTCTTCCTGCTGGGGAGAAAGAAGAACACGGCAGGAAGCAATATCTCTGTTTCTGCCACCCAGTGGAGTGTGTGCTCAGCAGAGAGGTGACTCTGCCAGGTGAGCGGGGCATGACCTGCCTGGTGCTGCCAGTGCCTAGCCTTGCCGCTTTCCAGGAGCTTGGGAAGGAGTATGTGGCAGATACTGCCTTGTTCCCTTCCTAGCACATGCCTCTAAGGCACTACACCAGTCTTCTGCAGGGGAATGCAGGGTAGCAGTCCCTCTCTACTGGCATCTACTGCAGGAATGCAGGGTAGGGAAGCAGATGACAACTGCTGAAAGCGCCAAATGGGCTGTTCCTGCAGCTTTCATCCCCTGTATCCCTCAGTGCACCTGCGGCATCCCTTGGGATACTGGCAAGAGGACTGAATGAAGGGGAGGAGGCAGCATAGTATCCCCCACTGTACCTAGTTCTCTGCTGGGTAAAGGGAATTTTAGCCACAATGAATGGTTGAAATTTCCAAGGGGACTAGTGTGTTGTTCAGACTTGGTCAGAAATTCCCAAAAGAGCAGGGTGGCTCAGGAATTGCAATTTCCAGGTAACAAGATTCTTGATTTTCCTGTTCAACAAAGGGGAGAGATGTCTCCTAGACTTAAGATGGAGCTAAATGCCTATAACTGTGTTGTAAAACTTGGGGTTCATTGGCTATTGAAGTGTGCTAGAAGTTTCCCTCATTCCATACATGAGCATGAGGAAGCAGTGTATGGTATTTATGATACTATTCGAGAAAATAATTCTAGAAAAAGTATTACCTCACTTACCTTTCAAAAATGTAAAAATGCTTGCTTTATACAGATGTCTCAAAGTAGATTTCCTGTCATAATTTAAGCTAAGTAGATTTTATGGGTTGAATGTTAAGAACACACCTAAATTAAGATGTTTTCCCCAATTTTTGCAACATTTTCTAGCTTGCTGCCTTGCCTTTACTTTGTGAAACACATTTGCTGCTACTAGTACTGGGCTTCACTTCAAACAGAGGCACTGAATTGAGAGTGTGGGGTAGGGGGCAACAGAGTTAGATTTTGAAGAGAGCGGTGGAAGTGATTGTTGGCCTATTAAGGTCATTTGGTAACTTTAGTTAAAAAGGTATGTTAAAGTTTCCCATTTGTTCCCCTCAAAAATAGTGAGAGAATGGACACTGATGCCAGTACTAATACAAGAACCACATGAATGTTTCTGTCAAACCTGGGACTCTTTTTATCATTGGCTAGAGAAATGGGACTATGCATAGATTTAAATATGTTTATAGTTTAACATAAAAAGAAAAAATGTGGGGGGCTGACCCAGTAGGTCTGATGTTTTTGATGATTGATGCTTTTTAGTTTTTTTTTGTTAGGTATATATTAAGAATAAAACTTATTCTAAAAAAAACCAAACCACATGAATGTTTGGTAGGGAGATGAAAGCTATTCTGTTCCATTTTGTCTTTATCTAGCTATCTACCACAATTAAATTGTTGCTAGGATTTTTTTTTTTTTTTAGAGCTGATGTATTTACTTTTGAGATGTATCACTTTGTGATTAATTTTTAAAATTTATAGAGTTGAATTACTAAGGTCCAAGTCTTACTTTTAAAAACAGGACTTGAGGACAGAAATTTAAGAAAAGTAAGAGTGGATTGTTGCCATGGAAAGGTTGGCAAAAAGGTGTGGCCTTTTCTACTAACACAATGCTTCATCCTTTTTTTTTTTAAGAAACATGTTGTTGCATCTCCTGTTTCTATTAAGAAGCTCAAAATAGCTTATGTGGAAATGAGCAATTCACATGAGCAAGCCTCAAGACCTTGCACTACACTGTAATATAATATTATAATTACTACAGACCAGAAGGAGAGTTTCTGTAGAATTCTATTATGTACACCGAACAGTATTACAACATTGTTTTAATAATGTACTTGATTAACTTGTTAAATCCATCAGTGAAATAAATATGAATCATTTGACTTTATAGATGTAGCTGTCAGCATCACAAAAACAATACATTTAAACATTTGAGTAGCAGGACTTGTCCTGTGATGTTTGCATAAGTAACATGAATATTCATATGTGAGAGGAAAGAGCACAATATAACCTCCTTTCAAGCAAACAGATGCAGGATTTGATCATATGGTTGCCATTCATTTCTGAATAACTGTGCACAGGACCCCATTTGGAAGATTCATGCTATCCGAGGAATCTTCAGCTCTAAATGCTGAGATACAGCAGAGCTGTAGAGCATTCATCCTGAGTTTGAAGCCACTTGACTTTGACAAGCTTAAAGGGGCACCACAGCTGTAGACAAATTCTAAAATTAGACCTGCTTGCTGTGCACTACTTGACAGACTGTCATGTGACAGCTTTCTTGCACATGTACCGGTATATCTGTCTGCTTCCAGTTTAATGCAGGGCATTGATGGTACAGAAGAAACCTAGATTTTCTGTGAATATTTCAGCCTTGTTTAAGGGCTACTTGGCAGATGTAGATTCATGTGAGACACATATTCAGTGGGCTACTTAGCAGATCAGGGCAGGTTGTTTTGTTTTGTTTGCTTTAGTTGTACCTGTGATACCTGCAATTCTGTGCACTTATTTGGATGCAGGTTCTACAGATTTCAATGGGACTCCCCCCCGCCCCCCAGTAAATGCAACTAGGATTGAGGCACAAATCTAGTAAAATTGCCATGAATGCTTGCAGCCTAGGTGTAAAATCCCACTGTGATAATGCTAAAAATTAATAATTTTTCTTATTCTAGAGAAAGTAAGACTGTGAAAAGATATGTAGAGATGCACTCCTTTCCTGCCTGGTAGTTGAATTTATCAGGCTGCATGAGAGAGTCCATTTTCCACTGAGATAATATTTCTGTCCAGACTTGTATCTGTGACAGTATTTATACACCTTTGGGTTTGGTTTTTTCTTTTAGAGATTTAGCAGTATCTAATTAGGATTAAAGGGACTGAGCTATTTAAACAAGTGTATGAAATATATAGTACCTGAGCTTAGTTATGTTACTGGCAAGAATTACTAGAAATTCTTATACTTCTTCCATTGAAGAAAGAGTTCTTGATAATTGGCAATTCAGTATCTATTGCCCTGGTGTACAATAAAGACTGCTTCTAAGAATCAAGTTTACAAAGTCTTCAAAATCTGGGAGTTTTGTGAAACAGTCAGGAAGAATCAGATGGGTAGTAGTACCAAATATGGAATTTCGTCAATTGTGAGAAAAGAACCAGGAATTGTTGAGTGTCTGAAGCCTCTGTTCCTGTTTTGCATTCCCCCTCCAACCTATTTTGCTTTGGAGATTCAGCCTCTGCTCAAATCCTTTCATTTTTTTTAAATATCTCCAGAGCAAGGGTACATAACCCTTTTAACTACAGGTGATGCTCACTGAAGGGTCAGAAATCACAGACAACACAAATACGCCATGTACATTCCTGTGTATACACAGAAATGATCGGTATGTGAGGAACTGGGGGAGGGAGTAGAGCATACAGATGGTAGTTTTAGGATCAGGGCTCTCTTTGTGGAGTGCGCCCCTGCTCTGAAAGCTGAAAACTGGTTTGTATTTCTTTAGGGAAATTTAAATGCTAGGTTAAACGGGGTTGGGGGTACATTTTGTAAACACTTTTCCCCACTTCATCCTACTAACAGTGAACATCAAAAAATACCCAAATCTGCTTTGTAGCATTGCGGTTGGTAGGAAGGAGGAACTCACTTTTCATCCAAGAGAAAATGGCACTAAAGTTTCTGGTTTGTAAATAGGAACAAACCTGTTTGTGGGTCTTTTAGGAAACATTTCAGCCCCCCTAAAACCCACTTTTTGATATGCTAAAATTGGTAGTCCTGGACACTCACCTCAGTCTTACCAGACAGCAGATTCCACTTTTACATAGCAAATTAGCAAGCATGCAACCGTGCTATTGTGGACTAGCACATTTGAACATTTATTTTTCTCTGCTACCATTAAATAGCAGACTCCAGATTTTTATTTGGAATCTGTGGGATTTGATGATTTAATGTTTTTGTCCTGTTTACAGCACAGCAGTCCTATTCTCTCTTGTAGACCTTAAGCTGTTTAATGTGGGGGTTCTAATCACATTTGGTAGGTTGCAAGTTCTACATTCAGTGGGACTTACCTAAGTGTGTAAATGCTTAGCACTGCCATGTTGGCCATTTCTCACATGGTGGATTGAGCAAAAACCAAAGCAGAGGGAAAGACAAAGTACTTCAAAAACATTTTTATTGATTAGAAGTGGGCTTTGTGTACTTGTAGTTTGTTATGCTAAAAAAATGGGAGAAGCTTTTCATACCTGAGAGCTTGTATTATGTCATTGAATGTCCACTTATGCATAGAACTACTGGCTTTGGTGACTGCTATGGTCAAATATTGACAAAGATGGATAACATAATGTATTCTTTAATAGTGTGTAAAAAGAATTAGTGCACAGTGTTGTCAGTATATGGAAGTCGTGGTACAGCTACTCGCTTCAAGTCTTACTCTTGAAGGCTCTGTTTCTGCAGAGTCTCCACTGCTGGGGAAGGTACAACTGCCAATTCCTATTAAACATGTGTTCAATATTTGGCCCCTATCAACATGGGCGTGTAGTGAATTGTTGAATCATCTCCCTACTTTCTGGATGAGACTTCTTCATATGGGACACTTTTTTTCCTGAAACTGAGGGAAACTTCAAAAGCATCCTTTTGTACAGTGTGAGGAGCTGCTGCTAGAAGGGGACCGAACCCAAGGGTACATGAACATATTATTGGACGTGCTAAAATTCTTGCATGTGCTTTTATGGATTGTTTCCACAGCCACATCACACTTCTGTGTGATTCCTAAGATTTTCAGGGTGCTGAAAAGCCTGTGGAGTAAAAAAAAATAACCTGAGTAAAGCCCATCAGTAGTGTGTTGTCTTCTGAACTTGATGGGTTTATCAGATTTTGTAAACAGTAGGCTGATTTATAAAAAGCAGATTGATCTAATATGAATTCTCATCCCTTCTGACCCTCAGATTCTTCAGTTTGAGGATATTTTGTGTAACCCATCTTACAGAGAGCACTTCCGAATATATATGGAAAGAATGGATAAGAGGGTTATGATCAGCTATTGGGAATCTGTGGAGTACTTGAAGAATGCTAGTAAGGTACAAGTAGATACAAAAAGGTCTTGTTAAATTTGTGTTGTGCAAGACTTGACTTGCAAATCAGTGTTTCATCAAACTGATTATTAAACATGTTGCTTTCTTTGTAAATTGCAAAGCTAGCATTGGCTTTATTACAAACCATTACAGAAGACATTTTATTACTCCAAATAATTGAAACAGTTCATTTTAAGGTGAAGCCAAGTCAGTAGTTGTCTCTCTGGGTGGAATATTTGTTCTTGCCTGTAAAGACAATTAGAAAGAACTCTATTTTGTTTCATAAAGCTTCCCTTGCTCTTTACCCCAAGCTGGCTGTATGATATCTTTCCTTACTATCCACTCTGGAGTGAACCTTGATGTGCAGCCACCTATTCAAAAGTGATACTGACATGAAAATTTGATTTTAAATGTTTAAAGCAGATTTAGGAAATATGAGGTTGGGAATATCTTTTTCAGCACAGAATGTTGTATGGCTGCTTTCCCTTCAGATACATTTTTACACCATGCAGGAATGATCCCTCTTAATGTTAAACATTTTGCTCTGGATGATTATTATTATTATTATTGTTGTTGTTGTTGTTGTTTGTTTTGTGCTGGTGGTGGGGTTTATACTTTTATTTTGTCTTTTGTGGAGAGAACTCAGTATGACATCCATGCTTCTCCCCACCCCTCCTCTTATTTGTGAAGACAAACCTGTGAAGTACTAACTAGAAGGTCAGTTAGCTTCATGACTCAACCCAGGCCCCTCAGTCAAATAGTAGTTTAATCACTGTGTCACAGTGATGGCACCCTTATAGATATTTACGATTCTGATTACACTGCATTTGTATCCCACCTTTCTTCCTTTTGCAAGGAACCCAAGGCAGCTTGGAAAAATCTCCTCTCAATTTTATCCTCATTACAACAACCCTGTGAGGTGGGTTGGGTTGAGAGGTTCGTTTATCAGAGAACTAAATTAGGGTAATATAAGAAATGTTGTGCTACACTGTTGCCCCCGATTACAGTAAAGTCCTTTCACATTCTTTCCTTTTCAGGCTGAAATACCTCAACTTGTAAGTCAAATCTATCAGGATTTTTTTGTGGAAAGCCGAGAAATTCCTGTGGAGAAGTCATTGTATAAAGAGATACAGCAGAGCCTTGTGGGTAACAAAGGCATTGAAGTGTTCTACAAAATTCAGACTGATGTTTATGAAACACTGAAGGACAGGTACTACCCATCATTCATTGTCAGTGATTTATATGAGAGGTTGATCAAGAAGGAAGAAGAGAAGACTACTGTCCAGATGACATCTGAGGACAAAGATGAAGTGGTGAGTTATGTAGCTATGCTGCATTTATCTGTGGAAGATGGTAAAAACCTAGAGTATTTGATCATAAAATTTCATGGCTATATGAATAATAATAAAAATCATAAGAGTTGGAAAGTGACTTCTAGTGTAGCAGGAATGTGCCATGGTAAAACAGTGGCTAATTAGTAAAGGGGAGCTTTCTGAAATAAGTATTTTTAAGAAATACCTGAGGTATTACAGTGCTGATGTCTCTAAGGCAGGGAGTTCCAAAGAAATGGAGCTGATACACTGAAGACTTTTTTCCCAGGTGGACTGTAGTTGAGCCATGGCTCTAAAAGGAACCACCAGGGACATGGCATCTAATGATCGCAGTGTCTAGGAAGGTTGGTATGGGAGGAGGTGCTCTCTGGGATATCCTGGTCCCGAGTCGTTTTACTTGTTGAGGGGAAAATGTATCATAAGTAAAAGCTTTCCCTGTGAGTCATAGCTTAACCACATTTCTTCTTATGTTTGTCCTTCTGTTTTATCTGTTAAGGAATTGTCTGTGGTTTGCTGTATTTCATTGTGAATGTGGTGGGTAAGATAGAACTCCATAGGCTCAATATGTCTGGTGATGTTGGGCACCCAAAAACTTTGGTCTTGTTAGAACTTCAGAAGCTTTAATGTATAGCTAACTGAAACTTCATTTCCATTTAAGTTGTGTCTACTTTTGAGCAGAAATACATTCTTTTGGTACTAGCGAAGCCATCTAGCACTTGTGTGTGTATTTGATTTAAAAACATCCCATTTAACAAGCATAAATCCCGTTGTCAGAACAAAAATGTTACATAATCTGGATGGCTGAAGAATGTTTGGGAAACATAAAATATCTACCAAAAACTATTTCATGAGAAAAGCATGGTGCTTTCTGCTGAGTTCAGAGTTTCTTCTTTAAATGTTTCCCCAAAGAATTTAGGACAGTGTTCACGATTCTTTCATGTCACATCTTAGCTTTTCTATAACCATGTGATGATATAAATCAGTCTGTGAGATAGTGACTCTGTCCTAGGTCATTCAGTGAGCCTCATGCTTGAGGAAGGATTTGAACTCACATGATACTCCTAACCATACATCACACCAGGCCACCAAGCAATTCTGTGAACACTTTTCAATTATGTATGCCCATTCCATCTCTCCTAGAACCAAGTTTGTGAAGAAGTTATTGATGAAGGAAGCTCAGGAATTAATGAGCAGGCCAGTTATGCTGTGAATAAACTACGCCAGTTAAATGACAAGCTTGAATATAAGAGACAAGCTCTAAATTCTCTCTGCAGTTCACCAAAACCTGACAAAAAGGTGGGTGGATTTGTTGTTTAAATGCATGATACTAAGAGGCTGGGTTTAGAGCCATCGCATAGCTCTGTTCAAGAGAGCTTTCACTCCATATGTAAAGTGCTGTCCATTCTTCTTACTGGCTCCTGGCTGTGCATCAGTGCCTTTATGAATACCTGATAATTTAGTGTGAGTTTGCAGTGCTGTCCCATACAGATGTGAGAATATTTGGACCCAAGTACATACCTAATGCATGACATTCGGTCTCTTAAAATTCTAGGCAGCCAATTTCACTATCTTGGGCAAATGTTTCCTGGCCTTAAGATCATTTAACTGGAGATGCCAGGAGCTAAGCCTGGGATGCTCTGTATGCAAAGATTGGACTATGGATGATCTTCAGTAGCAGCCTGTAGAACAGGCAGTGGGATTGTCTAGCACCTGCAGGCCTTTTGTATGGCCTAGAATTAGCACTGCATTCTCGCCTGCCTCTTCTGCCATCCTTTCCACTGTTGCCTTTTCTTTCGCTGGCTGAGTGAGAGACAAAAGGGCACCGTGGTCTAGATGAGCAGCACATCTTTCACTCTCGCTCTCTCTCACACACACATACACACGTGACACAACTCCCAGAAAAGCTGTTCAGAAGTAACAGAGGCTGTCCAAGACCTTGTGCTGAGTGTTTTAGAAACTAAAGTAGTACTTCATGGGTTATATTGTTTTTTCCCTTCAGTTCTAGGGTTGCCTCCAATGTTCATATGCATCTTAACAAGGCTGTCTCGATGATTGCATTTGGATTACAGTACTTTTTTCTCTGCTTCAGGGACCTGAAAAACAAGTTGGGAAGAAGACTTTTCCTTTGTCTTACCCATTATGTGAAGAGTGATTAGTCAAACAAAATTGTATTGGAGCATGGCCTGTTTTAGCTGATCTAGCCTTAGCAAATATTGGCCTTTATTGAAAAGACTGCCAAAAAAGATGGTAAATTTACCCTGACTGGTCCTACATTTACATCAGATATTGTGATTGTTTTTTTAAAGCATATCTTTTAAAGAAATTAATCAAATTAGTTCATTCTAGATTACTCCCAGAAACAAAAACACTTCTATGATAGATGAAGCCATGCAATTCTAGAGCAAAACAGGACTATGAATCAAGTAATGTCACTACATTCCTGGTCTGATGTTCCTGTTTTGCTTCTTACTGAGTCCTTAAACACACCTAATTAAAGGGATATGGCATCATTGGAATATTCTGTCATCAAAGCTGCATCATCGTGTGTTCATGGCCATGCCCTTTTAGTTGGGACACACTTTGAAGTAGATCATTCTGCAAAAATGTCCCAATCTGAAAGCAGTTCTGTTTTGGTGTGGAGTTTCTTACCATGTGGGTAATTCCTATAACACCACTGGAAAACTTTCTTTGGGCAGTTTTCAGCAACATGAAGAAAAGATGGCACATGGAGTTCTTTAATCTGCCTCCTGGGACAACCATATGAGCTGCTTTTGATGGGACAGCGAGTTTTGACCAAATACTGTTGCTGGTTACTTATTGTTGCTTCTCATGTTCAGTAACGTCAAACACTGCTAGCCTGAGCATCACAGCCAAACCTGTCTCTTGGGTTCATGTATCCATGTAATACATATGACTGAAGTCATGAATTTGTCTTTGTTACCGTTTTAGAGGTATATAAAAAATGATCTATGTGTAACCATGCAATTGTGATGTTTAAAGTGGCGGTTCTTTTTTAGGGCCCAGAATGCCCAGTCTTCTGGTAATCTTTCTCTGACTCATGAAGGTGGAACTCTCTGCATAGATCAGTGATGTTCACTGTTTTTCAAGCAGGAGTCCCTGGGTCCAGGCACTAGGGCCACTTGGCACCTTTCCCAGGAAGTGGAGGGTTAGGGTCCCTCCTCGCCCCCTCCAATCAAGCAGCAAACACAGGGCTCAGCTGAAAGCCATTTCAAGCGTCTCCTCTATTATATCTCTATCTCTTCACCGGGCAGGCAGATTCCAACTTTTCAGCTGAAAAGCAGTAGGTTTCCTGACCTGATTGCCCCCCTGTCTCCTCCCCCCACTACCAAAATCTTCTCCTATAGCCTGACAACAAGAGCTAGAAAAAGCACAGAAGCACAGAAAAAGGCAAATCTGGAGAGTCCCTTCAGAGAGTGAGCAAGGACTGCAGAGAGAGCTAGAGAGAGAGGTGGAGAATCTCCCTTGAGGTGACTGGCCCCAGCAGCCCTCTTGCCTTGCCGGGAAGAAACCTGGCATAGATTATCTTGTGGATAGCATGGTAAATTTTCTCTCAGCTGTTACATTACTTTGGCTGTTCAGAATATTTTGTATTTCCAAAATGCCTAACAGAATTATCGCTAGACAATCTCTTTCTTTTTGTTTAAGTTCTCAGTAGCCTTTTAAAACATTTCTGTACTGACCTCCTCAACTCCTTCTTCCACGAAGTTGCAGAATATCATTCTTTATCATACTTTGTGCCGACCTAATGTAGTTTTCAATCCTGAATTATACTTGACCTTTAAGCAGTGCAGCTGCCACACCAAGTCAGAGTCAGATGGAGAATGTTTTGAGAGCTTTTATTGAATTCTTTGTCTACTTCCACAGCAATGGACATTTTTTGCTGCCCTTCTGCATGTTTTAGTTTTTTTCCACTATGTGCATCAGAGTGACTACAATAGCTACACTGATGTGTTTTAAATGATAGCCTGTATAACCTTATTTTTCCCCTGGCAGATTGTTTCTAAACTGAAAGATGAAATCACTGTGATGGAGAGAGAACACAGTGACCTTCAATTACATATTGAAAGAACAGATTGGTGGTGTGAGAATTTTGGCATGTGGAAGGCCTTCATAAATACCAGCGAGGTATGGCTCTGTTCATTTGATCTGATAGCTCTAAAAAATATGAGTAGAAACTTCCTTTCTCTCAGAAGTTTGCATGAGCACATTTTTGGGGGGGCACATAAAAATAATGCAAAATCACTTCACTCTTTAGTGAATACTACAAAATGGTTTGTCATCCTTAAGCATATGGTAGTGGCTGTTTTCACATGCACAGGAGGCCAACTTCCTGTCTTATTAAGCTCAAATATAAGCTGGCTTATGATCCTGTCTTGTGTGGGAGCAATTAACCACAGTTCCTGGTTTGCACATAAGAGGAATCCATATTTAAGTGCAGCTTCCAGGCTCGCAAAAAGCTAAATGTCTAAATTCACTGTGTATGATGACTGTAGCAGCTGTTTCCAACTGGAGATGGGCTCACTCTCTAATGTTTGTGTGCACCTACGATAGAGTATTTTAAAATATAAAATTACTTGCTGGTGTTGCCAGTCTCTCTCATGGTCAGGCAACGAACAAGAGGGACATGTTTTTGTCCTCAACAGTAAGGTGTCTTTAAACGATTATCATGCATTTTCTGTTATGTTCTGTATATGTGTTTTAGCCACCTTAAGCCTCCTTGGATCAGAGACCAGAAGTGCCAATCTTCAGATCACAAAGCTATAACCCGAATCCTTGGGCTTACTTTCCAGTCTTTTATGTGAATTCTAGGGATTTTCATGTACATTTCATGGACAAGCATGCATGTGTGTTCTTCAGTAATATCTGTAAACATATATTCAATACTTTTTACCCAGGTTATAGAAGAAAATGGTGAACAAGTGCCCTGTTATTCAGTCATGGTGAGTTTACAAGACATTGGTGGTGCTGAAGCGAAAGAATGGATGGTTCTCCGAAAGCTCAGTGAATTTCAAGGCCTGCATCGGAAACTAAGTGAGGTACAAAGAAATGTTGTGTTAATGTTCTGTTTGCAAGAAAAATGACCAGTGCTTTTATCCTCTGGGACTGCTCTGACCTTCATATAGTAGGTACAGGCCAGTATTGTGTGTTGTCAAATTAACCCACTTGGTTCCTGCATCACATGTACCCATGTTGGTGGCTGAGTCAGCAGAAGTGGCTTTAGGTACAGTCCTTCACTTAGGCTATACATCAGAGTGGGACCAATGACACTCTCTTGCCTAGAATTCCATGGAATGCATTGGTAGAGCTCAAACAGATGTAGACAGCAGAGAGATTTAAATCATAGGCATTCTTCTGTATTGGCCAACTTATGTGAACTGAATTATATTCCAGGAAGATGAGGCAAGCAATTCTGTTTAAATACCAGTATGAAATATCAGTACTGATATTACCAGGTTTCACATCTTATTCTGAGCTTACCTCCTGGGGAGCAACATGAAATCCTGTTTTCCCCTTGAAAAAGTATATCCTGTTTATTTCCTTTTCTTTCTCTTTTTTTATTTGTGTGTGTGGGTTTGTGTGCGTGTACATGCATGCACGCAATTTCTTGGTAAAGTATCTAATTTCTTTTCCCTACATTTACTAATACTAACAGTATTTTTCTGTTCAGGGAACCTGGCAAATTCTATTTTTTAACTGTGTTTTGCCTACTGGAACTATTGGGGGAAGTATCCCTACCATAACATGATTTTATATCCATAAGTCCTCACTGACTGTTTTTCACTCTGGTCTTGCTGGCGCCCATTCCATGCTGGTTTATGAACATAACAGATGAGCATACATTTATACTATACAATTATTTTCTATACCATGTACACAATTTCTCTTCATGTTTAATGTTCAGAGTTGTCTGGCATAAATGCCTCAAGAAAGGTGATCAGGAAGTGTTGCATTCAAAGCAAATCATACCTACCTTCCTAATTTAATTTAGCAAATTGATCCTCATAATGCTCTGCATTTCTGCAAGTTGGTCACTCAGGTGAGCCTCTGGGCTTAATTCTAGTACTGTTGCTGCATGTACCAGTATCATTTTGAAAATGTGCTTGCAGGTAATCGGGGGACTGCAGGCGTTGCAAACCAGCACTTCCATTTCTGTCTTCCTTACTCATTGTATTGTTGTATTTAGCCAAGCATGTTAATTAAAATGGAGAAATAATTGGAATCTGATTTTTCTTTCCTACATAGTGCTTCCCATCATTAAAGAAAGCTCAGTTGCCTTCACTAAGCAAACTGCCCTTTAAATCTGTAGACCAGAAATTCATGGAAAAGTCTAAGAACCAGTTAAATAACTTTTTACAGGTAAGATATCAAAGCGACAGCAGTCTATTCTTCTTCTTTTCTTAATGTTAAAAATCCAAAATATTTCACTATATTTTTTTTTCTGAGCTCTGGAGAAAATTCATTTTCGGAGTTCTGGCATTTTTTCCTTGATCACTGCCAGCTTTTTCACACATTTATAGCCCAAATTCAGAAAAAAATGAGGTTAAGTCCTGCTGAAATTAGTAGGAAAATGTAGTTGCTACCAAGGATGGATGAATCATAATATTTCTAGCTCATGTAAGCTTCATATGCCATAGGTCAATTCTATCTAATTTCTGCACCAGTTTGCAAATTAAAACAAAAACAAAACACACAAATCTGTATTTTTCAACTTCCTCTAATATACACGTTGCTCCCCAGGCAGCTACTGAGTGCACATTGTCTCATATCAATTATTTATGTAGAACTACAGAGAAACAAATGTTAAAATGTAAACATGATGCCTTCTTAGTGCTGTGTTGTACACAAGCTCTGTTATCACACATGCCAACAATAGGAGCTACTGAAAGATGTTTGATTTGGATTGATTTGACTTTGGGTTGTTTCCAGTTTTAGTCTGACATAAGCCCCATTCACTTCAATGGTTCTATTCTAGGAAGGGCTAATGTCACATACAGTACTGTGTGAGCTCTTTTAACCCTTCCTGTTCTAAATGTAGAGTCTTAATAGTTCCTCTGGTAATTTATTGTTACTTCCTGCTTTTATAAAAAGACTTTTCTACAATTTCTGTGCCTTGAAATTATCAGTCTTCTGTCTTTTGTAGAAATTGCTTTCTGATGAAAGGCTCTGTCAGAGTGAAGCACTTTATGCCTTCTTAAGCCCTTCCCCTGAGCACCTCAAGGTTATTGACATACAGGGAAAGAAGTCTTCTTTTTCACTCTCTTCTTTTTTAGAGAGGCTTCCTGGGGACTTCTTTTCTCATCAGGAGGTGAGTGGATAAAGAACAGTATCGGTAGGGGGGAAGATTAATATTACTGTTCTAAGTAATTAAGAAGTACCTGCATGTTATCTTAGATGAGCTGTTTGCACTATTGCGGCTGATTTAAATGAGTGAACGAATGGTGAGATACTAAAGTTCCCTATCAATGGATCATTGGTCTGACAACATAAGATAGTCCCTTCTCTTTGATTTCCCTCTGCTGTGGCAATACTCTCTGGTTCAGTAGCAATAAAGCAGGAGAAAATTGATAAGGTAATACAATGACTAATAACTGAGTACTGACCTATAATAAATAGTAAAGCGATAAAACCTGGGCAGTCTGTGGAGTTCTGAATAGCTACAGGGCAGATGCACATGTGTTTATTGCAATGACGAATTCTTCCTTATTTGCCAGCTGAATGTGTAGTTGTGTCCATTGAAAAATACTGCCTTGGGTTATATGAGATAAAACTATGGAGGATTATTTCAGACATACAACTCTTTCCTGGAGATACCAGACATCACATGAACGTGTTACGTGATCCTAGTTCAAGAGGCTTTTAAAACAAATTCAAAAAAGTGCTGGTGAGAATATAGAAATCTGTTATAGCAAACAACTTGAAGCTTATGACTAGGAATCTAGGGCTCACAGACACTCAGCAACTCAATTACAGTATGGTTGCACATTTAATAAAACTATTTACACTCCATACACATTTACTATTCAGAATTGGGGTAGAGAATGGAGGTAAAGAATGATTAAGAGATTTTTTTTCAGCTGTTCTCTTCTGAGCTTACATTGTCTGTTTAGGAGGAGACTGAAGATGATGATGATCTGTCTGACTACGGGGATGATGTGGATGGGAAACGAGATTCCCTTGCTGAACCTTGCTTCATGCTGATAGGAGAAATTTTTGAACTGCGAGGAAGTAAGCAGTGGACTTGTTCATTAGTGCATAGCTTCAGGAAGTTAGTGCATTTCCATTATAAACATTTCCCCATACAATTTTCAATCTGGGAAAGGACTGAGACCTAATGTATTTACAATACAACTATTTACTTATGTAAATGTTCCACATGTAAAACTAATTCCACTCTATCTTCCCAAATGACTTCTCCTGTCAGTTTCATGTAGATATTAAGTAACATCTGTGTTACAGCAGCATTAGGATAGGACCTAACTGCATGTTTGGACTTTACTTCTACATGTTGCTCTCTGTTTTGTTTCAGTGTTTAAGTGGGTGAGGAAGACCCTAATTGCATTAGTTCAAGTCACTTTTGGAAGAACTATCAACAAGTGAGTCTATTACATTTTACTCTGCCTATAGAATTATTGTTCTATACATAAGCTGCTTAATGTGAGAACATTTGAAAGTGACAATGACATGATGGCTTTTGCTGGCATGGTTGTGCCAAAACTGGTAAGCTGGTATATGTAAATTGAAAGGAAATTCAAGTTCATGCAGCTTCATTTTGCAGTTTAGTAGTTGGGAGGAGTATCATCTGGATTCTCAGGAATAAATGCTTGAATGAATTGTGCTAGAACTGGGGGAAACAGCCAGCGTGGAAGTATTCCTTGGATCAATGGACTGATAAGATCTTTGCTGTTGTGTAGAACACAGTGTTTCTCTTAAAGCTGGGAGTGAAGTTTTATGATGATGTTTCCATTTCAATAGCTAGTAGTTCTACTAGTTCTACTAGTACCGTAGAAAATTGGTGAGATAGCAATGTTTTTCCCTTCCTTTAGCTGTGGTGCTGTCGTGTGGGTATAGGAGATGAATCAGAAAAATTAAATAAAGCAGGCAGTCTTCCCACTTATTTTCAGCACTAAAATAGTTTTTAACTATTAGGATAGCAATTTTGTGACCAAATCCTGAGAAGCTCAGGAACAGACTTTAAATGAACCTAAAGAGTCTACCCTCTTCCATTTCTCACAAATATAATTTTGATAGCTTGAACCTATTATAGAAAATATGAGCATTTGTGCCTCTTTTTCAACCCTGTGTCAAAACTGCTTTTCTTACATCACCAAATGTTCTGGAGTTGCAAGTGAAGATAAGTCACAACAGTTCATTCTTCTTCATTCTCACACCCCCTCTTATCCCAGCAGAGGGCATACAGAGTTCTGAATACCATGTCAGGCTACAGGAGGGGGATGCCACTTTAATTCATGTACATCTAAAGATAAACCTGGTGCAAATCAACAACAAAATCAGAAGATGAAGGAATTGGTCTTAACCCAATCCTTTTCCCTCTGCACTTGTTTCTACCTACAGAGGTTTATTTTAAAACACAGAAGAGCATTAAAAATATGATTTCCACCATCTGTAGCCTTAATTGACACAATTCACTCTATCACTTCATTTTACTGCAGTGTATAATCTGAGCCAAATTGGGGGGAGGGGGGTGGAATGTTGAAACTCCATTTCTTTTGATGTATTGAAATTCCAACTAGTTTTTATCGTATTGTCAATGTTAATTTTATTAAGTGAAACCTAGTCTCTAGATTTGTTGTTGCTCATTAATGTAATTCTCTTTCAGATTTTAGTTAATGCATTTCTAAGAGCAACATTTTGATCAGTCCAGGCAAGGTTCTAGGTAGCATATTGTAACTATGGCTACACAGGTAAATATAATGATGTGCTGAAACAATGACTGTTATCTAACAGGGAGCTGTTTCTAGCTGTGGGTTGGCATGTTGCTCTGGCTAATTCTTCTTCACACTTCTCTTTCAAGGCAAATTCGTGACACTGTAAATTGGATCTTCAGTGAAATGATGCTTGTTTACTATATCAATGTATTCCGTGATGCTTTTTGGCCAAATGGAAAATTGGCATCCAGCACAAAGCCTAAAAGTGAAGAGCAAAGCCAGGAGACAAAACAGAAAGCACAGCAAAAACTACTTGAAAACATTCCAGGTAAGCACATCAGTCATGTGCAATATTTCAGCCTTCAGAATATAATTAACCAAGGAGAGGAATAATAAAATAATACTTCCATTTTCATGGTGTATTAGAATATTCAGCTTCACTGAAAAGATTGTCTGCTCAATTTTAACAGGCACATTTAACAAATAGCTGTACACATTCAGGTGCTGTATATTTTGTAGCGATCCCTGACATTGGTCGGGTATCAATCTCTACAGAGGAAGATTGCAACTGTTCATTTTAAAATTGGTTAGGGTGGCATTTAGCCAACAGAAGAGGAGAACTAAAAAATAACATATATTCTTCATGTTACTTCACAGCTCAAATAATTGAAAATATTTAAATCTTTAAGTTACGATCTCAGATAGTCAGAGAGAGTGAGAGAGAGAGATCACTTAAATTACTACATTGTCTATTAACCTGATATGACTTACTGGAGATAATTGGTAATTTTGTCAGTAACTTGCACAAAACCACATTATGTGCACAAATTCAGTGAAGTAATCCTTAATATAAATTGTATATAGTGCCAAGCACACATAGCAATGATGATTGTGGAAGGGCAAATTCCTATGACCACTATATGTTTAGACAGACATAAAATAATCAGAGTTCCAGTTCTGGGTGCTTGGAAATACATTCTTAGGCTGGAGCTTGGCCTCTGATCAGAGTGCTCTCTGTCATCACCAATGCTACAGTTCTTTCTATGCCAGTTGCAGCAGGGCCAAAAGACATGGACAGCTGAAATTAGCTACCTTTTGTCTTTTGCAGGGTAGGAGAAATTGCTGCCTCTGCACTCCTTTGCTCAGTTGGATGCACATAATCTGCCAAATTCAAAAAGTTAGAGGCAGCCACATTGGATGGCGCCCCAAGGTGTTTCTCTTGCCTCATTCCAGAAGCACATGATATTTAACCCATAATCCTAGAATAATGTTAGGATGTGGTCCAAAATTTAGTGTTTTATAAATCTTGATATCAGTGTGAGAATCAAACACTTTACAGAGTCTGGCACTGACTTGTGAACTATTTTTTTCTTAGCTGTTTCTTCTGCTCCTTTACTGGGCACAGCACCTTCTAACTTTTGATTCAGGAAAGAACCAGTGTAACACTAGCTGCCTTGGTATAAAAACCATTGGAAAAGCTGGCTAATGATTAAATATAATCAAATAGAATCAGTGTAAAAGCAGATATTTAATTTTTAAATATCTCTTCTAGTCTGGGGCTAATCTTTAATATTAGTGCAAATCTGGGTTGGGGGTTGAAATGAAAGACAGTTCCATTCATGCTCATACTATACCAGTAAATTTTCCACAAGCATCAAAATGGAATACTTTAAACTCCCATTTTTTAAAAAAAGTTGAGAAGAATTTTTTCTCAAATAATTGTATTTCAGGATTAAAAATACTTTTGAAGCAGAAGAGTGTGCTGTGAATGTGCTCACAGTGAAGTGATGGCTGGCAAGTAGCTGAGGCTAGTGTTTCTAAGGGCAAAGACTGTTTTCTGCTGAGCTACACTGCTGCTATGCTCTCTGAAACTGAGTATTTGTGAGATGTTGTGCTTCTTTCAAATTAAGACCAAATTAAAGGTGATGGTGGCATGCCATGCTGATTCTTTCTAAACTTCAGTGAGTCAGGTTTTAAAAAGCGCACAAGAAGGAAGCTGGGCCCATCCCAGCCAGGTGTATTCTAATATCAGAGCCCAGTTGAGGAGAAAAGAGTTTGAATAATGAAAGGCAAGCCCCTTCACCAACATACTCCTTTTCTCCTTAATTCTAACTTCCATCACCAACCCAGGTCTCTATCAGAGGGGGTTAAATGCTACAGTATGTTGCTGTTGCACCTAGTTTAGCCTCCAGTGACATATGGAGCCTTTAAGTCAGTGCCCCATGCATTTTTAATTGCATACTATAGTTTTAGTTCATATTTCTTCAGGTTTGTAGGGAAATACACTTGAATTAGAGTAAAAATTACTTCTTTCAGATACTCTTCAGAGTCTTGTTGGACAGCAAAATGCTCGCCATGGTGTAATCAAAGTATTCAACGCACTTCAAGAAACCAAGGCCAACAAACATCTTCTATATGTGAGTTCCTAGCACACTATTTTAAGACTTTGCAGGGTTTGTCTATTACTTAAAACTTGTGCTTTTTCTCAGCTCTTAAAACTAGAATTCTTGGTGTTATCTCTTGGAACTTAGTCTTTCCTTACAGTATTAGCTGCTGTTCTATGCTTTTTAGAATAATTTGCAACACTTGTTTTAAGCAGAAATGAGGTAAAACACTGAAGAATATATGTAGAGTATTTTGCAACCCCCAATGTGAAGACTATTTCCTGCAAAGTTTTCTAGCTGGATTCTGTCTAAAATGGTGTGGAATGGGCTAAACTTGAGAAATTTTAGCTCAAGATCTCCAGAGGCCTCTATGTGTCAGTAAACATTGATGCATGTTTAAAGGTTGAGCCCTCCCCATTACTACAGAGCAAACTGGATGGTGAAGATGACTCAGGTTTTTGCCATAGCCAGGGTGCATCTGTGCACATGTAGCTAGTACTCTGAAGGTATATAGAATCATGAATCCTGGATGTTCCTGCACATTTCTGTTATCTCTTTCCCTACCCTTTAAGTCTTAGACATGCTTTCCTAGTATATTACCATAGAGAGAGCAAGGCTCACATGGATTAAAAAAAAAAACCGCTAATTATACTGTATATGAAGCCAGCTGCTATCCATGAAAAGTGTACAGTAGTCATCAATTGCTACTTTATTTTTTACTCTAATGCCCTCAAATTTTTGCTTGATTCCTGGGAAGCCCCTTAGTTATAAAACAACTCCCTTCCATACACCCTTCTAGCCTCTAAATTGGCTACTGTGAGTTCAACAAGGCACTTCCTGTTGCACCTTGCCGCCCCCACCTCCAAAAAAAATAGGAAGACTTAGGGTAAAGTTACTTTCTAGCATCCTAACTTGAAAACAGTTCAGGGAGCAAAAACCCTACAGCCTTGATCTCTTTTCTTCTTTTCCAGGTATTACTGGAATTGCTGCTAATTGAACTGTGTCCTGAGTTGCGAACTCATTTAGAGCAGCTTAAAGCAGCTCAGGTTTGACTCTGCACAAGCGAAGTACTGGAGAAATGTCTATTGTTAATAATAGACATGAAACTTATTTCCCTCTTTTCCAGAGGGTTCATTGAAGATTCCTGAGAATTTGTATTTTCCTCTGAGTTTTACGCAAAACAAAGAAAACTTGAACAGTTGTTAGGATAGAATGCCAGATATTGTGTAGTTTCTGGCTTTTATTTAACTTGTTATATAAATAATTCTGTATAAGATGCAGATTGAAATGTAACTGTTAATATAAGATGTAAGATCTATAGAATATTTTAAACATTTATGAAAGGCATTTTGCTTTAGTGGTATATCAATGAATGTTGTACAGTTTATTTCTTTGCTGAGGATAATGAACATTCCTCTATTTACTTGTGTACTGAAGAGCCTTGTTGTGCAAAATATGTAAAGATATTGTGTAAATTTTATTGTTTTTATTTTTACCAAAGATTTCCCATAGTTTGGAGCCTTTGTAAGCAATAAATAACAAAACTGGACTGCAGTGCTTCATGATTAAGCTACAATTCCATTAGAGCTTGCAAACTGGCCTGAGTACTATTTTCAGGGAGGATACATTTATTGTTTTGGCAAAGAAACATAACCTAGATTTAAAATTATTGTGGAACAAACACACTGCGAATGCTCCAGTCTTAAGTAATGCATGACTCGCTTATTTGGTGCTAAAGTTGCCAAGTTCAGTGAGATCATTCATCCTTCAGTGATATTATCCAGGGCTCTTTTAAAAAATGTGCCCCTTTTGAAAGGTTTGTTAAATCAATATCTGATTCTTTCCACTCCAAGGCTGCTAGTTCATCACTTTTTAAAATCACACCTACAGACGGTAGCTTTTTGTTGCTGAAGCAGATGTGTTTAATTAAACATGCTTGAAAACACAACTATTTCCAGAGCTTATACATCTCAAAATTCATGTAGTCTCACTGAGCACAATGGGTATAGTTTTCATTTCTTCTAGTATATGCCAACAAAAATGCCACAATACAAGTATATTGACTGCATCTGCCATTCTTGGGTGGCTAATCTGTGCATGTATCAGCATCCTTAATCACAAATGCCCAGGGTTTCAATGCTCACTAGTTTCATTCAGTTGTTCAACAGGCAAGACATACAAGTATCCACTGATTAAGTTTGAAAGCATAAGCATCTACTGTTTTGCAGGAACACTGAAAAGTTTGATATACATCTTAGCAAGTTATGACTTTCCAACAATGTTTTTAATGTAAAATAAGTTTCAAATGCCCACTCTAGCATTTTGTAATGTGTAATTCATGAATGAAAGGTATGAGAAAAATGATTTTTTAGGCACAAGTATTTCAGACACTTTAAGATTCTGGCCCTGCATATTTGATACTTGTAGGTAAAAAAGATGCTATAATATAGACCTACCATTCTAGCATGTCTCTTTAAAAGGACAGCAACCCAGTCAGTATTTCTGGCCTCCATTTCTTCAAGGTAATTAATACACATAATTCCTGGCACTTTAAAATACACTCATTTGAAACGACAGTTCTATCAGCAGGAGGTAGGGCAATCTCCTTTCCAGTTATCACCTTCTGTCCTCATCTCCTAGTTCCTGGCTGTTAAGGGAGCTTTTCTGCCTACATGAAGCTAATCTAATTGGCTGACTATGCCTGCTTGTCAGTCATGGCCATCCATATTCTAAGAATATGGTTACCCTGTTCCAGCAGGAACTTGAGTTCCTCCAGGTAGTGGTGTACTGCAACGTTCATCAGCCCTAGTCAGTGTAAAGGATTATGGAAGTTACAATCCAGTGAGTTTCAGAGGACAAGTTGCCCTTCTTATCCTATTCCTTTACCTCTTCCTGAAGTGTTAAAAGATGCTGTACTCTTCAAAGTAAATGCTCACTATCCCTCATCAACAAGAATGAAAATCCCAGGAAAGAGCCAGCATAATACTTTGTTTGTTTTCTTTAAAGTAGTTGCCTGTTTTTCCTTTATTCCTATTCATATTAGAATGTTTAATTTGGGATTGCTACTGGCACTGAATGTCTGACAATCCCAAGGAAACCACTTCGTTCTGGCCCATGCTACCACTTGTAGCTATGTTGTAATTGGCAATTAAAAGGAGGGCTTGGGAAAAACTGGCTCAAGTGTGTACCTGTCCTCTCTTGTCTCTGTGAAGACTGAGAGGCTGTTAGCTGTTAACCCTTCCTCCAATACAGCTCTACAGCTTGCAGCCCCTCCGCCTGAAGTGAAAAGGAAAGAAAAGGAAGGTAATGGGGAACAGTGATTAAAGCAGGTATTAGCATGGTGCCCAATCCTAGCTAAGGAGGTTGGGGGCTACAGGTACCTTTCCAGAGGTACTTAATGGTGACCAGCTCTCAAGTTTTATTAAGTCAAACAATTAAAGGAAAGTTCAGTTCAGAAATGCAATAGAATTTGACCAAAGCATGATGGTTGGGTCATAATGAAATAAATCGACACATGCTGCACTTCTAAATGAAGTGTGTAAAACAGGCATCAGAATACTCTGTATGTCAAGAATGATCTTAGTGCACAATAATCCATGATTTATCAAAAGTTGAATGAAAATAGTAAAGAAAAGTAAAACTTGCTGAAATTCATCAAAAATGGTACTCTAAATTCGCCCATGATTAGCTGCCAGCTCAAGATCAGCAGCCATAGAAGGGTCGAGTCTGCATGCCTTTAAAACATAATAAAAAAGGAAATAACTTCAGTGCAATGTATAAACTATATTTGCTAGTAACATGCCATTTTCTTAAAATATATTAACTTAAATCACATAACCAAAATATATATCCATATCCTTTATCTTCTGTTTCCTCTTTTGAAATCCCTTCCAAGGTGGATAAATGGATCTAATCTGGCAGATAATACATAGCAAGACTTTGGACTGTTGCAAGAAATCATCCATCATTTTCCCATGGTAACTAGCTGCTAAATGTATAAATTCACTCTTGTTTGATAATCAGTAGAATTAATTGTAGAAGCTTTCTTTGATGGCGTAGTATACTGGTGAGCAATTTTTTTTCCGTTTAGGAGCTGTACTGGCTGCTGTGGAACATACTGGGGTCATGGTGAGTAGAGCCAGGATATGCACACACTCAAACCCATTGATACGCACTTTTTCACTCACGCAAGTATGCAGTTTGCGGGTTTCCCATACACTGCTTCATTATGTATATAAATACTCCCTAATGTAAACAAATAGTATCTCAAAAAAGGCTAAGTTGAACTCTTCAGACATACTAACTTTCTAAATGCAAATAGAATTTTCTTGGGTAGGAGGGTAGGAGTATTCAACATATGAATCTTCCACCTAGAACCTGAAATTAAATATTCCAAGAAAAGCTTTAACCATTCTTACAATTTTGTGTGCATTGGCCCTACATTATCATACATATTTTATTTGAAAAGTTGAATGTGTTTGCTGTAGACACATTATTCTATGGAAAAATCAAAGTACTGATTGCTTGTAGTAGACACTAAAACCAACATTTCTCAAAGGGAACTGCTACACAAACCATAGTTAATAAAGTGGATCCACTCTGCTTATTATGTGTATGTATAGAAAATATGAACCAACAGGTATTGAAGTATAAAATGGATTAATTAGCAATGACCTAGTTTAGGTATAATGGGCTTGTCCACTCCTCCCATTCCTCTAGCATGGCCACAAGGAAGAGTTCAAAAGCACTTGCTTCCAATTTTGATTAACCTTAAGATTGTCTGAACTCACATATACCATAGTTAATCTTAACTATGTTTAGTAGAAACTTTAAACCACAACTTTAACCAGTTTGTTGGGGTTTGGACGTCATGCTAAAAAGACTAATTTACAAGAGAATTGGAGGCTTCCCCTTGTGGGGATGGAGAAGGCATGAGACTCATTCAGAGAGAAACTGGTCATATTTCCACTTGTAATTGTATCCTAAAATGAATCTCAAGTTTATATTCCTTTACTACCATTTATAGAACATGTGTCATCAGTGTAGACATTGCAATGTATGCATGCCCCGCCTGTACCATGGAACAACTGTCATAAACTGAATTTTGACAGGAGGACATTCTTTCAAAGGAGTGGCTCTAAGTTTCCTATCACTGCCACTGCCAGTATATGTTCGATGACTGCAAACAGCCTACCATGTTAGTAAACAGGAATTATGTGAATTTCTGCTTCTTTATATTTGTCATAAGCAAAAAAAATGGAATACAAGTCAAAATAAGTAACCAAGTAGTATTTTCCTAGGCCATTTTAGGAACATTCAAGAGCAGAGTTTTATTTTAATAACTCTTGTGCAAATTCTATTAAATCGACTCTAACAAGCAAAATTAAAGGGATCAGAGGAAGTAAACCTAGAATCCAGATAATTCAGGCTCCCACAAACTGACCTTAGAATAATATTTTTTAGCTGCTTCTAAATCTTGTTGTGTTCCTAGGCCAAGCTGGAGACATCTAGCCAAATAGAAGGATGTCATTGCAAGCCCTCTAGCAATGTAAAAAGGAATGCAGTCTGTTGCTTTTGCTATATTTTCAACATCGTCATTCTCTGTGGTTCTGTTTGGATTCACAACGCAAGATAAAAGATGAGCAACTTTTAGAACAGTTAGGAATAACTTGCACAATCAATGCCTAAATCAATGAAAGCATTTTGCACCAGATTTTCACAATTGAATTCTGTGAAAAAATGCTGCAGTCTCAGATCTTTTACTGCAGGTATGTGGAGACTCATTTGGGACACTTCTGTAGCTGAGGAATGTTTGGCAGGAGCCCTCCACCATTGTGGCACGCATGTCTTGAATGAGTTCCCACCTGTTCCCTCAATTTCCTGAAATGGCCAATTATGGCCCTGAAAGCAACATCAATACAGATGTTGATACATGAAAAAAAACTTGTTTCAAGACTCAAAGTGCAACTTCAATGCCAAAGTAGGATGGTGGGTGGGGTCTGTGAGTACACAGATGACCATTCAAAGAATTACAGTTGCAGGTGAGCAAATGGTCTTCTTGATCTTTGAGCATCACATACATGTGCAAATTGCAAGTTGGCTGACTTACAATGGTGTGGGAGGGAGTGTCACTGTTTTACCATATAGGAAAGGATGCTTGTCTGAAAGTGCAGTCAGACCAGGAATATCAAGATGGTGGGTTATGGCTGTATCCTCCAAGCCATCAACCAGAGCATAGCAATGTTTGAGTGTGACAGCAGATGTCTGTTCTGAGAAATCAAGTTTGGTATTGCTGGGAAACTACACTTAAATCTCTGTATTATTATTATTATTTTGTGGACTGAGCCTAGCAAGAAGTGGAGTATGATATCAGGAATCTCCTGTTTGTCTGTCCTGTGTCATCTGGTCACAAAGACACTATTTATGTCCTTCAGCTATTCCTCACACAGAATTCAAGATGCAGGCAAAGGCTTGATAAAACACTTATTCTTATGAATAGCAACAGAGGCACTGTTGTAGTTTTTCCTTTATGTGTCTTCTCACTCAGTGAGATGTATATAAAAAAATGCCTGGAGCATATGAAGAAAATATTGACATTGCTTCTGTTGCTATTTATTCTGCAGGGTGCAATGTGTGTTAAAGATGAATGGCATTACAAGCAGAGGGATCTGCAACAGCTTTGTTGCTGTTCTCACTTTGGAAAGAAGAAGTTAGTTACAACTTTTTATCCCTGCACTGACTTGCAGGAGTGTATGCAGGCAAAGTGAGTTTTTTTTAGTTTTGAAATTAAACTTGCAGTACAGGACACAACAGACATTTCTGAAATTAGGCATGATATATTAAAGGAAGTATTTGGCCATTTTTCAGTCTCTCCATCATCTCCATCTTGAGGTCATACAATGAAATTGATTGCCAGTGATTCTTGACAGAGCAAGAAACTTCACATTAATTATGGACTTTGAGGCCATAAGATGTGGTGACAGCCAATAGTTTAGATGATTTCACACAAACTGATGGAACACAGGTCTACCATTAGTTGTTAGCCATGCTAACTAAATGCAACCTCTGTATTTGGAGGCACACTGGCTACAGTAACTATCGGCCAATGTAAAGTCACAGATCTTTTAACAGAAACTAATCTAATTTAAAAAGGATTAAGAATGTGGAAGTGCTGACTCTTTTGTCCAAATTTGGAAGTCATCCAAGTGCTGGGGTAGAAACTTTTTTTTAATGAAATCACCCTTTAGATGGAAGAGAAGGGCAACATAGCACTTTAACATTGATTTTTTGATCCAATGGAAATTAAAATCATTTCTTACTAAGGAAACATGACAGGAGAAGAAGAAAGCCCTCATCTCCACAAGATGAAATCTGCATGAAAGAAAGAGATATAAGGGCAAAAAGGCAACTAATTATTTTGAGGATTTTCACCTTTTGCTGCAGGAAAGAGGATAGTCAAAAGCAAATGAGATCTAGTTGTAACTAGCAGAATGTTTTTGCTGATTCTTCCTAGGTCTTTTTGCAAAAAATATCTAAAGGTACCATGTATGTCCCAACTATTTTTGAATTTGATCTAACACCTTTTTCCTCATTAGCTGAAATTAATTCACCTTTTGGCAAACTCAGCAGCTTTTGTAAAAAATTTTCTTCTGTAATAATATTCCACCAAATGACCTTTAGCATAGACATTTCCACGATCAGATGCCTGATTTAGACACTCCAGAGCGGCCTTTAAATTTTGATGTATACCATGTCCATAAAGATACATAAGACCAAGGATACCCTGCGATTCCAGACTTCCATTCCCACAAGCTTCTGAATGCCAAAAGAATGCCTGTAGGATAGGAAAAAGGGTTGCCACAGCTCATGCAAATGGAGGAAAAGCACATTTTACTTTTTCTTGCTACATTTCTTGTCTGATAGATACAGGTGCAAACCAGAATGGCCTGTCAGAACACAAATGCTTTTGATTACCAAAATTTAAGGGTCATTATATTACATGTAACTAGCACACTTAAATTAATTTGAGGACTCTGCATAACTTAGATATATACATATTTCTATTATCATAACATTCATAACCTGACTTTCTCCTTTCTTTCATGGGTCCTAATGGGACTTACATGACCCTGCTCCTACCCATTTTATTCCCATTAGTTAAATGACACTTAAAATGGTAATGGAACACTTTAGTAACTGGGTAGTAGGGAATGGGCAGCTATCATCTGCAGTATAGATAAAGAAACATGTAACATTCCTATTTGCAGTCTGCCAAATTCTTTGCTTAGGAAGTGTCCTATGGACTCTAAATATTGTCTGCACTGCTACAGGGTAATTCAGATTTCCAAATCTAAAGTTGGAGACAGAGCTGCAAATGTGAAGTTGTGAATTTATGCTCCAAAACCCTTCCCAGACCCTTGCAGCCAGTATGGAAAGAGCTGAACTGGCTGTCTCTCCAAGCTCAGAAAATCAACTTCAGAGAGGGGGGGGTCAATAAGATTTTCTGGGGGAGGAAACTGGGACTGTCACAATATGAGGTAATTGTGACATCGTTTTGACCTTTCTCTCCCTCTACAAAGTGCCTCAGTTAGATATCCCAAAATGGCCAACTAGTAAAATGTAGACCAGGAAGATCACTTCTGCCACTCTTCCTGCTCTGCACTGGATACTTGTAAGCCTTCAAGTTTGGCAGATTGTGATCATCCATTTGCAATCAGTAGGACTGTGCCTTTAATTATAAATGCAAAAATGCTGTGAAATTTAATAGCTTCTTAATTTTTTTACTGCTGTATGTTTGCTTAACAGAGGAAGACAACTGTAGAGGCACTTTTCATAAGCTGGACCTTAAGTTCCAAGTTTGATGTGCTGCCCCACATTGTTCATTAATGTTTTACTACTCAAAGCTGCTCCTTCATGGATCACTGCCTTGTCGTGGTGAAGGGGCTTGCATAGCGCAATGAAGCTATGAGCTATTTATTTATTTTATTTTATTTAGACAGCTTATATGCTGTGCAGGGCCACCCAAGATGGACAGGTCATAGCAGAGAGCTCTGACAAAACGTGATCCACTGGAGAAAGAAATGGCAACCCACTCCAGTATCTTTGCCATGAAAACCCCATGGACAGTACCAAAAGGCAAAAAGATATGAGGCCAGAAGATGAGCCCCTCAGGTGAGAAGGTGTCCAATATGCTACTGGGAAGAGCAGACGGCTAGTACTAGTAGCGCCAGAAAGAATGAAGCAACTGGGTCAAAGCCAAAAGGACACTCAGTTGCAGATGTATCTGGTGGTGAAAGGAGAGTCCGATGCTGCAAAGATCTATACTCCATAGGAACCTGGAATGTAAGATCCATGAATCCAGGCAAGCTGGATGTGGTCAAACGAGATGACAAGACTGAACATCGACATCTTAGGAATCAGTGAACTAAAATGGACAGGAATGGGTGAATTTAATTCAGATGACCATCAGGTATACTACTGCAGGCAAAAATCCCTCAGAAGAAATGGAGTAGCCTTCATAGTCAATAAAAGAGTAGGAAAAGCAGTACTGGGATACAATCTCCAAAATGACAGAATGATCTCAGTTCGAATCCAAGGCAAACCATTCAACATCACAATAGTCCAAGTCTATGCCCCAGCCACTGGTGTTGAAGAGGCTGAAGTTGACCAGTCCTATGAAGGCCTACAACACCTTCTAGAATTAACTCCAAAAAATAATGTCCTTATCATCATGGGGGATTGGAATGCTAAAGTAGGAAGCCAAAAGATTTATTTATTATTTATTTATTAAAACATTTCTATGCCGCCCCTTGCCGAAGCCTCGGGGCAGCTCACAGCACAGAATAAAATACAATAAAATACAAAAATAACAATATAAAACCAACAATATAAAATAAATAACAATATAAAAGATAACCAGAATAACAGGCAAGTTTGGCCTTGGAGTACAAAATGAAGCAGGGCACAGGCTGGTAGAATTTTGTCAAGAGAATATGATGGTCATAGCACACACTCTTTTCCAACAACCCAAGAGACGACGCTACACATGGACATCACCAGACGGTCAACACAGAAATCAGATTGACTATGTTCTCTGCAGCTAAAGATGGAAAAGCTCTATACAGTCAGTAAAACTAGACCAGGAGCTGACTGTGGCTCAGATCATGAGCTTCTTGTTGCAAAATTTAGGCTGAAGTTGAAGAAAGTAGGGAAAAGCTCTAGGCCACTCAGGTATGACCTAAATCATATCCCTGATGAATATACAGTAGAGATGACAAATAGATTTAAGGAATTGGATCTGATAGATAGAGTGCCTGAAGAACTATGGAGGGAGGTTCGCAACATTGTACAAGAGGCAGCAACTAAAACCATCCCAAAGAAAAAGAAATGCAAGAAAGCAAAATGGCTGTCTGAGAAAGCTTTACAAATAGCTGAGGAAAGAAGGGAAGCGAAAGGCAAGGGAGAAAGAGAAAGATACAAACAATTGAATGCAGAATTCCAGAGAACATCTAGAAGAGATAAGAATGCCTTCTTAAATGAACAGTGCAAAGAAATAGAAGAAAACAATAGAATAGGGAGGACCAGAGATCTCTTCAAGAAAATTGGAGATATGAAGGGAACATTTCATGCAAAGAGGGGCATGATAAAGGAACAAAATGGCAGGGACCTAACAGAGGCAGAAGAGATTAAGAAGAGGTGGCAAGATTACACAGAAGAACTATACAAGAAAGAGCTTAACGTCCCTGACAACCACGATGGGGTGGTCACTGACCTCGAGCCAGACATCCTGGAATGTGATGTCAAATGGGCCTTAGGAAGTCTGAGCAACAACAAAGCTAGTGGAGGCGACAGTATTCCAGTTGAGCTATTCAAAATCCTAAAAGACGATGCAGTAAAAGTGCTACACTTAATATGCCAGCAAATTTGGAAAACTCAACAGTGGCCACAGAATTAGAAAAGGTCAGTTTACATTCCCATCCCAAAGAAGGGCAATGCCAAAGAATGTTCAAACTACTGCACCATTGCACTCATTTCACATGCTAGCAAAGTGATGCTCAAAATCCTACAAGCTAGGCTCCAGCAGTATGTGGGCCGAGAACTACCAGAAGTACAGGCACGATTTCAAAGAGGAGCTAGAGATCAAATTGCCAATATACGCTGGATCATGGAGAAAGCTAGGGAGTTCCAGAAAAACATCTACTTCTGCTTCATTGACTATGCTAAAGCCTTTGATTGTGTGGATCACAACAAACTGTGGCAAGTTCTTAAAGAGATGGGAGTACCAGACCATCTTATTTGTCTCTTGAGAAACCTATATGCGGGTCAAGAAGCAACAGTGAGAACTGGACACGGAATCACTGATTGGATCAAAATTGAGAAAGGAGTTTGGCAAGGCTGTATACTGTCTCGTTGCCTATTTAACTTATATGCAGAGCACATCATGAGAAAGGTAGGGCTAGATGGATCACCAGTTGGAATTAAGATTGCTGGGAGAAATATCAACAACCTCAGATATGCAGCTTGTACCACTCTAATGGCAGAAATGAAGAGAACTAAAGAGCCTCTTGATGTGGGTGAAGGAGGAGAGTGCAAAAGTTGGCTTGAAACTCAACATTAAGAAAACTAAGATCATGGCATCCAGTCCTCTCACTTCCTGGCAAAGAGATGGGGAAGAAATGGAGGTAGTGACAGATTTTATTTTCCTGGGCTCCAAGATCACCGCAGATGGGGACTGCAGCCAAGAAATTAAAAGATGCTTGCTCCTGGGGAGGAAAGCTATAGCAAATCTAGACAGCATACTAAAAAGTAGAGACATCACCCTGCCAACAAAAGTACATATAGTCAAGGCTATGGTTTTCCCAGTTGCAATGTATGGCTGTGAAAGCTGGACCATAAGGAAGGCTGAGTGCCAAAGGACTGAGGCCTTTGAACTGTGGTGCTGGAGGAGACTCCTGCAAGTCCCTTGGACCACAAGGCGATCAAACCAGTCAGTCCTAGAGGAGAGCAACCCTGACTGCTCTTTCGAAGGCCAGATACTGAAGATGAAACTCAAATACTTTGGATACCTAATGAGAAGGAAGAACTCACTGGAGAAGAGCCTAATGCTAGAACAATAGATGGCAAAAGGAGAAGGGGACGGCAGAGGATGAGGTGGCTAGATGGAGTCACTGAAGCAGTTGGTGTGAGCTTGAATGGACTCTGGGGGATGGTGGAGGACAGGAAGGCCTGGAGGAATGTTGTCCATGGGGTCAAGATGGGTCGGACATGACTTCGCGACTAACAACAACAACTCAAAGCTGGTCACTATTATGAAAGATCAAATCCCTTTTTATTTAGCTATTTATTTTCAGCCAAGGTATCACTTCATTCTCTTACTTTTAATCACTGACTTTTAAGCCTTCCTTATGCAGTGCCAATGTACATCTAGATACTCATTCCCATCTCATCACAATGCTCATCTAAGGCTTATGAACTTGGCTCAGTCATCTTCTGATGCAAATGGAAACACTATATCCAGAGATACAGTTGTTACACAGGCTTGCAGTTGCAAGCAGATTGTGGATGATGCCACTGAGAAAACTGTTTCCTTGCAAAAAGATTCAACTTCAAAAGGAACCAGGTATGGAAGACATATTTTAAAATAAATCATTTTACTGCTTTCCTACTATGGATATACAAAAGGTAAAGACAATTTGGATAACTGATTTTATATTTTTATCCAGATGTTGATTTCCAACATTGGTTTTGCTTTTTTATATCAACACTACCTTAACTTATGTCACCTCTAAAATATAACAGCCTCTTTTCCATTGGACAACTTTGAACACACAAATGAATCTAAGGTTGGTAGGAACATCAAAGCCAGAGCAGTACCTTTTTCAGATCTTTTGGATGGCGTGCTGAATATAACATCCCAAGGGCACTCTGAGCTTTTACACTTGCTTTTGGGTTCCCATGGTCTGCAGCAATAAGCCATAATCTGGAAAGCACAGGAAAACATAAGTGATATGGCTGTCCTTTTCCCTGGACACATTCACACTTTCCAAGATGCATCAGCATCAAACTGGAAGTAGGGTGGCTAGGACTAGGGAGGTACCTGAAAAACCAGGGCCCTCCTTGTGCCTCATTATAAGCAGTTATTTCTGACATCCACAATTCAGTCTGTGTTAATTTCCAAAAACATAGCAAAGTGGGGACAGGCCATGGCTGAAGACATCTCTCTCTGCATGTGAGTACATCGTCAATGCATATCCAACTTGCTAAAAAACAGCCAGTCTGACATGCCCACAGAACACTTACAAAGGAGAAAACAAAGTCAGCCACACTGACCGTTTAAAAAAAATGAAATACATGTTCATGCATTACCTTTCTTAAGCCAACTGAAAGATCACAAAAATTATGGAATCTTTCAAGATCTCCAGATTTCCTCATCAGGCAAAATGTTTAAAACACGAGGAAGATTTTTTTTTTAATCAAACTTGACTGTGAAGTCACAGTATCTACATGTTCAGAGCCTTAGATGAAGTGGAAGAAAAGACTCTACCCTCTCTTCGACAGCTGAAAAAAAAAAGAAACTGAGCAAGCAAGCCTGCATCTATCAGACAGATTTTAGCTATGTTCTTGCACATTCATGAAAATGCAGAAGAAAAATATTTAAAAGCGTTATGAACACAGCTTCAGCTATTGAGCTGTACAGAAATGAAAACAACACCTGCAGCAGCACAATTTTCTGAGGTCAAAAATTGTGGTGAATAGAAAAGGATAGCAGAGTGAGGAAAAACAAGGCAGGTTCTGCCACAAAGGACACTGGGAGAAGGGCTGAAGGACTGAGGAGGAAGGTATAGAACAAACCATGGTGAGAACTTTCTGTAAGGTGCACTGAGATTGTTCCACAAATAACCCACATGGTATAGCTTGTTTTCAGGCTTCCTTAGTGTGACACACAAATGAAGCTTGTGATGACTTCAAATCAGTAATCCTGCCTTCCCCTATCTCCCCAACCACCTGGTCAGTTAGGGTTAGGAGATCTTGAAAATCTGTAGCTTCAGCAGTCTTTCCATTGGCCTAATAAAGGTTTATACTAATATGAATATAAAATAAATGTTACCTTTCAGCTTCTTTTTCAGAAATCTCTGTCCCACATCCTTCATAGTAAGCTCTGCCAAGGTTGTAGGCAGCAGCAAACTTTAAATGTCTTGCTTTTGGGCAGGTAGAGTTGATAATCTCTTCCATATACCCCACGCCTTTTTTCTACAGTTGACCAAAATAACAACAATGGTGCAAGAAGATGGCACATAAGAATCACTTATCACCAAGTGGCTTGGCCTGGAGACTGTATTGGGGCAAAGTGTATCTATGAGACTGCCATCTCTGGCATCAAGTCAAAGGGAAGTGGGCGACTGTCGCACATTGTCCCTCTCTTCACCTTCCTCTACTGGAAGCTGCTGGGAAATTCCTCTTGTGTTTCCAGATGAGGCTTAGGGAGGAGTCAGACATCATTCCCACTCATTTGCAGCCCTCCCATGTTTTTCTGACACCCGCCTTCTGTCTTTTTCATTTAATTCTGCAAAATCTGTTAAGTAGGAAGATGTGGAATAGTTGTGCAATGCACTTTTGATTGGCAGCATCAGGAGCTCACCATCTAGAAGCACTCTTGGTCTTGCCCACTTCCAGGATTTCAGTCATGGTCTCTCTCTCAGTTTGCCCAAATTGCAGATGCCCAAGGGCATTCTGCCCTACTACAACTGGTAACAGAGTAGCAGCACATTCAATTATCTCTAAATGTGCTCAAATAGGCTCTTTTCTGTGGTACTTTAATAGTGATTTTTTAACAAGTACAAGTTCAGTTAAAAAAAAACCTAAGTGGTAATCAAAGGCACTGTCTGTTATATTTCACACACATGTATGTGCTTCTTAACTGATGTTACTTATTGCTTTTATTTGGATACACTTCCTTCTGAATGAAAAATAACTCCCTTGCATTTACAATATATATTGCCCTCTAGTGGTATTAAGGAAGATTTCATTTGATACACATTGGCAATCCAGCTGAATGAAAGAAAACTAAGTCATTTGAAACATGGTGCTTGATGAGAAGTTTGTGAATACCCAGGATTGACAGTGTGTCCTAGATCAAGTCAAGGCAGAACTTGCCCTGGAAGCTGAAATGACAAAATGGAGGCTGACATACCTTGGGCACATCATGAGAAGGCAAGACTCACTGGAAAAGACAATAATGGTAGGGAAAGTTGAAGGTAGAAGAAAAGGAAGACCAGTTCTTCGTCGTGGCCTCTGTGCATCACACATGAGTGCTGCGCCTGCGCAGTGCCTAGGCCGGAAGATTAGAAAGCTAACGGTTTTTGGCGGGAAAACGCTCCGCTCCCCTCCCCACTGCAGTATAAATAGAGCGGAGCGTCCGCCATTTTACTCAGTCTCTGCGATTGCCGTTCACTGTGCCTCGTGCCTGCTTGTCTCTCGCTTAGATCTCGCCACGTGCTCCTTTACGGTTATCTTGTTCAACGTACCTTTTCCTCGTTATATATCCCAGTTTCTCTTTCCCTCGTTGTAGCTCCTCTGTTCATTCTTTTTCTAAAAAAAAACCAAAAAAACCCCCCAAAAATATTACTTACCCTCTGTACTATCACCTCTTTTTTCCTTTTTGCGATGGCACAGCTGGCGGCATTCTGCAAGTGTAGTCAGTGCGGCTCCAAAATGTCTCCCACAGACCCGCACGACTTATGCCTCCTCTGCCTTGATGAGGGGCATAGGACCAATACGTGCGGGCATTGCCTGGCCTTTACCAAACAGGCCAGGAAGAATAGGGAGAATCGTCTCTGCAAGTTACTTTGGGACCAGGCCTTGCTTCAATCTGACCAGCTAGTCTCAAGGTCTACCCCCTCCTCGGCTGCGTCTCCTCAGCGCTCCACCTCTACCCCGGCCGCACCCCCTAAGCGCCCCGCCTCAACTTCGGCCGCGCCGCCGCAGCACCCTTCGGATGAAGGCACTGCTCCAATGGAAGCGCAACAGCTACCTTCTCCTCCAACCAAACAAAAGGAGAAGCGTAAGCATTAAGAGCCAGAAAGGCCCCCCGGCCATAAGAAGCAGAGGAAGGAAAAGGCGGCTAAGGCAGTCCACAAGGGCAAGAAACCTGATCGCCCCAAACACCGAGGCTCGGGTTCGTCGGGGTTCTTGGTACCGACTGCCACCACAGTACTGACTCCCTCGGGACCGGCCTGCTGTCCGCAATGCAGGTGATGCCGCCGGGATCCCCCAGGCCTGTTCTTCGGCCTGAAAGCGTGTCTCCTCCACAGGAGCCACAGCTTAGGGAGTCCATCTCTGATGGAGAAATTAGAGATTCCCCGCCGCGGCAACGCTCCCCGACGCCAATGCCTGCTATTGGGCCACCTGAGGGACCAGACTCTCCTCCTAGGCGTAGGAACCGTTTGTCGGAGTGCCATGCAGATGACTGGGCTATGCACGGCTACGGTGGCTATCCTGCCTGGAGTGGACTCCATCCATATGCCTTTTTTCCTCCGGACCGTCGCTCGCCATCGATCCCAAGAGAGGCACCGTCCACTACTGGCCGTATGGAATGCAGACCTCCACCATCTCCTGAAAGCTCTTTGTCCAGTGAGCATTACTGCTACCATCAAGACTCGGACGAGTCGGAAGTAGACTCCACGTCTCCAGATGTAGCTATTACTTCCCAAGACCCAGGATCCCCAGATGAGCCCCATGTTTCTTTTTCAGAGCTGGTTTCTCATCTAGTCCGGTCGCTGGAGATAGAGGCCTACCACCGCCCCAGACCCAGCACAGACCGGTTTTACGACATCGTCCGAGGGAAGCAATCTGCCACCGTTGACTTACTGTTGATTACCACACTTCGCCAGACAATGGTTCAGCCCTGGGACCAACCGGCTCAGCTGCAGGCAACATCTCGCCAGTATGAATCTATGTTCCGGGTCCGAGAAGACGACACCCCGTTCCTGCTGCGCCACCCGAAGCCTAATTCGGTGGTGGTCGAGTCGTCCCAGGGCAGGGATGCTCGGGGACATACAACACCCCGAGATAAGGAAGGGAGGAAGGTCGACATGATTACGCGCCGGGTCTACGTGGCTGCAGGACTCGGTTTGCATATTTCAAATTATGAGGTTACACTGGCACGTTACCAGTACTTCATTATGCAGAAGCTGGAAAACGTCGTCTCCTCCCTCCCGGACCAGCAGGCAGACCTAGCCAAGGTCTTCTTAAACAAAGCAAAGCAGGTGGCCATTCAACAGTTGTCTACCGCGAGACATCACGTAGACACTGATTCTCGGGCCATGGTCAACGCTATCTCCCTCTGACGACACACGTGGCTCAGGAACTGCAATTTCCCTGAGGAAATGAAGAGGAGGATAGAAGAAATGCCATTCGATGGCTCCGGCCTCTTCCACACGAAGACCGATCGGAAACTCAAAGCCATCCACGAGTCCTATATGACGGCACGTCGAATGGAACTCCCACAAGTGAAATGTAAGTGGCCATGGCCCAGACCCTACGGGCACCAGCAATATCAGCCTCGCCAGCAGTTCCACCAGTGCCAGCAATGTAGAAGGCAACAGCCTCAACAGTGCTTCTCCCAGGGCCGTAGGCAGTTCGACACCAAGAAATGTCCCCGTTGATGGTCCTGGCGAACCAATTCATCTCTCCAACTCCCACCTTCCCCTCTCCCCTTTGGGAGTTGGCTCCAAAGCCGACTTCCCATTTGGGAGGCCATTACATCTGATAGGTGGGTGCTGTCCATCATTCAGCTCGGATATAGAATAGAATTTGACATCGTTCCACCATCAAGCCCTATCCGATTTACACCGCCATCTTCGGTTCTGTGCGATGAAGTCCTTCACCTTCTTCATAAGGGAGCGATTCGACAACTCTCTCACACTGATGGGCTACATGGATTCTATTCTAGATATTTTACAGTCCCCAAACGGGACGGTGGTCTTCGACCTATCCTGGATCTAAGAGGAGTCAATAGATATATCAAACCGAGGAAGTTCCGGATGACCACTTTGCAGAATATTCTTTTCTTGCTGAGGGAAGGGGATTGGTTCACCTCACTGGACTTGAAGGATGCATATTTTCATATTTCTATCCATCCTTCCCATAGACGTTTCCTTCGTTTTACTGTTGGATCCGATATTTTCAAATTCAATGTTCTACCATTCAGCCTGGCTAAGGCACTGAGAGTCTTTACAAAGTGCATGGCCCCGGTTTGCGCCCACCTACAGCTCCGGGGTATACAGGTCTACCCCTATTTAGATGATTGGCTAGTTGTGTCATGGACTAAAGACAACCTTTTAGCGGCTGTCCGCGTCACTTGTGCTTTACTTGATGACCTCGGACTCTTATTAACCTTAAGAAATTGTCACTTATTCCCACGCAGGTCATCGATTTCATCGGAGCACATATCGACTCCACGCTGCAAAGAGCATTCCTTCCTCCGTCCCGCAGGGCCACCCTGTGTACGCACATCCATCGGATTCGACGACAAAGGACAGTTAAAGCCATCACTATACAAAGATTGTTGGGACACATGGCAGCCTCAGTGGCCATTGTGCTGCACACAAGGCTCAGGCTCCGCCCACTCCAATTATTTTTCAGCAACTCGTTCCATCCGCAGCGGGTTCTACAAACCAAGTTTCTGCGGATTCGATCTTTGATCCTTCACACCCTGACGTGGTGGACTATTTCACGCAACCTATCTGTAGGCGTTCCATTTTGCCCACCCCAACCGACAGTGACAGTGTACACCGTACACCGATGCGTCTCTCATCAGATGGGGTGCGACATGTGCAGGACTTCGGGTCCAAGGTGCATGGACCCGACGGGAAGCGGCAAGGCATATCAACTTCCTCGAGCTTCTAGCGATTTTCAACACTCTCAAATCTTTCGAAACCGTCTTACACCGCCAAGTTGTACAGATTGTGTCCGACAGCATAGCTGCTGTTTTCTACGTCAACAAACAGGGCGGGACAAAGTCACCTCTCCTGGCCCGTTTGTCAATGCAAATCTGGGACTGGTGCATTCCTCGGGACATCATGATGGTGGTGGTTCATCTTGCGGGAACCGACAATGTAGAAGCCGACGCACTGAGCCGACAGATGTCAACTACCCACGAATGGGAGTTGGATCGAGTGGTTTGCAACCAGCTGTTCCAGTTATGGGGACAACCGGATATAGACTTGTTCGCGACCCGGTCGAACAGGGTGTGCGAACTGTTCTGCTCCAGAGCAGGGCTGGGACTGGACTCGAGGGGAGATGCCCTAATGATTGACTGGAACAACCTGTTCTTCTACGCGTTCCCTCCAATCCCACTCCTCATGAAGGCAGTGTCGAAGATCATGCACGACAACGCCACAGGAATTCTGATAACCCCATGGTGGCCAAGGCAACCTTGGTTCGCCACTCTCCTCACTCAGTCCAGAGGAGTTTTTTGACGACTTCCGCTTGTTCCTCATCTGTTAACACAACACAATGGGACAGTCTGACACCCGGACCAACTCTTGCTGAAACTAACAGCACGGTGCTTCCGATAGATCTGAATTTTCCGTTGGCTCTGTCGCCGTCCCAATCGACACAACCAACTCCTCCCTCGGAACCGTCAAGGTCCATTTTGGGACCGATAGTGTTATCCTTGGATATCCAGGCAATTCTCAAATCTGCACTACGACCTTCCACACGGAAATCATATTCAGCAAAGTGGAGAAGATTCTCTTCCTTTGCCAATGCCCGTTCCTTCTCTCCAGAGTCGGCTTGAATCGAGAATATTTTGCAATTTCTATTAGACCTTCATCGCTCGGGACTCAAGCCTTCATCTATAAAGATCTATATGGCTGCTATCTCGCATTTTCGTGGCAGCATCCAGGGGTCATCTGTTTTTTCTCAACCCCTGATTCACCGTTTCCTTAAAAGGCTACAAAATTTGCACCTGTCGGTTCAACCTGTTATGCCAACGTGGAGTCTTTCTGTTGTACTTCAGGCCTTTACAAAACCGCCATTTGAACCTTTGGCAACAGTGGATTTTTGCTTAGTTTCATGGAAAACTGCCTTCCTTGTTGCAGTTACTTCAGCCAGAAGAGCCAGTGAACTGTATGCTCTACGCATAGACCCACCGTTCTTGAACTTTCACAAGGAAAAAGTCGTCCTTCGAATGGACTCCGAGTTTCTTCCCAAGGTGGCTACACCGTTTCATTTGAACCAAGACATCGTCCTCCCTGTGTTTTTTCCATCTCCGTCGACTCCGATTGAGCGCTCTCTCCATACACTGGATGTTAGATGCTGTCTAGCCTTTTACAGATCTCACACAGAAGCGTTCAGGAATTCCAATAGACTTTTTGCTGCTCATGACAAGGGCTCTCCAGTCTCATCTCAGCGACTGTCCAAATGGATTGTGCAGACCATAGTCCTAGCACATCAATTGGCAAAACTTGATTTACCCTCACTTCCAAGGGCGCATTCTACGTGAGCAGTAGTGACTTCGTCGGCCTTTGCAGCAGGGGTTCCAATTAAGGATATTTGCAAGGCTGCAACTTGGGCTGCTCCATGTACTTTCGCCAAGCATTATCAGCTTGATGTATGTGCCAGAAGGGATTGTTCCTTTGGTAGAGCTGTGCTCTCTGCCATTCTTCACTGACAACACCTTCCCTCCTCCAAGTCTGGTAAGCTTGCTAATCACCCATATGTGTGATGCACAGAGGCCACGACGAAGAGCAGGTTGCTTACCAGTAACTGATGTTCTTCGAGTGGCCATCTGTGCATTCACACAATCCACCCGCCAGCCCCGCATGGTGTCGGTGAATGGACTGTTTTTCTTACTGTCGGTTCCGTGTTATTCCTATGGTGCCGATTTTTCTTGCTGTGATGCTGTTTTTCGAACGTTAGGGGGCGAACGTCGGTCTTCAAGACTGAGTAAAATGGCGGACGCTCCGCTCTATTTATACTGCAGGGGGCAGGAGAGTGTTTTCCCGCCAAAAACCGTTAGCTTTCTAATTTTCCGGCCTAGGCACTGCGCAGGCGCAGCACCCATATGTGTAAATGCACAGATGGCCACTCGAAGAACATCAGTTACAGGTAAGCAACCTGCTCTTATGGGATAGATTGATTATATAAAAGAAGCCCCAGCCTTGAATTTACAAGAACTGAGCAGGGTTGTCAGGGACAGGACATTTTGGAGAGCACTGCTTCACAAGGTCTCTTTATACTGCTAAAATGAGTGGCACAAAGAGTGGACTTGTACGTGGAGGAAGTGTGAACTCAGTGCAGTTCTGGTGCTCAAAACAAATTTCAAGATTCAGAATTCTTCAATTTCAATTGCATGTATACCTTTTGCACTAGGCTCCAGTTGGTAGGTGTTGGAGTTCCAATTAAAACTCACACACACAGAGTAGATCTTGCAAACCTGAAGTCTGCTCGCCCCTGGATTAGAGACTAGGAGAAGCATCTGTGCCTGAGCATTGTACCTCTAGTGGCATTGGATTGTTCCCACCATATTTAATCGATATTAGGCTTGGGTCATTTAGAGTACAATCCTATGACTGTTTAGACAGGAAAAAAAAGTCTTACAACTCCTAGTATCCCTCATCCAGTACACTGACTGGAGGACATGGGGAGTTGTAGGACTTTTCTTCTATCTAAATATGCATAGGACTGTGTTCTCAGCCATACAATATCCTCTGCATTTTCAGCTGTTTGAAATGTTATATATTATTAAATATCACCCAGTAAAAACTGATGAAAAGAAAATCTACCTTCTAGTTGTAACTTACAGGATCTGCTGGCGTCCCAAGTCCATCATAATACATTACACCTAGCTGATAAATGGACTGAAAATCTGTGTTTTGTTCAAACTGCAATAATGCTTCATCATACCATCCCTGCAAAAGAATAATGCAAAGGATTAAACAAACTAGCAAGCTGGGCTAGCTACTGAGCTTTCATGATACAATTATGCAATTTTAAAATAAAATAGCATCCATTTTTTAAAAAGAAAGTGCAGGAATGGAGGGAGCAGCAAAAAATGTACAAAAACTTGTTTTTGACTTTCTTGGAAAACAGAAATAAATTATACCAATGACACTACTCAGTCTAATCCATCAGTGTCTGGAGCCTAGATATGAGAGGTGCATGTGTACATTCAAAAGACAACATTTGGAACAGGGAGCAACTAGTTGCTTTCTTCTTAAACAGGACAGATTCACTTAGCTTCCCAGAACCTAAACAGAAGCATCACCAGATACAAGTTCTCAAGATAAAATCATTGCAAAAGAGCACATCACTTGGATTCAGATTCCCATGGGGCAGTTGTGATGGGATACTTGGGCTGAACTGACACTTCCACTTAAGTGAACGGGGATGTCTTTATGGGACTGAGAGCATTATTGAGATTCCCACTCACCCATGAAAGATCACTGAGCAAATAGCTGCAGTCCTACAACACTGTGCCCTACACCAGCTCTTATTGCACATAACCGGTCACAAAAAAACTAGACACAATAGGCCAGGATGGGAATTCACATCCACCCAGTTCAGTAGGGCTCAGATTGACACCACAACATGAATATGTGTCAACAGGGTATGCTTCAGCACCCAGATCCACCCTGCTGGATTGGGACATGCTTGTTTAGAACGATCTGAGCATACCCTGTTTTTTTAAAAAACCTTTCATGAAGCAGCAATGACCTTCTGGATGACATAGCATTATGATAAAAATGGGGTGGGTGTCATAGCAGAAACAATTATATCTCATGGGTGGCTACCCAATAGGAATAGAAGCAAGGCCTAGGGATTTAGCAAAGAAGGATAGCTAACAGAGAGCTCTGACTCACAAGATTCCCTCTCCTTTAATATTTTCTAGGGTGTTTGAGATAGTTTATCCTTTCAAGGCACTGCCTAGGAAAGAAGACCAGGTTTAAAATATCTGCTTTCAGTTGGATAAGGAGGTATTTAAGTACTTTGACCCCAAAAAAGGACCATAGTTGAGTGGCACAGCATATGCTTTAGATGCAGGAGACCCTAGGTTCAATCTGTGGCATCTCCATTTGAAAGGATCAGGTAGGAGAATCCAGCAGAAGACCTTGGATAGCTGCCACCCATCTGAATAAACAACACTGGACTTGAGGGACAAATATTCTGATTTGGTAGAAGGCAGTGTCCGAGGTTACAGAAAAATCCTCAAATAAATGTATCTAGATGAATTCTTAACCCCCCTTTTTCATTTTGACATTTTCTAATGCAATTTGATTTATTATTTTTTTAAAGTCCCACCTCTTCAAAATACAGCTGTCCTTTAAGGAAAGATGCCAGAGGATCTCCAGCTTTAATCTGCTTTTCCAACTGCTCTTCAGCCCTTGCAAGCAGAAAAGCATGACTGTAAGTATCTGTTTAAAAATAAAAGGGTAGTATTTGGTCCTAAAGCCTGAGAACAAACTTTGTGACATACTCATGATCTATAGTAGGGTATAGTATTTATTTAACATGAGGGTCCCATTTCCAGTGGTAGGTGGAGCCAAAGTCCAAAATGGGTGGGACCACAAATGGGGTTTTTTGGCACCAAGCCTCCCTCCACCAACCATAGCCACATACTTACACTTGAAGCATATAGAGCATTATGGTATTCAGGGCACCTGACATTTATTCCCTCTACAATGCACTAATTCTGAATTCCTCATTCCTCAAGGCTGGGAGTAGGACATTGCTTGCAGAGTTTCATGTTCAAAGAAGCCTGGGCTTCTTGTTGTAAATGAACTGGAGATGATGGTTTCAAACAATTTCTGGTCAATTTCTAAACATGCCATCTTCAGGCCATGGGTCATTTATCTAACTTTTTTACTAGCCAGTTCAGCCAAGAATGCTGATCTACATACAAGCCAGCATTCTTAGAAACTGAAACAAATGTGAACAAGGTTCTCCCAGATATAAGGAACAAGGAGAAGGGGGTGGGCAGTGTACAAACCTGCTCAGGCCCATTATTGCTCTCAGCAAGAGCACAACTACATTCCTTCAGATTTTGTCTAGTGTGTTGCGTTTGTGATGAAAAAAAGCACTGATCTACAGTCAATCTTCAACCCATTGCACTTGGACCCCTCTGTTTATCCATTGCACAACCTATAGGATTATGCTTTAAATCATTTTGCTGGGTTTTTTTAAAGATGCAACCAATACTATGTGTACTCTTACTTGCCCTTTTCTCAATTTAAAATAGGCCTTTCTTTCAGCCAGCAGAAAATTATGTTCATTATAACTATATACAAGATGAGAATCCACAAGGGCTGTTGTGCAGCTGCTTGCACAAGCAAGTGTTGTTAAAAAGACAAAGAGTATTATCTTACCTGAGTCAGTTAGCCATTTTAAACCTATTGAGTCACTATTGTGGAGGTCTGAAATGGTTTGAAGAATGGTCTCACTGCTATGTGCCCGAGGCAGGAGCTCACTGGAAAGTTTCATTTCTTTCTTTCAGGTTATTCTTTTCTGTAAAAAAACAGAGTAATGGGCCCAGATAAGAGAGAAGCTGGGGTCCACCCAGAAATTCTTATTTGCTTTTCCATCAAACCACATTTATTCCAGAACATGGACCCAAACACTTATCTTCTAAGGCTATCTTATTAAGAAAAACATCCCATACTGACCTTTTATAATACTCACTTACCCCGGTTGGTTAGCACAGTGCCCGCAGCTCTGAGCTTTCTCAGGGGCAAGAGCAGTGTACATTATCCAGATGTTGACAAGGCTCCAAATGTTGAGAGTGCTTATTTGAAAGAGATTAGTAGGTGGCATTTGACAAAACAAAGACTTTGAGATTTATGCATACTTCTATTGAACACATCAAAGACATTCTTGAATAGAGCAGAGTGTGTCTGTCATATTTTAGGGCTCCTGGGAGTTATAACTAACAAGAACTCAGTCAGAAGGATGATAAAAAGCAAATTATTTTAGGTACAGGGGAATACTTTTCCTATTTTTAAGAAGTATTTATACAGAGTGGAGCCATAGCCTGCTTTCCTTGGGCTCTGGCAGTTATGGTATTAGAGTAACATGACCATTGTCAGTCTGGCATAGTTTCAGCACAGAATGTCATTAGGTTCAGCAATTCTGTTCTTTCTGAATATATTATGGTTATAATGCCATTGACATGCTATTAATACTATGACATTTATTATGATTTTTCCTTTTGTCCAGAACTCTCAGGGTAGCATATATAGTATTACAGAGTGAGAAGGTGCCATGGAGGGCCTTTGGCCCAACTGCCTTCTCATCCAGGATCTGCAACAGCTGCCCAAACAGGTAGCTGTCCAAAACCTGCTTCAATATATGCAGCAGTCCCCTCCTGGGTGCACATATTAATGTAGTGAGAGGGACTGACAGTGACAAATAGGTCAGGAGCAGTGCCACCAGGAATCTGGACTCTCACACTAATCTGGTCTCCTAAGCAAGGTCATCCATGGCAGAATGATGAGATGCCAGAGGCTGAGATGCCAGAATAGGATGCATCTACCTTCTCCAGGAGTAGAGAAGAGAATGGATATGTCTAATGGTGATGGAAAAAGAGAAAATCCTGACTGGCAACTACTGGGCAGCAGCGGTGTTGAAGGCGGAAGACGCGGAAGGCTGGATCTTCCCCTTCTCTGTGCTGCCATCCCAATTCGAATCAGAGCTACTGGCCGATGCACAAAAATAAGCTTACACAGATAGAGAACGCGTCAGCGACACGCTACGCAATTAGCGTAACGTGCTGTTCAGCGCTTAGATGCCAAAGCCCGGTGCTACGAAAGAAAAGAAGAAAAGAGCGTAGCGGGGGTGGGTGAAGGGCAAGGAACTGCCGGGAAAGGCTGAACGAGTCCGCTCGACTGTGCTCCCACGCGTGACTCACCGAATGCGCCGCCGGTTCCCATCGCAGGTTGGGCCTCCCACACGAAACTGCGGAGAGCCGCGGGAGAGGGAGCCGCCCTCCCGTGGCTTCGCGTTGCCTAGCAATGCAGGCGACAAAAGTCCTAGCGACCAGCGCCCGCCTCTTTTTCCTGCTTCCAGGCCCGCGGGAGCGCGCGCATGGGGCCCGTGAGGCCGCCGCTCGCCCTGCAGGGGGCGGGGCGCCTGAGGAGCGCGCGTAGCGGTGTGTTCGCTTGCGTCATAAACGCTTCCCGAAGAGGAGACTCCCTGCTCCTTCCTACAACTGAGGCGCACTTAGGGCTTCAGGAGCAAGTGGTCCAAAAGCTACATGACTGAATTTGTACAGTCTGCCCCAATATTGACTGGTTTCTCATAATATCCTCTCTCCTGCATTAATACATTTCAAAAAATGAATTGACTGGAAGGCTCAGCCCCAAGCCTAGCAGGCAAGGCAGTTTCTGAACATGTACAAGCATAAGAGACAGAAAAGACTGGATGTGATTTAACTAACTAAGGCTAAAGCACATATGACCAGAAATGAATGGGAGGCACATGGTGGCCCACTTAAAATAATGGGAGACCAAGGCCATCCACACTCTTGTGTTCCTCATTGTTACCGGGCTGTGCCAGTCAACAGCTGGGGCAAACCCCGGGTGGATCCCAGACCCGAAGCCAAACAGAGCCTGAGACGAGACTTAGAGCCAAAACCAGCTTTATTCTAGTGCACTAGAATAAAGGGAGACAAAAGGGGACATTCAGCCCAAAGCAGTGTCTCAAAGGTCGCACCCCAGTACACCAGTTTTATACCCTAGGTAACCAATTAGGTCACCTAATGCACATCTAATATATCGATACATCAATGTATGCACCCCTTCCCATGCTGGAGAAAGAGTTCTTTCTTCTGTCAAGGACCAGACATTTCCCATGTCTATTTCTTATCTGCTCAAGATTCACATAGGCTTGCTATGTTCTTACTCCCTGCACATTTGCAACTTTCATGGCAGCTAGAACCAATTTCCACTGTCCCTTTGATTACTGTATTCTAGGTCAGGCTAGCGTGTTAGCTGTGGGTTACACAAAGTTCATTTTGTTCTTATCTGCCCTCCCTTCTGGGACAGTATAACTGTGGTGTTTTTACTATGTGGCCTTCCTCTAGCCAACCACTTTTGGGGCCTTTCTCTGGCCAATTAGTTTTGGGGTGTTTTGGGGTGCTACAATTGGCAACACTCATCATGTGTGTGAAAGCTGGACAGTGAAAAAAGCTGACAGGAAGAAAATTGATGCATTCCAGACATGGTGAAGGAGAAAAGCTTTGCAAGTATGCTGGTCAGAAAGACATATAAATGGGTCCTAGATCAAATCAGGACACAATGTTCCCTGGAAACAAAAATGACAAAATGGAGGCTGTTGTACTTTGGGCACATCATGAGAAAGCAAGATTTCCATAGAAGACAATAAGGTTGAAGGTAGAAGGACAACCACATTTGAGATAGAAAGGAAGCCACAGCCTTGACTTTAGAGGAGCTAAGCAAGGCGGTCAAGATGAACACTTCAGAGGGCATCCATTCATTTCTGGCCTTAAGTCAGAGGTGACTTGACAGTCATGTAAGAATGTAACAACAATAGAATGCTGGTTACTCTGGCAGGGCTCCATGGTAATAAATGCAACTCACAAATAAAGCAAGGAACGGGAGATCCTGAGAAGGGGAATGGGTGTCAAGGATAGTCCCCGTTAATATTTTTCTAGGAATTAAAAGATCAGTTGAAGCACTTCACAACCTATTTATTTACTGGCCGCTGTTTGGTTTTTGTTGTTGTGTTGCTTTAATCTATAATTAAATTTACTGTGTTACAATGTTAGCAGTCATGTTACTGACCACAAAGATATATGTATGCTGAAGGCCCACAACTCAGCAGGAATCCACGGATGACAGTCTCCTGGAGCCTCTTTACCACTGCAATCTGCCTGATCACTTACCTTTTGTTCTGGCCCAAGTAGGAGCACTTGTGCTTGCTCACTGTCTCTCTGCCTGTCACATAGACTGGCAATTATGAGAAAGAAGATGAGGAGCAGTAGCATCCAGAGGCAATGGTGGTGAGAAGGTACTCACTGAGGGAGGAGAACCATTGAAGGTGTCTTGCCTAAGTACCCTCCAAAACCTGGAGCCAGCACTGAGTGTAATATAAATAAATGTACAAAGCAATGATATACTGTGCTCCCATCATTAACGATCATAGTCATTACACACTTGGATACAATGCTAGAGTTTTGAGATTAGAGTTAAACTAAACTTCAAAATCAAAAACTCACTTCTACATTTAGAAGTCAACTATCTTTCCAGTAATCACATTTCCTTGAATAAAACCACCCCTTCATGACTACCCTTGGTCTGATACAACACAGTCTGACATTCTTAATCAGCTATTGCTATGCATTTCATTTGAAACAGTTATTATTATGTTGTCATTGCAGTTGTTGTCATTGTTAGGAATAGTATGTAACCTTCCCTGCAAAGTGAAGTCAAAATATCTATGCTGCCAATTGCTTTAATTATATAGTTTCCCAGATTGCAGGTTTTCTCCAGTTTAAGAGAAGGGGTGAAATAGCATCAAGAAGAGCAGCAGCTAAAGGTGCATCTATGTATCATGAGAAAACAAGAGTTCAAGTGGACAGAGTTCAAAGAGAAGCAACTGCTATCAGTTGCATTATATTTTTAAGTCTAGTATGCTTTCACCTTAATCTGGAGAACTCCATGAGACTTCGCTAAGTTGTGTGTTGAAGCATTCCTGGTTGGAGACAGCAGGGATCTGAGCATAGCAACTGTGGCTATTTGAATCCAATACATATCTCAATCTTATGAACTGTGGACTTCACATGGGCAATCCCAGGTCAACTAAGTATAGCTCTGAGGGTGTCACCACAGATTATACAGAAGTGGTGAGGTAGTATGAGTTAAACTTCCTCTCTCCTATTTCTTACGTAATGGAAAATATGCACTTATCATATCCTTTACACAAGACCCAGGGAAAAAGGAAACATAACTCAGGCTTTTCCTTTTGCTTTATTCTGTGGCATTCAAAAAGAAGGAGTCATGTAGCATCTTAAGTGTTATAAACACTCTTTCCTTTCCATCAGAAGGGAAAAATGTTCCAGGCATGCAGAGAGTTCTTTTTAAAACTTTATTGCAATGAAGGGAACAGAAAGGAATGGCTTCCTTCCCATTTTTCTGTTCACCTGCGCACATGTTCACACACCACTTTTGAACCCTGCTCCAGGCTGCTTGTTCCCTCCTCCTTTCCCCTAATTGGCTAATAGGGTAGTGAGAGTTTACACTTTTTCCGCCTGCCTGCTCTGCCCTGCCCCAACACCAGCCCTTCTTCCCAATCCAGCCCTGCCCCTGGTGGACTACAATAGGCTCATTTTGTTCTGCCCAGTTTGTCAATAAACAATCAGGAAGTATTTGGCCCTCCTGCCTACCTGCCTGTTTCACCATACCTTGTGCTATCTGATTTTAGCCCTTCCCCTCCTTTGGGCTAAGTAATTTTCTTTGTTACCCTTTTAAATCTCTTTACTCCCTTGTTTCAAATCATCCTTTCACACCTATCATTAAGGACTCAACAAATTATTGCTTTCCTGGACTAGAGTCCACAGCCTCAGATGCAGATGAAGTGGATTTCAGTCCACCAAAAGCCTATGTGCCAGAATTACTCAAACTGGTGCCCCCAGATATACAGTATTAGATGACAATCCCATCACCACCTTTCTGAAGATGATGGGAGTTGCAGTCTGACACATCTGGAAGGCAACAGCTTATGAAAGGCTAGTAGGCTCTCTATTCTCTAGTATGGCAAAACATACATGTACTTTTCCACCCATGAGCAATTAACTGGGGGTGTGCAATTTAAATCAGGAAAAGATGGAGTGGGATAATAATCACCTTTTCCAAAGCAGAGATATCATTTACAGAACTAGTTCAGTCCTTAACCATTAAATACTAGGTAGTCTTAAGCCATTATCTCTTGACCCTCTATCTGCAGTATGAAAATATGGATCTACCTCACAAAGCTGTTGTAAGATTGACTGACATGAAAAATTACTCTTACATGGAGCTCTCTTAATACTCTTACGTGTACATGCTGAGTATTTGTGTTCTTGTAGAATCTGTCAAAGAATGACACCTCAAATTGTTTTCTTGTGCATTATTTCTGCCTAGGCCTTCTCAAAGATAAGGTGCTATACTTCAATGAAACAGGACTACAACTGCAACAGCAAACCAATTTTATTTACTAACATCAGTTTCATTGTGGAATTATTTGGTTCAATTGTGTTTATGGGCAAGGACATTGTGAGAGCACTTAATTCAACTCTCACAGAAAGAAGTTGCAGCTTAGATTAAATTTGACAGCTCATATTCAAGATTTTCATTATAGATTTATCCTTTGTTGACAATTGTGTTGATTATCATGGACTTCTGGGCCCAAATCATTGTTGCTTTTTTATTTAAAACTGCAATTCTAAATAACTAAGCCCCAATGCACACAAATCACATGAATGCAGATAAGATTGAACTACAAAGCCTTATGGGTTTGGGGTATCTGAAGGAAGTGTCATGCTTTTAAAGTGAATGCTTAGATGTTGCAACCTGTCTGTATATCTTAGCAGTGGCACCTGCTCTTTCAAAACGCCTTGGTGAGACTCAGTGGTAACCTCTTTTCCCACATCCAGGAAACTGATTATGACATTGCTTTAAAGAATGTCTTTATGACCTGACTCCTGTACTGTTTTTATGCTTTGCCCTATCATGTTATCCTGTTTCTAATTTTATTATTTGGCTTTATTATCTTGCATGCATTTTACCTTTTCTGTGTAAGTCACATCGGCAGCTTTTCTTGGATAGGAAGTAAGACATACATTTTAATAAACAAATTTCCGAACACGTGTGAAGGACTGTGTCCCAAGACCCACTTTAGAAGGAAGTGGCAGTACTTAATTTTAGACGGATTGTTTGGCTTGCTTGCTTCCTCTCTTGTGGCTGCCGCAAAAGGAGGAGCCAAAGGACAGACTGTGGGTGAGCGAGTGTGTGTGATACGTGTCTAGCTGCACTGTGCTTGATGGCTGCCCCACCTGCCATAAGCCTTCCCAGCTCCCTCCCGTCTCATATGCATACGAAGCACAGGATGCTTGGGGAAAGCACCAGCGGGAGCCAATCAGCACTCAGCAAGGCGGGTTGTGTTGCATGTGCTCTTGTTTGTGTACGTGCAGAAGCAAGTTCCCAGCAGAGAGGGCGGATCGCAGCCAGAACATTGTAGCTTCTTTAGCTGGCACGGCTGGTGTTGGGTTAGAGGCATCAAAAGGGAGCGAAGGAGCTGCACTGAAAGTCAACCAGTCCCGCTGAAATTTGTGTCACAAGGGTCTTGAAGGAAAGCAAGAAGTCAGCATGTTACTGTTGGATTGCAATGTGGAGGTGAGACATGAGAAGAGTGCAGACTTCCAGATGTTGAACTGATTTCCAGAGCTGTTTGTAGTGCATTTTTTCACTGCTGATTAAATTCATGTCCCCTTACATAGAAAGAATAGCAAAAAGTGTAACAATCCAGCAAACTGCATGTCATTTCAGTTTCTTAACGATGATTTTTTGAGCATCTCAGATTTTTCCTAGTGAGAGAGTGGTAAAACTGTCTTTAGATGAAAGAACTGTTTCAAACATTTATCTTTTTCTAGTCCAATAGCCTGAGCCACCTCCTGGAAGCAGGGACTGAAGTGAATGTAGCTGCTGATGCCTTTGTCCAGTCCCCAGCTCATCTGGCTGCTCGGGGAGGACATGCTTTCTTCTTACTCTGGCAAGTGCAGACAGGAGCCAATTTGAACCAACAGGTATGCTTTCTATTGCTCAGCTTCATTCTCATGGTTACGCTGGAATGGATAGCTATTGTCTCTGACTATGAATAAGGCAGTTGCAAAGCTATGCATGCCTGAGGAGCTTTAGAATAGTCTACTACCCCCTTCTTGCTCTAGTGACTATTGAATGCTACAGTACTTACCATTTACTAGGTGCCATGGTATTAAGGGGAGAGGAAAGTGATAATGATTTGTTAAAGAATATAAAATACACTGTATAAGTCATACTGCAAGTAATAAGCCCAAATTGTTACAGGCTTCTTTTTCGGAGTAGCAGGTTGTTAGGAGCATTTGAGGGAGGAGAAGCAGAAGCAAAAGTTACTATTTGCATAAACTGACAGAGTGAAGAGATAGTAAGTTTGCTTAGGGTCTACATATTTTTCAGTGAAACCAGTTGTGTAGGCGTCATCGAGATTATTCTAATGCAAAAAACCACCTCTGCATATGAATTGCTTTCACTGAATCAGGACTCTTTTGTTGAAGCTTATGGCGCTACACTAGGGATCAAACTATTTAATCCTCCATTCCTTATATATTAACTGAACACAATTATTTACTGATTATAATAATTAAGAGATTGTACTTATGAAATGAAATATTTCTATTTAGGATTGGCTTGGGGAAGCTCCAATTCACAAGGCAGCTAAAGTTGGGAGTTTGGAGTGTCTTGCCTTACTTGTTGCCAGTCATGCCAGCATTGAGTAAGTAAACCAATTCAAAGGCAAATCACCTGAATAAAATTTATTCAAATCATGTTATGTAATTCATATTGGATACTGAACCTGTTGGAGATTGCCCATGGATGCTAAATCTAGTTTTTAGAAAGTAGCTACTACCATCTGTCTCTTTAGGACTTAAGTGGTACAACTTCAAACTGCAGCTTAATATACAAAAAGCTCAGTCACACAGTAGTGGTATGAAGGACCTCCAGACAGTTTTGGTAGAGAATGGAAATTAACATCTCACCCAACTAGTTAGCCATGCTTAAGTCTTATTAAAATCAAAGGGGCTTAAATTGTTATGCCAAGTGGAAGGCAGAAGAGGAAGGTTGAATATGATTTGGATTGATTCTTCAAAGGAAGTGACAGCCTTGAGTTTACAAGAGTTTAGTGTCGCTGTTAAAGCCGGAACATTTTGGAGAACCCTCATTCATAGGACTGCCCCAAGTCAGAGACAATTGAATAGCACATAACAAAAACAAACTTTTCATATTGATTTTAATAGGAATTAAGCATGACTTTCAGTTAGATCAGAACCATGTAACCCAATCCTACACGTTTAGCCAGATGTAAGCCACAAAAGATCCTTTATGTATTTACCTAGGAGTAAGTTCCTTTGTTGGACTTTTGAGTGGACATGTATAAGATTGCCCTGTTACTCTTCAAACGTTTACATCTTTTTATCAGACATTTTAAAAAGAAATGATTATTTTACTTATGTGGAATGGAAAATAAAATATCTCAGTCAAATGAATTGATTTTGTTTTAATTTTGTATCTCAGCTTGCGCAATAATAACGGTCAAACAGCAGAAGACCTTGCATGGGCTTTTGGATTTTTGGAGTGTGCTCAGTTCCTCATGACAGTGAAATGCATTCAGAAGGGGAAAGGAGTAACACAGATAACTGACTCCCCGCATGACAGTGATGACCATCTGTTCCAAGAGGCTTCAAGAAGACAGAAACGAGCATGTGAAAGCAAGAGACCCATAAGCAAGAAAAGAATGAAATCAAATGGTAAAGTACTTAGCCTCTGTTTGACAAAAGCTTATCTTAATGAGAAACAGCTTCTTCAAAGCACAGCATTTAATCTGACATAACTTTAGTCTGGTAGAAGTGTATCAAATGGGCATTGTAAAAAATGGCATTTCCCAGTAACTTGCTGCACAACTATATGACAAAACTAGGTAGGCTGCAGACATGAACCCACTACTAGAAATGCATATTAGTTTTTTCATATATTTTAAATTGTGTACTGCAAGACTAGGATGCATATTCCAAAGTACATCCTTTTAGTGTAATTTAACCTCTAATAAGAATGTTTAGGATTGCTATCTCATTTTTATAGCTCCATCCTTCCACCTTTAAGCACACTAAGTTAATATTGCCCTCTCCAATCTGACCACCCTCCTTGTTTAAAAAATGGACAGTATGTAATATTGTCTAATAATGGCCACAATGCCTTCCCTCTTTGAAGAGCAACTGCAGCTTATACCATATACTTATAAAAGCAGGGTTCCTTCCAGGACAGACAACAGGTTTCTCAGACATAAGTCCTGGCATCTCTCTTTTAAATTGTTAGCTGCTACTGCCAGCTGCCTTGGCAACATTTCGAAAACACAGTTCAAAACATTTTTTTTAAACTTCTAAGACTTATAGCCATATACTCATATGGTTCTCTTCTGCCAGTGTTCCACAGCTTTTACCTGGGTGATACATTATCTTTTTGTAAAATTTGCTACCAATTGTCTTTTACAATTTGGTGTTCAGCAATTTTAGAGGTTTTACTGTGGTGGAGTGCAGTCCTCAACATGCCTGCTCAGAAGTCCTACTGAGTTCAATTGAACTTCTCTTCAGATCAGTGTCCATAGGGTTGCAGCTTCTTCTTTTTCTCCTTTCTCTGATTACTTAAAATTTATGTTCAGAAACTGCTGTAAGTACTGGCTTAAGTTGAAAAAGTACTTACAGTTCAGTTCCACCAGTCCCTGCATGGGCCTGATGGCAGCAGAGGGCAGGGTTTGATTGTTTATTTAAAGAATGTATATGTCATTCCAATAGCCCACATGCAGGCTCTCTACACTGCTCACAGTATACTGTATCTCCTTTCCATACCTCTCTTCAAACAGAAACCAGTGCTTACAGAAGCAGCACCTCCTAGTGGGACTAAGTTAGGCACCACCTTTGTGAGTTTCCGCACCATCCCCATGTGGATGACTCACCCAGCACTGAGTGCAGCAACTCTTCCCAGCATTTGCCCAAGGAGGCTCGCCAGATGCAGAACCTCTACAGCAGGGGTGGGCAATTAATTTTCCTATGGGGCCACATGAGAAACTTTGACAGTTTTTAAGGGTCGGACCAATACACTTACAGCTCTGCTCAATATATATCTCTATAAAAACAGTAAATGAAACATTACAATGATACAATGAAAATGTGGAGCACAGAACACTATTTAATGAATATTCACAAAAAATTAACATTAACATTACATGAAAAGCAATAAATTCAATTCAATTCAACAGATCCTTCAAAATAAAAGCAGTGCAGTTGTATTGCTTGCATCTATATTACGACGATATATATTTGCATTGACTTTTAGTTTGTCAGTGACCTCATGCGGGCCAGTCAGTGTCGGCCATCGGGCCGGATGTGGCCCGCGGGCCGCACAATGCCCAGGTCTGCTCTACAGGCTAGATTAGATTTGCCTTCCTATTTTATATCAATTAAAGGATGATGTGACAACCCTGGGGGTGGGGGGCTTGTTTGTATGAAAAAAGAGCGTAAAATCAGACAAAGGGAGCAGGGACAGGTAACCATCTCCTGAAAAAATGATGTTGAAGACTGGATTATAGAATATTGAGACTGCATGTTTTATATGGGTTGTAGAATGCTTAATTCAAATGAAGGCTTTAGGTTTGCAAATACAACTTTTTTCTTTGCATTTACATAGATATGACTTTCTTGATGTCACCGGAAAGCCAATCCTCATAAAAAGAAGAACTATCAGAACTCTACAAACACCCATGAGTTCAAAACCAAATACTCTGAAGAATGCCTTCTGAGAAGGAGAGTAGGTTGCTTCTTGAAGAAGATAGTTTTAAAATAATTCCTGTGTTTACACAATAATAAATGTATATAACAAAATATTGTTTTTCTTACAATCTTTTCCCCAAGTAATTATATGATATTTAGTACTAACAATGTGGTTGATAGGTTGCTGCTCTCATAATATCAAATGTTGCCCCTGCACATACACACTCAAAGGGGTGTGTAATACTAAAAAGGGTGTGTGTGAAATATTAAAAAGTAGCAATGCTATCAGTTTCTAAAATCTATTTAACTTCAGCATAGCAATGGCCTACAGAAATACTTTAGCCAGTGTTCATAGTGTAATAATGTACCTGATATTTTTCATCAACAAAGCCTCTGAGCACGTGTGTGAAGGGAGGGACAAGTTAGTGTAGACAGAAACAAAATATTTACTAAAGTAGGGTGTCGCTACCTACCTCAGCCTGAGCCCATGTATGGCCAGACCTTATAGGTCCCTCTTTCAAGGTCTAGGCCTGAAACTTTAAACAGTAACAATAACCAAACAGAAGGCTCTGGATCTAGTACTAAGGCTTGAGAGAAAGCACAAACAACTCTTGAATAGGTTTATTTACACAGGGGAATAGAAAAGGAGGATAAGAAGGTATACAAGAACCAGAGTAACCTTTGGAAACACTATTTCAGGCAGATTTATAAAACATTACCTGTCCATACATACCTAAGTATAGGTCTTCATATAGAACAAGGTGCAAATAGTGACATTAAAAGTCACCAGTCAAAAGCAAGATGGAAATGAAAACCAAAGACTGAAGACAAAGGACAACAGTAACCAATTGCTTTATATTCAGAAGCCATTGACAAATGTTATCTGAGCCTCTTCCTCCTCATGATCGTTACATTACATTGCTATTCTGTCTTTCTATCACTTGTGAGAGGCCCAAGGCAGCTTACATAGCTCCATTTCATTCCCACAACAATGACCCTGTGAGATAGGTTAGACTGAGAGTATGTGAATGGCAAGTCACCCAGTCAGCGTCATAGCAGCTGAGTGGAGACTGGAACCAGGTTCTCCCCAGTCCCCAGTTCAGCACTATAACCACCACATGGCACTGGCTCTCTAGCCAATCATAAGCCGGCTGAACTGTTTCCTAGGCTTCTTGGAGCCTAGAAGTCCTTGCTGCAGCTCAGCTGAAATTATTCCATCTAACTGGCAAGAGTTCTGCTCCAGCCTTGAAGGGCTTGAGACCAAAAGAACATAAGATAATGCACACAGGTAATTTAAAGTGTGCACTCAGGCACACAGAATGGAGGGTATTTCAAGCAGCTGGAATACATACAGAAAATGAATTTCTTGACAACATGCATCTGTCTGTAAAGCTTATGGAACTTCACTGAAACTCTGAAGTGATTCCTTATGGTGTCATATCACACCCATATTAATATTCCCCCACTACAAATCTTAGGCTGAACCCCTTTTCATACTTAGCTAGGACTAAGTCCTGTGTCTGAGTAGACATACAGGATCAGATTATAAAAGGAGAGAAACTATTAGAAAATGACATGGTAAATAACCGGCTTTTATTTGAATAAATCATTTTTACACTCTAAAACATTGGAGAAGCATTTCCATTTCAATAGGCATTTTGAGTGACGAGACTATTTTGAGTAAAAATAAATAATCATTGCATAAGAAAATGAATATTTATCTATATCTATAGACAGGTAATATGAATCTCTTGATATACATATTAGGTATGATGTAAGTCAGGTAGGTTACCAAATCTTCTAAACAGATGGTCAGATAGATTTTGGTCTCTGAGGTAGACAAAGGTTATAATAGGAATCTTTCTTCCAGAAATCTGGACCCTTCCATCCACACCAACCCTGTGGAATAGAAAATGGAGGGGGGGAAGTACACACACTATAAATCTGGTGTTTTTAGTATGATGGCATTTTAGTAAAACAATATGAATGTCACATGTTTTGTACTATATATACATGCTCAGGAGATACATTTGTAAAATTCAAAAGCTATAAATATCAATACCAGCTCATAGTTTATGCATTCTGAAGGTTTTTTAAAAGTATTTTATAAACGGGCTTTGTTGTACCATTTTCAACATACAGCTCTCTATCAAACAAATCAAAGCTACAAACAAAGCACAGCAAAGATGTTAACCTATGCCAGGGATGATCAACTTCTGAACTGTCAGGGGGCAGATTTGAATGGTTGGAGTAGATCAAAAGCTGGAGCTAATCAATGAAATATTGTAATTTATGTGTTGAGCAATACATTGACCACTACTCCTTTTGACAGTAAACCAACCAATCCAAAAACTGTATCATACTCTACATCCCTCTGCCTCACATTCCATAAATTTTCACAGCTGCAGCTTCCTCTGGAAAATATACTATACACACCCTATTCAAGTTGTTAAAAACCCTAACTGCAAGGGGAAATGAGGGAAATCATACTCTGGCCTCAGCCTTTAAAACCCCTGGCTTCTCCCATTTAAAAGAAGATTTGAAGGATTACAGCAGCATTCTGTTTAAGAACAGAATTTTTAAGAACATTCACATGTTTAAGGACCCTGTACAAATCTTGGTTTGTTGAAATAAGCCAGCTTTATAACCTATGGTTTCAAACAAGCCATAGTTAGGATTAACCAGTTAGGATTAACCACAATTTGTCTGGTCTGGACAAAAAAAAAAAACCCTGTGGTTAATAAGAAAAACAAGTTCCTGATCTTCTTTTCATGGTTGCAGAGGAAGTAAACATGAGTCAAAGGCTTGCTGCAGTGTGTTCCCACTGTGTTAATCCATGGTTTGCCATAATGTCTGAAACAGTTGTATGTGTGTCTGTATATTCACTGCTTCATAAGAAGGAAATTGGATGTTTTGTTAAGTCAGCAATTGTGAATCTTTATATGTATCCTTATGTATTTTCTGACAGCTGAAACCTTTCCATGCCAAGTGATTGCCTGTGTGAAAACACGAAACTGACAAGGCAGGATAAAGTCTGTCTAACATGCTCAATCCTGTTTTGCCTCAGTAATATACTGTGAATTTTTAAGACTCAACCTGTCAAGGCCAATAACTTTAGAAAAGAGACTTGGGAAGCAAATTTGCACAGTTACCTGGAAGTAAGTCCCACTGTGTAATACAACTTACCTCTGTCAGACGGGCATAGCACTGCATTTTTTGGGGATGTAGTCATGCCACTACGAAGATATCACAACATCTGCTACTAACAGTTTATAAGTAAAATAGAGGATGCCAAGAAACCTGCATATTTTTGGGTGGCACATACAAGAACAACATGTGTGCCCTAATTGTGCCTTCTTATTTATGATGAAAGGTTTCAGATCAAATTCCATTTCTATGTTTGTAGTGAACCTACTTGTTTTCAGTCTACGTTCAGAAACTGCTGATAGCAAATTCTGTAAATTGCTCATTGTAAGGTCAGCCCATGATTCTGAAAACCTTTAGAAACATCTGTAAGACCCGAGTGACAGCATGCAAAGTTTTGGCCTAGGCTCGCAATTCTCAGCTCACATGTATTTATTTAAGTATTCCTGATGGGCCATTATAAACAGTTTACTGTGTGAGAGAGTCAACCCTCAATTTTAGTTTGTTTTGATTTTCATTGAATTGTGACAGATGTTGTTGCCATTTGGATCTACTAAAAACCAATAAAGGTTCAGTAACAGGTTCACCACACCTCAGGAATAGTATCTGTTCAGTTCACATGGGAAAACTTAAGCAAGATTCACACTTCAGTATGTCATGATGCTTAACTAAGTGTTATATGGGTCATGCATCCAATCAACAGAACACATAATAATACATTTCTAATGTATATTATTTAATCACAATGGACTGCATTCTTCAAGAAGCAAGCTTTACTCTGCCTGCAGTTTTCCAGCCCTTCAACAGGTCAGAATAGAAAACCAAGAGGAATTCAACATTTGTAAAAACCTCTCTCAGACTTCGGTTTTACATGCTCACGACTCATTCTGATTGAAGCCAGTGAATTCAGGAAGTGGGAATTCATGCCCAGATTTTGAATCAGTACCTTGTATTAAGAGTTTTATTCTAATTCAGGATTAAGACATTTCTAAATACTGATTCAAGTCCTGTTCTGGCTGAGGAGAATAAATTAAGGCCCAGTATTCGTTTTGGTTCTGATTCAAATTCAGGTTCTCTCTGCCCTCAGTTTTAAAACACTGTAGTAATAAGTCTTCAAACTGGGCTACTAGGGCTGGTTTGAGGTCCATTTAAATTAAAGCAGCTTTGCCCCAATGTGCTACCCTTCAGTTACTTTGAATTTCAGCTCACATTAGCTCCAGCAAGCCAAGCTAATATCAGGAATCCTGGGAGCTGCTGTCCAAAGCATCTGAAAGGCACAAAGCTGAGGAAGGCTCGATTACCCTTATGTAAGATACTTTTAATTTTCCACCAAAAAAAGCAGTAGGGGTCAGTAGGGCATGATTGACTTGGCATGCTGTACTGGTAGATACATTCACTTAAAAACATTTGGATCTTCCCTACAAATGGGATCATCGCAATACCCTTGACAGCACCTTTCTCACATGTAGAATCTATACATACATCAGCAAGTCTAGGAAAAGTAAGTAACTCACAAAACTCTCCCCTTCAATAGCAACAATGTTCAGGGATTAAAGTCAATGTGAAAACAGCCTCACCTTTTCTAATACAACATGCAGATCCTCTGGCCCAGTGTAATGTGGATCAAGGATCAGAAATTTTATGTGCCCTGTGCTTTCATTCCATGCTACCCCCAGTATTGTGTGAGCCAAGACTCCACCACCTGAATTGAGAAAGAGAGAGAAAAAGATGTAGATTTAAAATGGTCTATTCAAAGTCAATTATACATTAGAAACAGTCCTCTAAAGTCAAGTAGGCAATTTTCATTTTCAAATATCTGAAAGTTTGTTCCAAACATAAGTGAAAGCTTCCACAAAATATGGATTATTCCACAGGATAATGGCTGAAAGAAGCCAATTTTGCACTATACAGGATACAAACTATTACCTACTTGATGTGGTTTCCAATCTAGAAGATTCCCCAACTGCACAATTGTACAGAATCCCACAAAAAGGACATGAGTGCAACAGCACACTTTCAACCAATTAATCCAGAACAGATGTTAAGCTAACTAGCCTGTAGCTTCTTGGATCCCTCCCCCCTCAATCTCTTTTAAAAACTGGCCATTCTCCAGTACTTTGGTACAGAAGCTGATCTTAAGAACATGTTACTTATTTCTATTAGAAGATCAGCAATTTCATTTTTAAGTTTTTTAGGAACTCTGCAATGGATATTGCCTGGGCTTGGTGATATATTAGTTTTGTCAATAAACTTGAGAACTTCATCTTTTGTCATCACAATTTGACTTGGTTTCTCAGGTTTTTTTTCTGAAAACATCAGCTCAGACACATGCATCTGCCCTATATCTTATCCGGTTTAAAGACATGAAAAAAATCATACAGCTTATCCTCAGTCTTGTTGTAACCCCCCTCTTAATCGAACATGCAGCTAGGGCATGGCTCGTCACAGGTAAGAAGCATGATCAGAGTGTCCTGTTCGCGTAAGAACAAGAACCCCAACAAATGTGCACGCTACGCAAGGCTGACCACAAAGCAGCCTTTGTTGCTACGCTCCAGCATAATGTCACGCCCTGGTGCCCTCGCTTGCTTGCTTTAGCATAAAAAAAAGTGTGCGAATGTAGCTCAGTGGATTTCCCCTATTGTTCGCTGTTATTCAAGCACCTGCATAGCCATCTGTGTAAAAGAGTATAAAAATCCTGCCTTCGATCTGCTCAGCACCACACTCTAACGAGTGATGGTCCCTGCCGGCAGGTAAATAAAACCCTCTCGATAAGTCCAACCAGTCTCTGGTCTCGTCCGTAAAATCGTGCCATACAACAAGTCTTCTTATCCTCCCTTCGTACTCTTTTAATTCGATTATCATCCAATGGACCAATTGCTTCTTTAACTGGGTTACTTCTTTGATTTATCTCAATAATTCATTACTTTTGGCTATGATCTTGCTAGCAATATGCTCCTCAAAATGCTTTTCTGCATCTCTTATTGTCTGCTTGCATCTCCTCCTGCAAACTTGTGCTTCCCCTTGGTCTCCTCATTTGGTCAAAACTTCAGTTTTCTGAAGAAAGCTTTTTTTGGTAGCTTTTAATATTTTATTATATGGTTTTTATATGATTTTACTGATTATGTATGTTTGCCTGTAACCTGCCTAGGGATCCTTGTGGCTAATGGGGCAGGCAAAAAATATTATCATTTTTATTATGTTATTAATAGTTTTATAATTAATAATTTTATTAATAACAACAACAATAATATACATCATACAACTCATATATTTTATTATGTGGGAATGGCCTGTGTTTCCAGTACATGAAAAGCAAGACTCCCTTTGATAATGTAAGAATTGGAGCTGGAAAAACCCAATCAATTTTTTTCTACCAGCTCATTCTTTCTTCTATCAACTTTAGAACGTGCTTAACTGCAACACATCTTTTGTACATGTATCATTTGTGAAAACAAATGACAAGGAAGACATTCAGATTGTTTGGATAATTACAAGGACATTTAGCACAGTTCTGTTTGGAAAGCATGCCTGACTGGAGGTTATTCCTTCCTTAAAAGGGGCAGAAACAACCAGAGGAAGGTCACCTGTAGCAAAGAAAGAACTCTTATCTTGCGTGAGCATCCAAAACATTTTTTTCCTTTAGAGGCCCCCAGAAAGGAAGAAAAATTCACGCTCCAGATGTTTCTTTACTGACATTACCCTACTAGAAAGCTATCTAAAAGGATAACAAATCACAGGAAGGTCATGATTTACAATTACGTAGTCACAAATATTTTTTTAAAAGATTCCCGACAAAGTCAGCTTTTGAACACTGCATTCTTATGTTTATTCAGAAATAAGCCTCACTGGCCATGTTCATGTCACGTGAAATTACACTGCAAACAAGCTATGCAGTGCAGACTGCAGAACGACCTGACAGACAATTGGATTCATAGTTTTTGGTGCCTTCTTTCTACCTCGGTTTTCTATCTGGTAGCCCAATGTCCTTTGTGGCAGAACCTGTCTTGTTTTTTCCTCCCTCCCTGATCAATATCCCTTTTTTTTCACCAAAAAGGTGGGGGTTTTGGGGGGGGGTTAGAATTCAGAGTCACAAAAAATGCTCAACTGAGGTTGCATTTTTCAGATCCAGAAAACTGTGCAATTGAGTTAGTATTTTATTTTTGTTGGTCTTGTGCATGTGGACAGGAGCACACTTGTGGCTGTGGCCTTGCTTGGTCACTGCTCTTATATACTTCAGCTGTCAAAGGGGTCTGTCAAGTAGGTAGCATACCTGGAAATGGGCAAAGCAAAACTGCATATATGCTAATGTATACATAGTTGCCTAGCTGTCACTTGAAAAGCACTGTTAAAGGGTTAAATGCTGAAAATTGGAGCACCAAAGGGGAGGGGACACCATTGCCCACATAGCAATTAATAGAGCTATTATTAACAATAATTAATAGTGTTAACTGCTCAATTGACACTTCTCATTGCCCTCCACATTTTTAACACTTCCCTGGTATTTTGCCATTCCAGAAAGAGGTGAAAGTGGCTCCACCCTACCTCCCTGTGTTATCCTTTTGGACTGTTCACTGATGTGGTATGGCAGTTTCTAAAAATGCAGAAATATATGCAACTTTAATAGCTGGAAAGAAAAGGGAGGGAAAATGAGTGCAGCTGCCTAACTGAACAGAACCACAGTGATGAACCGGTGACAGTCGCTCCAAAGTACCGTTTGGAGATTGGTGGAGGGGCCACCAGTGGTGAGAGCACAAGCAAGGTCTGGAAGAACAGCAGGGCAGGGCTGCTGCTCTTGCGGAGTGGCTTGCTACCTGAGCCCCGTAACCAATGATAACATTGGTTTCCCAGGTTGGAAATGTGCCAGCCCTTTGTGGGTCAGATAACCCTTGCCAGGGTGGCAGCTGCTGAAAGTCATGCTTTGGGAATCAGTCTGCGTTCCACTGACATGGCATCCCACCATGGCTAGTTACCCACAACAGACGCTTTTCGGCATTAGGAATTAGCAAACCCAGATCTTAGGAAAAGCTTGGACACTTATTTTCCCTACTGCAGAATAGGAAATGAGAATGAGGAATGGGGTGGGATGAGTTTGGTAAAAGGTAAGTCTTCAGGCATGTATCAGAATGTTCAGGCACACAGGTGATATGCAGAACTGGTAGATTTATATAGGTATGAGAATGGAGCAGATCTGATTCAGGTTAAGCAGTGAAAAGTCTTTTGTGGTGGACTTAGTTATGTATGTTGAAGCAAGCATTCAGAACAATGACATAGAACCATTCTTTCTAACGCAGCACCATCGCAAAATGCAGGTAGGGAATGACATAACTGAAAGCTCTCCAAAATAATACCTAAATGTCTGTAGAAGAAAGGGGGTGTCTGTAGCCTTTCACTGATATCCTAAGTCTCCAGAGGCATTGTGTTTATTTATTTGAAAAATATTCATATCTGCAAACCGCCCCCCTGCCATGTTCTAAAGTAACATAGCTCCAATGGACCAGAATCTTCAAAGCTCAATCTACAGTATTTGTTAAAGATCATAAAATATTTGGAATATTAAAGTTCTTATAATGTGGTTTTGTGAACGTGAAAAAGCTTACCAATCATCACAGGTGTTCCCTCAGTCTTGAAGTGATTAGCAAGTTCTCTTCCCTGAGAAGCCATCTCAGACCCTTGGCTATAAGAAAATTTCATAATTACCTCTTTCAGTTACTGTTTAAATTACTGATGGGGGAGGGGGCTTAATGAACTATACAAGTTCCAGTCCCTGATAACTAGCAGTTTTAGCCAAATCATGCCTCCTAAAACCTTCTAAAAACAGGAGCTGTCACAAAAAGTAAGTAGTTGGGACCTCTCCCCCACTGACCAAAAACTTGGGTGTTCTTCTGTAGTGTGGCTATGGGTTCATCTTAGTGAAATGTAACTCTGAGTACAGATATAATTGGCAGTTCTGCCTCCAAAATGGAAGGCATAGCATACTCCTTATGGGTATTTAGAAAGAAAGAGGGCCTACAACTCCCAGGATCCCCAGACTGGAACATGCTGGGAGTCGTGGGCCTTTTTTTCTGTTTAAACATGCATAGGGTTGTACCCCTAAAAGGAAATCTCCAAGGTGCTGTACATCTCCTGCCACGAAAATATTACTGCAGAAGCATCTTTCCCAGTCCTGATAATCAAACTCAAAAACAAGGTGCATGCTACTTCTAACAAAAGTTAGAAAATAGCACAAGAAAATAAATTATTTGTCTGTAATCTGAAATCAATTTCATCATGGTGATATTACTACTATTGTACCAGTAGTGGTATCAATATTGGGTTTGGTCTAAAATGCAATTACTGTTGAACAAAATGTTTTCCTCCTAATGTCATTTTAGAATTGAGTTTTAAAGATCTCCAGAATCACTAGTTTTGCAGGATTTCAATAATGTATATAAAGCTATCTAAATAACAAAATATATAAACACGATTCACACCACTGATGACTGCAAAGGCTTACTTTTCTAATGCTGGAGCTTGTACTTTACCTTGGTTTAAAAGCATATGAAAACTAAATAGTGCCTACAGATTTAACTGGTAAGTCCTACAAAGCTTCATTTATTTATTAATTTATTCTATATTGCCCAATCTCCCAAGAACTTAAGGAGCGTACAACAGTTGGAATCAAGAGAAAAGTGTGATTTTCTTTGGAATGTTGAGACATCCAGGTTCATATACTGTCAAGGTGCAGAGTTGCATTTTGCTACTCTATCCCATCTTTTAATCGATTCTTGCCACAGTTGGCAACAGGGTAAGAATTTTAAAAAACATCCTTACCTGACAAACAGTATTTTCGACGTTATGCCTAGCAGTTGGTTCAGTACAAGCTGCACTTCAATAGAACCAATCCACTGGTGTGATCCAACAAACTCCGGTGGCTTGTCCCCAACATCAACTAGAGCCTTGGAAATCATCAGCATACCCACAAGTGAAAAACACAAATATATATTTTTACATTGACTTATACAGCGTTCTTTCAAATCTAATTTATTAGCAGAAAAAGGGGGATTTTAACAACATATTTATTGAGTTAAAATACTGCTTCATGCAGAATTGGTAGGCAATATAATTTAGCATAATTATGCTAATCCAACACTAACTGTCCTTTCAACCACAGAGTTTGCTTCTACATAGTGAATGTCTGGTTTGCACATTCACCACAGCCCAGCATTGCTTGTAAGCTGCAGTGGCTTCAACACTTGCAAATGTCAGGTGTTTCTTGTTATGAAAGAACCCAGTGAGGTGAGTAGCTGATGAGCCTTTCAAAACTCATGGCTGTTTTAGGGCTGCAAGCGGCCTGTCAACCACAGCAATCACACAGTCTCCATGGAGTAGTAAGCCTCAGTTGCACCCCAAATATTCAACATGGCGGCCACCACCACCACTAGAAGCCCTGTGCTGAAATTCACCCATGGTGACTTCTTGTTAGGTGTAAACCAGGCCACTGTCACATCAGTCTTTAAATGGAAAATATAGAAAAACAGCACAGCAGGAACATCTGCCTGACATCTAGATTTTTGCTGCAGCAAAAATCTGTCATGTGAACCACTACTTGCAGTATGAACTAGTGCTACCCAGAAAGAGGCTTGTTAGTTTAATGAAAACTAGGCCCAAGCCTGACCATATCCATTTATTACAGCAGGGGCACCCTCTGCAGACCCTGCCCCTCCCTTTCCCAATCCCTTCCCCTTCCCAATCTCCTCCCCATTTCCAATCCCTGCTGGCTGGCCTGGAAAGAAGAATCTTCATGTTATTGTGCACCTCTCACTGGAAATAACAAGCAGATGTCCCTGTGCACCATTTGTCCTTCAATGGGAAGATGAGATGGAGTAAAGAAGAATTATTTCCTTATTTCTGACTGGACACAGGAGCAGAGTGTCCCAGGACTCAGCCAAGTTCCTTCCCACCCTATTCACACTCCAACTGGGAAACAAGTACCATGGAAAGGAGGGCCTCAACCAACAGAGGTGCCCTGCCCTGCATTACAGAACACTGCAATGATGGGGCACAATTATAAATTGAAGCACACATTAACTCATGAAGCACAAGCTGCAGATTCATTGTACTCCATCAGCTGCAATAGGTAGCTTCATTTTTTCCCCCAAGTCTAGAAATCATCTGTACCTGCTGGATATCCTTGTGTGTTGGAACTGATCTGTCAGTATATCCTTGATGCCTGAACCACGAGCATATTGTCTGCAGAGACCGATAGGCGCAGCCCCAGCCATTATCATCAATACGATCCTGCAGGTAATGATGATAACTGTATGTGCCATAGACCAAATAGACCTGTCCAGGAAAGGAAAATGCACAGTAGCCGTGCATGTTAGATTCAGAATATTTCTACAAGGATAGTCATTTTGAAACATGCATTTATTATTTTTATTATTTATTGTTACTATCACTATGATTATTAATATGAAATGCTTCAAACGTTATCCTATATAAAAACAACATCTTATATAAAAAAAATATGTCCCCTGCTTACACGCTTTCGATTTACTAGACAGATGCAAAAGTTAAAAGGAGCAGGGAGGAAACAAGTGTTCAAGTAAATTCAGGCACTAATGACAATTAGTACCACAGAAGTGGTTGTTTCACTTCTCCTGCAGATGCTGCTGGATGGAATGGTTACCAACAGATATTTTCAAACTAGGGTTTCTGAAGTAGGATCCCTCTAAGCAAAGAAGCACTAATTACGCAAGAGTCATTGAACTCAAAGCAGCAAGTGAGATTCCTCAAACAAAGCCTCTGCACCACAGTTGGTTTGTTTACTGAGCCAGTGGATGGAGACTGAGGTTTGTGTGCTTCTCATTTGTGCTAACATTGATTGATAGGTGATGGATAGCAGGCAGACATCCCTACTACTTTTGTATGGGCAGATTTTGTATGGGCTTCTGCAGATTTTGTCCTTCTCTGATATGTTCTATTAATCTGAAATTTGTACAAATGGAACTCACCATACCAGACTCTATGCCAGGTGGATTAAGATGTACATGTGGGTTTCTGAGATATCCATCTTTGAATGGTTCATCTGGAAAGTGATAGGCATTAGCCCTTCGGAAATAAGGTCTGTCAAATGGTAGATTAAATCGTCCATGTAATTCCTCAAAGCAAAGCAAACATGAGAGTTATTCAATGGGAAAATTGACTCATTTTGTTCTACTTGATGATGAATATACTTTAAAAATCATTACTAAGCTGATATACTATATCATTAAAGTGCTTCTCCTACAAGGAATTCCTTACATGTGAACCTCAAACTACTAAAAACTAATTTGATGAATTTGACTTGCTATGAGATCAGTGAGCCGTTTGCCTGAAGTAACTTGTGTAGAAAAGATATGGACCAAAGTTATATGGGAGATATGGCAATGCTTCAACAGAACTGAGAAGAAACAAATCCACTGCAGAACAAAATGGCACTCCATCAGCTCTACCAAGAGCTACATACATGCACAAAGAGTTTCCCTGATTCTTTGAGGGCTGAACTAGATCAAGGTCTGAGAAGGTTTTGGACTTCAGAGCCCATAATTTCTGACCACTAGTCATGTTGGCTGTAACTTATAGGATATTTGGTCCAAAACATCTATCAGGCATCAAGTTTTCTACCTTTGCCCACTACATTACTGGAGGAAGGACAAATGCCAGGTTGCTGCCTAGTTCTGGTATGAACAACTGACTGCTCAGCACAATATAAGAAATGCCTATGCAAACACAGAGCATTTTTATGCAGAAAAGAGGAAGGAACTGCACACATGAGGCTTCAACTCACCACTGTCAGTAAGAGCTACTACATGGCACATGGAAATAACTTTAGTTGCCAAGAAAAGTATACAACCTCTTAAAGTACACAGCTATTTGGAATACAGTATACATTAAAAAGAAGCAGGTGAAGATTGTACAATATATACCCGGAAAGCCTATAAACAGAGGTCAGCCTACAATAATGAACTCCTACATATGGAAAAATGAACTTTAAAAGTGCCTATTTATAGCACAATCCAATGTGGCAGCCCATAACCCTCAGAACGTGTAGAATTCTGAGCATCTCATGGAAGATGGAAGGAATGCAGAGGTGAAGACTGACTCTGCCTTTCTGCTTAGCCAACTGGCTAATTTTTTTGCAGGGCAAAAGAAGCAAGGAGGGGTCCTTTGCCTTAGAAAAATGGCTTGTCTAACTCTTTTCAGCAACAGAGGAGGAAGCTGAGGCTTTTCCAGGATACTAAGTATGCTTAGGTGATTGTCTCCTCCCACCCCCTTTCTCAAAATGCTATCTCTGACCTCAAAGTCACAGCTGGCACTGTTTGTTCCACACCAGCTTCAGGGATACTCCAACTTTGGAGCTCCAGCTTTGACTTTGGAGCAAGTTTCTGAGGTCAATGATTAGATTCCGAAACAGACTCCAAAATCTTGTGCCTGTCTAGACAGCATCAAGTGACCACAAGCTTGCACCCTTAGTTACAGATTAATAATTTTATATCATTAACAAAAATGTCATAATATTTATGACAACATCATCCAAACATTATTTCATCGTAAGTCCTACCTGCCTGTAAGTCTCCAGCTGACTATCAGGAATACCTGTAGGATATGAGACTGTTACAAGGTATTTTTTTCCTGGTAACATGAAGTGAAATTGTTCAGGCACCACAACTGATGTTCCTTTCATATGTTTCAAAATGCACCTTTCCATATCAATTAGTTGAGTATGAATTGCATTCACCAGGAGACTTCGTAAACTGTAAGATATCAAGGAAATAATTTTAAAATGAGAACACCAGAAGGGCAGAATTTCTCTTTCAGTTTCTGGCATTTAGTTACCACCTCCAAAAACATTTGATGGTTTGTCTGGACAATATGTAAAAACATGAAGCAGAGTATAAGTATTATCTATTTATTCATTTACACTAGCCATTACATCTTTAAGGGGGCTTGGTGACTTACAACTTCAGAGGCTGAGATGACACGCATATATACCTGCATGTGCACACACACAGCAAACCAGCACAACCCAGTAACACTTAATGCCTTGGCCAGTGGATATCCTCCAAGGCTTGAGGGGCACAGCAGGCATTAGCTGTAAAGAGTCTAACTCCTTAACCAGACACCCCATTCAGCACTTGACTGATTTTGCATGTCTGTAACTGGTGCTGGGTAATAGAGACAAGATGGGTATTCTGTTTGTATACTGTCCACCCTGATAGTCCCTTTAACTGAGCTGACAGAGATGTTTTCAGAACTGTTGATAACCTCCTCACTGCGGCTGTCTTGTGTGGATGTACTCATGACCTCATGACTGCCATGAGGTCCATCAGCTTGTCTTAGATATTATCTGTCTCAACACATGCAGCAGGGAACATACTGGTGTTCTGTACTGGAATGTGGGGAGGTGCGCCATTGACCATGATAACCATGGGGATATTGTGCTGGGGGCATGGTACTGCAATGGCTCCAGTCCTTTCTAGGGATACTATAATAGAAAGTGGTGCTGAGAGAACCTTTGGACACTGGCATTTGTGGTGTTTCAAGCATCTGCTTTATGCCTCATGCTTTTCAACATCTACATGAAAGCACTGGAGGAAGTCATTCAGAGGTTTGGATTGAGGTGTCAACGACGAGCAGATAACACACAGCTCTATTCTTCCTTTTTACTGTAAGCTCCCAAGCTGGCAGTTGGAAGTCGTGGACAGGTGACTGGGGCAGCACAAGAATGGATAAGGGCTAACAGACGGAAACCTAATCCAGGTAAAATGGAAATACTGTGGGATGGGGAATCTGCTAATCTAGATGAAGGTTTAGACACTGGTTTGAGATAGGCTGTCCTCAAAGGCCCAGTTAGGCAGTCTGGGAAATCTTATATGGGAACACTGAACTTTGGGATAACTGTCAAAAAGTTTTATATGGCATATCCACTTGTATTTATAAATATACAAATATTATTAAATGCCATAAGCCCTCCTTATGACCTCAATACAAAGATCAAACTTTATTGCAGCATCCCTGAAGCTGCAAGAATTAGAACTGAAGAGTATGTAACAATATAACAGAAAATAAAACTAAACAAACATTTTACTCTACTTACTTCCGCCACATTTCTTCTGGAGACACAGAAACAACAGCGTCGACGGGCAAGGTCATGCTTATGTAGTGATGTCCCTTGTTCTCTTTTTCAATGACTGGCACCACAGCCTCTGATGAAGTTGTCATTTCCAGCATAAGATCTATATTTACTATAGGCTGCTACAAAAAAATAGGCTTCAGTGTACAAGCTGTACAGTCTCAAACACCCGAAAGCTGCTGCGGTTCCCTAATGGAACAAGTAAAAATTTGAGTTGAGAAACTTAAGATTAGACAAATGGCATGTAAAAAAGGGTTTAACTGTCAGCATCCCAGCATGACAGTTTTAATGCAATGTTAGGTGGTCCAGCTGCTGCTTTAAAAAGAAAATAAGAGAGAAATATGTCCAATATCTCATCTCATATGGCCCAAAGTCTTGCAAAATCAGAAAAAGGGGGTTGTCCCTCTGACTGAGGCGGTACAGATGCTGCAGTCAGATGCTGCAGTCAGATGCTCTGCGGAAAATGCTAGGTTGTGGTTGTCAACAACTGCAGATTTGATTTGGCACACTGATCCAAACCTGTCAACTTCAGGACTTGTGTTAAATGGATGAATGTGTTAAGAAGTCAACATAATTATATAATTTTAAATATCATTTTCATATTCAGCTTTCCAAAGTTATGGCAAGAAAAGAAATACATACCAAATCTTGCAATTTTTTATCTTTCTTTTTTGAAAACCTATGTTTAGCCTCCTCTTCTTGGTCAAATCTGGAAAATGGTGGCAAAGTTATTTTTAGTGAGGAATTATTATATTTAAAAAAGCTATTGCATTCCTGTTTTCTGAAGCGGTACTCACTGAATAAATCGCAGTATCTCTTTACAAGCAGAGTCATCCGAAAGTTCAGTTGCAACTGAGTATGTTCCACTGTTTGGCCACAGATAAACTGGGCTATGGCAGATTCTGAATACCAGCACATTTGAAGCCAGCTTGGCTGAAAGATCACTGAAAACATACTTTAATGCCTCTTTTGTTGAAGAATCTGAAACACGGAAAGGAAAGGGATGAAAGCACAGGAGGATCTAGCCTTTAAATACTTAGAAGGATCTTTTAAAAAGCAAGGGAACCCTGCCCACTGATATGTCAGTACAATAAGCAGTGGTTTTCCATTAAAGTAGGTTAAAACAATTTCTTAACCATAACAGTAGAAAAGCAACAAAATATATTGTCCCATGAAATCTAACACACTACAAAATTAAACATACTTACAAGGGAACAGACCCTTGGTTTGTGTTTGATACAGCTAATGCCAAGCTGAAGGTTGTTGCACTTACTTTAAAACCAAGTTTTATAATCAGTTATGAAAGCAAGACCTGACCCTGGCAAATCTAGAAATACAGACTCAGTATTTATGAGAATTTTGGAATTTTTAGAATGTTAATTTCTAATCTGATGGCATTTTGCATCAGGAGAAGATATTTGATTTTAAAAGAAATATTGAAGCAGTCTATTAATGTCCCAGACACTTCTAAAAAGTGACAAGGAAATATCCTAATGATTCTTGGGCATTAGGATATCCACTTCTGCTTGATGTATATAAATCATAATAGAATATATGGCATTTTAGAACTGTCTTTATAGGTGATGGGCCAGGTAAGCAATTTCGATGGGCCAAATTAGATCTGCAGGCTAGAGGTTCTGTTCCCATGCTATAGACCCATCAGTAATGCACAAACCCCTTCTGCAGCTGCCATGCTAGCACTGAACTTCCCTTGTATCCCTGCAGCTGCACCTGGAGCCCAAAAAATTACACATACCTGCAGCAGCAATAACAAAAATTAGTTAAAATGAAAGTGTCACTTTCAAGCAGTTAACTACTTCTACTGAAAGATTACTATTAGTATAACACAGCATCAGATATTTTAATAGACTTACCATCTGTTGTGGCCAGCTGAAAAGCCAGATCCAGGCCTCCTCTTATTCTAAAGAGTATGTCCATTGTCTCTAAAATGACCTATTTGCAGTAGAATAGAAAAGTTGAGTGAATATGAATTGAAGTGCAGGTGCTTCACAAGCTGTCAGGGCATATAGCTCTTGCACTTGATGTTATTCTTTCTGCATCAAAGTACAGACAGATAATATTCTAAGTCCTCTGTTTATATAATTGCAATAATATACCTGTATTTTACAAAAGGACAGTAAATATGATGCAGATCAAAGGAAGAGTAGGACTGGCCTTGATAAAAGCCAAGATAGCTACAAGAGCCAAGGAGAAACCTAAGGGTTCAATTATATGTATGTCTCAATAGGAAAGAAGTCCCACAATTTCCCAGCATTCCCCAGGCAGCACAGGAAGTGCTGGAAATTGTAGGACGTTCATGCATAGGACTGCACTTAAATGCCAATCAATCCTGCACGAAGATGCAGAACCTCAGGCCTCTGAGCCAAGAATATCCTATCTGGAAGCCAAATCTGGCTTTTGTGCAATATTCTACTCATTCTGAAATGCTGAAATGCTTCTTCTCAAATGTAGCTATTTGCAGTAAGAGACTTAAATTAAAATATGCTAGTATTTTGGCCATGCCTTGGCTGTGGAAATGCATTCCCTGAAAACGTCGCATAAAAGAAATTTAGACTGTGAGCTGAAAGAGCTTATTTCTGCTGATAGGACTTGCTTTTAACTAAGCATGCTCAGGATGGAAACCATGATGTGCAACTTTTATAATTATTCAGCAATAAGCTGCTTGGTGTTTAGTGGATGTAATTCCTAGTAACTGTAAGCAATTTTATATGTTTATGTATGATGACAATGGGGCACATGTGTCAGATGGTGCCATGCAGCATCTTGGAGTTTACAGGGTCTCTTGGGCCGACGCTGGGAAACAGCAAACCTTTCTGACCTTCCTGGTAACTAGTTTTTCTGAGAAGCCATATTTTGAACTGAGCAAGGCTCACTTGGCTGGAAGCACTATCTTTATCCACTGACACACAATTACTCCTGCAAGGACCACTCCCCACTTGCTAGCATTTTTGGACAGGGTCTTCAAGTGCACACAGGAACAAGCTGCAGCAACACATAAGGAAAACACTCTCCTTGAAACTGGTGCACCCTCTGTTGCTGTTTTACATGAGATGGGAGGGAATTTGGGAGCCTGTTGCCCTGTGCTTGTGGGAGAAAGTGGCTAAGCTCCAGGTTATGGAGGGCCCTTTGGCAAGGCACCTTCAGTAGGCTGCATCCCTCACTAGGCCTACCTTCTTACCATTATTGTCACCAGCTGCTAATGCTCCTCATCTTTTTTCTCCTCATTGTTTGCTTGACAGGTTGAGAGCCAGGGAAGATGTGGGCAAGAGCATCTGCTGCTGCCCACCACCACTGTCTGGACCAGAGAAAAAGGCAGGTGAATAAGCAGGAAGCAGTGGTGAAGAGAAGGAGCAACTCCAGGAAGCTCTTGATACTGGGATGCTACTGATGTACATGCCCTCAGCAGGTGCCTAGCCATGCCCACCCATCCTTAAAAAAACAGAACAAAGACAAAAAACAAAAAATTGTTCCCTCCTTTGACACCAGCCATGTGTGTGTACGTTCGTGCATGAATGAAGCATTATGGCAGCCTTCCCAAAGCGAATGCCTTCCAGATGGCCTGAACCTCAACTCCACTACTGGCCATGCTAGGTGGGCCTACTGAGGAAACTATGTTGCCTAGCACTGCGTTATGTCCTATGCTTGGACCAGCACAAGAAACTTTTGGGAGCTCCCAGTTGCCTACTTTTGCCAAAGGCTGTCAAAAATAAAATTATGCTCCCCTTAGAAGACACCATTTTCTATGGAGGCAGATGGGCAACCTACGTCCCTTCAGATGAACTGAGCTACAATTCCCATCAGCCTTAGCCAGCTTACCCAAGAGTGAGGGAAGATGGGGGCTGCAGGCCAAAACATCTGGAGGGCCACAGGTTGCCCACCCCTGGGGCATCCCCGAGAGCACTATGTCATTCCTTCCAGTCGGGAGCAGAGAATCAAGGTCCTGTTCCCGATCCCAAGGGCGGCCTGCAGCGAAGGGCCATCTCACCTACCACGTCCGTCAGCGGCGCGCTCGGCGGAGGCGACCCCGGCAGCTGCATGCTCCTCCCCTTCGGCCTGAAGCAAGAGCAGGGCGGCGGGTTGCCCTGCGCGCGCTCTACGAAGTGACACGTCACTCAGAAAAGCAAGGGGCAGCAAACCTTTCGTGAGGCCCGTGAGGCCCAAAGAACTACATTTCCCGACATGCACTTCCTCATCGCGCAGCCTCCACTGTGAGAGAATCCTCAGAGGGAGAATGAAATCCTTCCTGCCGTGCTTGGGCTTCCCCGAAGCCAAGGCAACTGCATGTCAACAAAGAGGCTCTGCCGAGCGAGAAAAGGAATCTGGCTCCGTTTGTGGAAGGAAGGGCGTGCAAGTGCTGCTGCTGCTGCTGTCTTGCGCGCTTGCTTGTGCTGAGTAGCCCCACTGGCTGTGGGGAGAGAGGGAAAGAGAGGGAAAAAAGGGGGTGAGTGATCTTTTGAGCGACTCAAGGAAGCTGGAGAAAAGAAGGGCGTCCAGGGTATACTTGTTTCTTGTACCAAAGCCTTGGCTTCAGGCACCGATTCTAAAACTTAATGTTCGTTTCAGGCAATTGTGATACATAACATGCTGCAAAAGGTTGGAATAAGTTGCTAGTTTTAATGCCTGCTGGATTGCTGGATCTCTCCTCCACTCATTGAGCGCTCGAGGTGATGTCCAATAAAGAAATATCCTGTCTGCTTATGTCTATCTTTATTGGACATTGCTTTGATAAACGGAGGAGCGATCCAACGATATTATAAATAAAATGCAACACCATGTGAAGAAAAATATTTGATAGGTACTACTTGATGTGTGTTGCAGCAACAATAAAGAGTCACTGAGTCAGGAACGATGATGCTTTGAAGTCAGTGACTGAATATTTCATCTTCCCAAGACAAGTCAGTCAGTGATTTTAAGTATTCTGAGATGGATATCTACACAACATTGTTGAATAGCGTTTTTTAAAAAAAAAACACACGTGACATCTACTAATCCACATTTATATATCTCGTTTGCTCCTGACAACATAGTTTACGTCTCTTGGCTACACCACAGTTATACAATTCTACCTTTTGAGATTAACATTTGATGCAACTGATGAGATGGACAGTGATCACAAAAGCTTTTGCTGGAGTAAATATGTTAGTCTTAAGGTGTCACAAGATCCTTTGGGGGGGGGTTCTGCTTTGTTTTGCTGCAACAGACTCTCCATTCTTTGTTGCAACAAACTAACACCGCTATTGCCGTGATGAATGTGGCTAGCATTGCTTAGATATGCATACAACTTGACCAAAGTACTATTGTGTGCTAACAAACTTACCTTGTTTCAAGGGAACTTCATCTGTCATGGGGAAAGGGCTGTTACTGTTCTTCAGACCTCAAAATTTAATGTATGTGCCTTCACATTTATTTAGTTGACATGCCATTTTATGGCTTGATTTTTGCTTAGAAATCTTGTGCTTAGAAGTGAAGCAAGAGTTCTTTTGCAGAAGGCAGTGCAACCCAGCCCAGAATGAAGTGTGTCCAACTTCCAGGACCAGCCCAGGGCACTTTGCCGCCTGAGGTGAAGCAGCAAATGCTCCCTTCCCACCCCGGTCAAGTTGGTTATACTGAGGTGTCCTAGTTATTTTGGTACCCAGGGCACAAAATCTCACAAGGGCCACTTCTCAGGAGGAGGAATAATGCATTAATTAACCAGTTGGTTCCATTTCATGACACCTAAACTTGGCTGCCAGAAAGAGCCATCTCAGTCCATCCAGGGGTAGGGCTAGCCCTGCCAGATCTGCTTGATTTCACAATTCCCTCTCAAGTACACTTACCCTGCATAGTATTCGGTTGCAGTTAAAGTACTGTAGTTTCCTGCAGGTGTGTTATGATATAGGACTAGCACTTTTTTTTAAAACTTCCCTGACTAGCTGCAGGTAGAACAAACTCAAAATCATTCTTTAAACTCCTAATTCAATGTGGAGTTTCTTGCTCTCAAAGGGGCAAATGCTCTGGAACCTTAATACTTGAGACTAGATTGTAGGTTTCAATGTTAATAATGCAGTAATTAAGTGATAAACTTGGCAATGAAAATTGGTGCTTGCTCCAGAGAGTGGAAACATAGGGTGTTGTCACATTATCACTATAGCTTAAACAAGCCACAGTGGCTGTTGGGCACCATTTGCTTAATTATCTGCTTGTCATGTAATCCAAACCCTGGCACGATGGCTTGTTGGAGGGAAAAATGATCCTCAGACAACCCATTGGCTGTTGTTCGATTTGCGGCTTAGACTAGTCATGGTGACTTGGTGAACTAGGTCAGTACTTCCAGTCTTATAATAGATCTAAGTGGCGGGGGGGGGGGGTGTCGCTTACTCATAAGCTAAGGGCTGAGGGAATAGTGGCTTATTGAAGGTCATTAAATGGCCTGGTTTTCAAAATTGAACCTGTAGTGGTTTTTCAATCATGGTTTGTTTATTGTAAAAACAGTCCCAGAACCCGTGGCTTGTTTTCAGGGTGGCTTGTTGTGAGGTCTGAACCCAGTAGGATAATTTCGTTATGCATTGTCAGGAACAGCTAGAGAGCCACCTGACAAAAGTGGTGAATTGTATGTTTTGTCTAACAGAAACTAAGAATTTTGTTACAAACATGTTTTATTTTTTTCTGAGATTTTTGAGTAAATGACATAAGACTGAAACGTGTTTATCCCCTACCCCTTTTCTTTATAGGGCTCATAAGACATCTGTACATTTTGTTAAGTAGCTGATTATCACACAAAAGTAAGCATGCCTACAGAAACAGGGAAAACAGATATGGAGAGGATTGGCCTCTTCAGTGAAATGGAATATATTACTGTTGGGGAAAAATATGTATCACCATTTAACCGTAAGTACATTTTCTGCAATGAATAATGAAGGTAGGATAATGGTGGTTTTGGTTTACTATGCCTTTGTGCATGCCAGCTACACTAATGCACCTTTGTAATGTAAGGAGAAGTGTTCTGTTCATTTGCTTCATATAGGATACCAACTATTGGGATATTGTGACAATACCATTGGTACGATGCTCCTTTGTAGAACTGGGAAGATGCTGTCTTTCATCCTCTTCCAGAAAAGCTGGTTTTATTTGGAAACATGCCTGTACTTGAAAGCAATCTCAGAATATTTGTTTACTTTTAATATCTTGCATTAAAATACAATAACCTTCATTTGGACCATTGTTGTTTCAATGCTCACAGAACCTTGCCTTCTCTACCACTTCACTGACAACTCAGTCCAATTCCTTTAGTCCTGTGTGCTGCTGTTCTCCCAGTCTTCTATTGGTCTGGTGAAAGTGTGCTTTCAAAACCCTATCATCTGGATAGACTTTCCTGCCTTAGTTATTGGGCAACTTGTCCTTCTTCAGATGTTAGGACCAAAAATCTGGCCACTGGGGTGTACATGGATTTATTCACTTAGATATTCTTTGCCTTGTGTGTGATAACTGTGGATGCTTATGTTATATGAATTAGGAATTTATGTTTTTCTTTTGATGTGGCTAGAATTCTGCCCCATTAGTTTTCAAGCAAAGTCCACAGTAACATTATCTATATTCTAGGCTCAAAGATGCTCATATTAAGGGGTCCTGGGGCTATTGTAGCATACACAGCCCCCTTCTTTGAGGGTAGCAGCAGATATTCCATTCTATTAAAATTTAAACCTGGATGTCTATTCCCTGGAAACAAAAAATCGAGGGTGAAAAAGGGTCAAAGATCTCTAACCTAACATTAGGATTGTACATGGATATATCACTACACCATACTGGGGTGGGGTGGGGACATTTTAATTTAGATCAAGTGTTCAAAAATATTTTTATTAGCATATCTAAAGTGCAAGGTTTTTAAAAGGTCTTCTGCATTAAGTGTCTGAAAATCATGTGCAAATGTTTCTCGTCCTCGACAGCCCTTCTCAAGGCTGTGGCTTCCTTTATGGAATCGATCCTTCTCATACTTGTTCTTTTCTATCTTCCTCTGCCTTTGACTTTCCCTAGCATTATTTATCTTCTCCAGTGTGTCTTTACCTTCTCATGACGTGCCTGAAGTGAAACTGTATTGCCTGAACCAATCTTGACAGCACTTACTTTTTTAAAAGGCCCTTTTAATGAAGCTGCAAGCAAGAACAAGCAAATGTTGCCAGGGGGTCACAAAGAGAAGGCAGCTACCCAGGCAGGTTACTTTGAACCTGTGTTTTCAAGAATTTTGGAAGGTGAAAGTTATTCAAATCCCGTTCAGCTAAGGAGGCAATATCGATTGGCAGAGGCAAAGAAAAACCTGGGAAGTAAACCATTCCTTCCTAGTAATGGAGATAAATTTCCGTAAGTGCTGGGAAAATTTTAATCATTTAATTTTTAAAAAATAATGATGCTTTATGACCTAACTTTCCATAAAAGCTGGAAGGCCTTCAGTTCCTGCAAAACTAAACATTTACCTCCAAATTGTATGGCAATTGTAATCAATGAACCCCCAACACACCTTCTATGAATGAAGAATGAGTGGTTAACACAATGGAAAACATCACAAATGCATAGATTATTCCTTTTCTATAGAGCAGCATGGGAAACTTTTGTGTATGGGTCCCAAATAAGGGACAAAGTGCTCTGAGAAAATATAGTTCTCAAAAAAGCAATTAACCCAAAATAGCTTTTAAATTTCTGTGAACCAGTATTTTTTAGGCTAAGAATAATAATATTGGTCCAATTTGCATGTAACAACACCCCATAGGTTAACTGCTGGTTGTGTAGCCTGAGTTCCCTCATCACATTCAGCAGCCTACACATGGGCCTATAGATCATTTGCTAAAAGAAGTGGTAGGCTTGCAGGAGGCAGTTTACTCTCTTTTGCTTATCTCTGACAGCCACTGGATTTTTTAACCAACGGACTGTTGTTATGTGCAAACCAGGTCCCTCCCTCTCTCTCTGAGAAGCCACCAAAGGTGACCTTTCCTCTTTCTCTGTTTACTTAATATAAATACAGATCCATTTAGTAGAATCAGGAGAGAATGATGAGAAGTAGGGTGTTAGCTTTTGTATTTCTTGAAGCTGCATTTTGATTTTTTTTTCAGGTGAAAGGGTATTTGCAAGAAAGAGCAATTGCCAGGCAAACTAGAAAGTAGTTTTTGGGCTGATTATATAAATTCACAAATGGACTATAAAGCATAACCAGAGATATTACATTCTGGGAGGAAAAACATGGGAAAAAAAGGAGGAAAACTAGTTTGTTTAATATAAAAAAATCTCTTTAGGGATTATTTTAAAAATTGAGCAATGGGGAGATCCCCCCCTTAATTTTCAGTTCTTCTGCCCCATTTTCTCAGGGTTTCCAGGCCTTGGCATCTCGAGGCACATTCACTCTATCAGAACAACAAATCCTATTAGCATTTCTCCTCAGATTTCCCATTTTCAGCCTCTCATTTTCTGCCCCACTGGCACCCCCATAATCCTCCTTTAAGCTCCATCCTTAAATATCTCCTAAAATCCTTCTGGCTATGAACCCTAGAATTCTCCTCTTTTAGAGTCCTGCAAACCTCACAATTGTTTCTAGTGTTGCTCCTGCAATCCCCCTGGGCAATTCTCATCCTGTTTTCTGTTCCAGGGGTGGGCATAGGACAGATCTACTATTTGTAGTAGGTCAGTTAGGGTCTCAAATTCTCCATCATTTTAACAATAGCAACTTTACATTGACATTAGTCAAAGTCCTTGTTCTGTACCAATGTGCAGATTTCTATGTTTGTATATAGGTCATCCCAGTGTATGGCTCCTGGGCTTGAGAGGCCTTTATTGGCTCTTCCTCTTTGAACTGCTATTTTGGATTTAGCTGCAGTTGGTGAAACTCACGGTTTAGGAAAATACAAAGTAGAACTTTACATCTCCCCTTTCCTGTTCTGTGCTACCAGCACATGTACTATGAATACCTTTTCTCTTCTGAGGCTTCCTAGTTTAGGTTCTGCCAACTTTCTGCAGTGTTTTAGGAGCTATTTCTAGTCTGAGAATGTAAGTATGGGAACTGAGAATATCTGCAGAAAGATGGAGAGGCATCTGGCTATGGTTGTTGGTTCAGCTCTTTATTAGCATAGGAAGGCCTTGTCAGAGAGAGAATTATGGGAGAATACTGAGAGTTACGGGTCTCTGGTCTGATTAAGGATGAAATCTAATTAAAACTTTCAGCTGCTTGCATTATTTTCATCAGGAGAACTTGGAGTGGAACATGATTCATCCTGTTCCTGTGCATTATGAAAATCTGTACGGGAGTATTGAGGGGTGGGGGCTGGAATAGATGGAACATGCTTGGTAGCTGTAGCAGGAGAGAAAGTCCTGTTGTGCGCGTACATTTGGTTTCCACCCATAGCATGTTAATTAAGCGTGCTAAATCCCAAAATATTAAAACACAGACAACCAAATGCAAAACTGTATAAGAATGTTTGTATCTTTTACATACCGTGCAATCCTGTATATGTTCAGAAGTAAGTCTAACACAGTTCAGCACGGCTACTTCCAAATAAGTGGGAATAGGATTGCATCTTTAGTGTGGTATAATTTTTAAACAAAGCAATCACTCTGGATAAATTGGAAATACCTTGATTCTAGCATATTAGACGAACTGTAATAGTTTATCATCATATCAGGTTGCAAATCTAACAGAGAAATGTTTATATGTTTTATTTCAGCAACGGTGCAGGAACTTACTATGGAACAATTGGAGGCCCATGTGCCTCCTTTAGTGCACAAAAAAAAGACCGGATACCATATGTTCAACCTGGGAAGAATTTGTATACCAATCCAGGCAAAAAGGGAACTGGCTATGGGTAAAACATTCTAGAATGGTAATCTCTAATGGCTTTTTAAAAAATTTAATGGATGAAAGGATAATTGAAAATTTGTGTCACCACTATTTTATTTTCTCTACCTAGGTACGCAAATCTCACCATAGGTAAACCATACGCACACTCAGTTGAATTATATGATATAGGAAGAATAAACTTTAAGGTAAAATTCTGATTTTGATTTAACTGTCTCTACATTGACAGCACACATTGTTCTAGGTCTTACTTTACTTGATGCTAACTAGACTCTACATCAACTACCTTTCTTTTGTAAATGCACAAAATAGGAATATTCTTCTTCTGCACTTTCAATATACTTGCTGATTCCAAAATGGGAATTGTTTCTTTCATTGTGACATTCTTTCTGTTTCATAGATAATTTTATTCCTGTTTTCTAAACCTATTATATGCTTCAGCTTTACTTAGTCCTGATAAAATCCATTCTAAATACAGGCAACTTAAGGTCTGTCTCAACAATGAGAAGATTTGGATAGTGACTCATTGGCCCAGCTATTGTCATGGGGCACTCATGTTTGTCCAAGATAGAGCTGCCACTGCTGCTTGTTTGCTAGGCAGCTGGAGCATACAGGTTGACAAGAAACCTGATTGCGGAAGAAGAGGTTGGAGGCAGGCAAGGGGAAAATAAATGGGAAATCCATCTGCCAAGTATTCTGTTCCTGCACTTTCCTATTACTTCCTTGAGGACACATTCCTCTCTTCTGTATCTAGTTTGAGTTTGGTGCCATACCTGTGTGAAGCTATGGGAGGGTATGAGCATGTCATGTAAGATCTCACTGGTTTGGTATATGCTTCAGGTGGACCTGAGAAAGCCCAACCTTGGACTGAACTTTTTTTCCCCCAGAAGAGTTAATTATTTTGATTAACAAAGGCACATGCCACTCCTTGCCTTGTTGGTACATACTTGGAACCTGTACAGATTAGCTCTTGGGTATAAACATCATCATCATCATCATCATCATCATCATCATCATCATCATTATTATTATTATTATTATAACATTTCTGTGCCGCCCCTTGCCGAAACCTCGGGGCGGCTTACAACAACAAACATGTCCCTAATGCAGCTGTACACCTATTGTCTAGCATTTTAAACAGTGCAGTTCCACACAGTGTAGTTCTACTCAGATACAATTTCATCTGATTTCAGTAAGACCTGCTCTCAGGTATATGTATGTAGAATTGCAGCCTTAGCCTCTCTCCTAGTGTAGTTTCCCCATTAAGATGAACTGTGATACGAAGATATGAAGACTTTAATGTGATATCTTCCATCCGTTTTATGTAGAAAACATCTGAAGAGCACCATCGTCTAATGAAAGGTGGACCTTTCAAGTTGAATCTTTATCCCCGAGAATATTTTGATCTGAATCCATACCATGATGACCAACCGTTGCCACCACCAAAGAAACAACCTGCAAAAGTACCAATTTCACACCCTTTTAAGCCAACTTCTCCAGCCAAAAAGGTACAGTTCTTTTTTTAAAAAAACCCTACCAAGATTTCTGTCCCTCCCTTTTATTTGAAAATATTTTAATTTAGTAAGAAAAAGATCTATGTGATCTATTTTATTGCAACCTGGATAACTGTTTTTGAATTGTGGGGAAAATATGTCTGGAGTAACCTTGAAAAACCAACATCCTGCCAAAACTACAGATAGCTTTTATGAGAGTGCATATAATCTTCATGGAGATGCAGTGTGAGGCCCACTCCTCTTCACTAATAGAAGCATTGAGTTTCAACTGATCCTCAATGTGCTTTACAACAGATGTGTTCTTGTATTACTGCCAACATCTGCACATGCTTTGTTTGCAGAGGGTCTCAAGGTTGATCCTGTCATCTCCAGGCAGGACTAGAAGAAATCTTGCCTGAAACCCTGGAGAACTGCTGTTCTTAGTACTTGGCTACCTTATTCTATTGAGAACTAGTACTAATGCAAGTTACACTGCATTAGCACAGGAGCACGCAAATTGGTATATGGGTCAGATTTCCTGCTTGGATGGAACTGGTGGATTGGAGGACATCAAGGGTCAGAACTCTGTCCTGCACCCCCACTCCTTGACATGATGTGAACCAGCCCTATTCCATCTGCATTTTTAGCTCCATGAAGTGAGAAGCATGGAGCTGCTTGCAAAACGTAGACCTACAAGCAGCTGCCTAGTCCTTTATTTGTTTCATGCGCTGCTCATATTCCAATTGGAATGCAAGTGGTGTGCAATAACCTAGCTGGAAAACTTGTTGCATCAGCAACTGCTATTGGCATTGCACTGGAGGTAGCTTTAGGTTAGCACTAATGCCAAATAGGCTACTGGACCTAGTCTTTTACATAATACATTTCAGCCTGCCTAATAGCATTTCTAATCTACTACCAAGTTTGTGTGTCATCACATTTTAGTATTTCTTTGTTCTTGTCTTTCCAGTCAGGGGGCATGAAAGCAGGCACCTTTGATCCTTATCCAACTCATTCCACAGACCCCTTCATAGTTAGGTTGCCTAGGCCTATCACAACCAACAAACAAGGACAAGTATTTCATCCATCTCCTGGAAGTAAGAGCAGACCAGTGAGAAGTATTATGGCAGCAAATGTTGAAAAGTAAGTAGTACATAGATCTACGCATTGAATTTCTATGAAAAGGGTGCTGAGTCTTATATCTGTTTGGGTTACATTCTTTGGCCATTCCCTTAATCTGTGTTGTGTGGGAACTGTCTGTCTCCCCTAACTCAGCAATGAGACAAATCTGTTCTGAAAATACTTAGGGCCAGTAGGGCCTATTCTTACATTATAAATGCTAGGGTTTCCTGGCACTGGAAGCAAATAGTCAAGCTCTGGCATTATTAAATCCTGCTTATTTAAATTGTGCCTTCATGATATAGTTAGCCCATTCTACTAGGGAGAGTAATAACATTCTTCTGGTCTGACTCAAGCTTTCCCAGACATGTATGGGAAGACTCCTGCTTTCTCTTGGTGCTTTCTTCTTGGGGGTGCAAAATTGAGGTGTGTCTGTGTTAAAGCACCAGAGAGGCCAGAGAATGTGTCTGTTAGAATGTGTTCAGCTTGGTGGTTCACACAATTGCAGGCTTTGCCTAGCTGTTTCAGCTCCCTCTTTAAAACCATGTAATGCAATGGCTTACCAAGCAGTTGTCTAGGAGTTGTATGTGATGTTTCTTTTTGTTTGCACAAAGTTTGGAAAGAAAAGCTTTTTGCATAACTGTGTGTATAGGAGGTGGGAACTGATCATACAAAAGAGCAGAAAACCTCTGCACATGCATGTTTTGGCAGATAATCTGCAGCATGGTTTAAAACTGACTTTAATATGGTAGCTATGATATGAGGACTGGCCATAGTAATTTCTTTTTGTCAAACAGTTTACCACATATGGCACTTCAAGCATTTGTGATGCCCATCTTCCTTGCTGCTTTATACCTTTTATCAATTGCCAAAAAGGATACATCTAATACAGTGTGAAATATGATGGTCTTTTTTGGGTGGAGAGGGGAAAGAAGCAGGTTGCCATCTGGCAGTTTGGACAGTAAAACATAATTGTGCTTCCAGGGCTCACATTTTCATCGAGCAATTGGCTGAGGAAGCACTGGAGGAGGAGGAACTCATTAGTTATGACAGGCTGTTGTCTGATATTTGCAGGACCCTATAATAAAACAATATATATAACTTTTGATATTATATCAGAAGTTGCTAAATGTTCGACATCAAGCTTGTCCAGTGTGATGCCTGCCAGATGTAATGCCTGCTGCGGGTGAGGTGGGATGCAATCTAACACAACCTTGTGTAGAAGACCACCTAATGTAAAAAACAAAAATTAGAAGGATAGTACTTCTTGGAGAAGTGTTGCTCTGTAAGCTCTGGGATTGTAGGTTTATAGTGTACTTAAGGAAGATTTTACTTGGTGGAAGCTGCGTGGAGTGCAGAAATGCATATGGAAGCTTGCAGATAGAACAGAAAGCTGTATGTCAATTAAATCTTCTGACACTTCCTTTACATTTAAATTTCAGATCATTAAATTCAACCAACTACACAAATCCACGTGTGATGTCATATTAGCTACATGAAAACAAGGTGAATGAGCCCTTTTTGACTCTGCAAACTGTTTGAGGGCAGCTCAAGTAAATAAAAAAGTTGTGGCTGAAGGAAAAATGTTAAATGAAGCAACCCTTTTGCTGTAACGGCACACAGCATCATGTTTTACACATTTATAAAGAAACACATTAATCCTATCTTCACTGGTACTGTTTATGAAAAGTCAGGTATATTTTGATATAGGTTTTATTTAGGATGTATATGAAATGAAATCCATTGTGGTGTGGTGGTTACAGTGTTGCACTGAGGACCTGGAAGATCTGTGTTCTAGTCCCTGCATGGCCATGATGTTCACTGGGTGACTTTGGGTCAGTCACTAACAGTTTAAGAATTACTGTTCTGAGGATAAAATGGAGCTATGCAAGCCACACTGGGTTCCTCACGAGAGCAAAAAGATGAGATATAAATGCAGTGTAATAATGACAATGATTATGATAATTATAATAGCATGAATAAATATTGATACTCTTTGTGTGATGAACATCAAGCTGTTTTTCCCCAGCCATTTTAAAAAAAGTTGTCCAATGGCACATACACTTTGGACCAGGTTAACACAGAAACAGAGTGAGTCAGAAGGCGCCTCTTGGGCCATCTTGTCTGACCCCCCGCTCCAGCTGGCTCTGCTCACGACATGCTCACCATGTGCATGTCCAGCGTATCTTGGAACACCCTCACCGATGGGGCCTCAACCACCTCCCATGGAAGCCCATTCCATACCTTTGGGGTCCTTTCAGGAAGTGCTTCCTGGAATCTAAATGGAACCTTGGTTCCTTGAGCTTTGCTCCATTGGAGTGCGTCCTGCCTTCCTCTGCAGGGGAGAACAGGTCTCTACCCATCTCCATGTGACATCACCTCACAGACCTGTATGTCGCCAGCATATCCCTTCTGAGTCTCCTATTCTCCAGGCTGAAGAGACCCAGTTCCCTCAAGTCTCGCCTCATACCCCATCCCCTGCAAACCGGCCACCAACCTTGTGGCCCTATGCTGCACTGACTCTAACCTGGCTATATCCTTTCTGTAATGAGGGGCCCAAAACTGAGCACAATACTCCAGTTGTGGGCGCATCAGAGTCATACAGAGTGGTAGTAATACCTCTCTTGATCTAGAAGCCACACTTCTGGCTATGCTACCAAGGGTGGCATTTGCCCTCTTGACCACTGCATCACACTGCTGACTCATGTTTAGCCTGCAGTCAACCAGTACCCCGAGGTCCCTTTCACAAGTGCTGCTCTCCAGCCACTTGATCTGGAGTACCTGCTCCTCAGTTGTGGCCACTGCTCCAGTTTTAGTATCGTCTGCGAATTGGATCAGCAGACTGTTCACCCCGTCTTCCATGTCATTTATGAAAAGATTAAACAGGATCGGCCCCAGGACAGAGCCCTGAGGGATCCCGCTTGTCACTGGCCGCCATCCCGACGATTCCCCACTAATGGTTACCCTCTGCTTTCGGTCAGTCAACCATGCCCTAATCCACTGGACAGTGCTTTGGTGTATCCCAAAACTCCTCAGTTTCTCCACCAGGATATCATGGGGCACTTTGTCAAAGGTCTTGCTGAAATCCAGGTAAACCACATCCACTGCATCCCCTCCATCTAGCCATCTTGAAACCTTGTCATAGAATTCCACAAGGTTTGTCTGGCAGGACCTGTTTTTGTGGAAGCCGTGTTCTGTGGCTGCCAGCCTCCCTTCCCTATCCAGCATTGCTAGATCTCTCTCTATTATGAGCCTTTCCATTGTTTTTCCTACAATGGATGGAAGGCTAACAGGTCTGTAATTCCCCATGTCCCTTCTACTACCCTTTTTGAAAATTGGGACCACTGATGCCACCCTCCAGTCCTCTGGAGCTTCACCCATTCTCCACGAGGCCTCAAAAATAGAGGCCAGCGGGGGTGAGAGAACTCTCTAAGTACTCTCAGATGTAACCTGTCAGGGTCTGGAGCCTGTGTAATGTCCAATGCCCTGAGGATCCCCTCGACTTCTGCGGGGGGGGGGTAACTCTAATCTGTGCCCCTAAGTCCACAGCCTCATCTAATCTCCTATGCAGATCTTCCCCGTCCAGCTTTGGGGAGAACACAGAGGCAAAATAGCCATTTAGCATCTGTGCCTGTTCCCTCATATCAGTCACTGGATCTCATTCCTCCTTATTTAGTGGTCCCACCACTTGCCTCCCCTTCCTCTTCCTATTTACATGCTGAAAGAAGCCCTTTTTCTTGCTCTTGATATTCTTGGCAAGTCTCAGCTCGTAATCAGCCTTAGCCTTGCGAAGAATCCTTCTGCAACGGGCTTCCTCCTCCCAGTATACCCTTTTGTCTATTTGCCCCAGTACCCATTTCCTACAGAGGTTCCTCTTTCGTCTAATCCCTCTAACCACCTCCTTTCGCATCCATGGCGGCACTCTCCTCCGCCTCCCCACCTTACTGACTAGAGGTATCGTCAAGGCTTGCACCTCCGAAACCTCCCTTTTGAGTGCCATCCACCCCTCCTCAACTTGCTTACCTTTCAGTAACCTATCCCAGGAGACTTTCCCCAGTCCAGCCTTCAGTTGGCCAAAGTTGGCCCTCTTGAAGTCCCAGCTTCTAGTGCTTGACCTGCTGCACGTCCTCAGTCCCCTGATCTCAGAGCAAAGGATGGAGTGATCATTCACATCCAGAGCTCCCCTAATCTGTACTTCCTCTATCAGCTCCTCTCTATTGGTCAAAATCAAGTCAAAAATGCTTCCCCCCCTTTTCACCTCTCGGACCCTCTGTGTGAAAAACCCTTCCTCTATAGCCTCTAGGAAGCGATGTGACCTGGCTGTCACCGCCGAGTGAGTCTCCCAACTAATATCCAGAAGATTGAAATCTCCCATAATTACTGTGTCTCTCCCCCGAGATATCCTTAGAATTCGGCCTGTCAGGACATCATCCAAGGTCTCAAGTTGACCTGAAGAGTGATAACATACCCCCACTGTCAGGTTCCTTTCCCTGTCAAAACCCCTAAGTTTCACCCAGACTGCCTCTGCTGAATCCCCATCTGTGCTGCATTTTATCTCACTGCATTCTATCCTTTCCCTGATGTATAAAGCCACATCCCCACCTCTCTTTCCCTTCCTGTCCTTTCTAAAAAGGTGATACCCCTCTATGTTCACATTCCAATCTTGCCTTTCATCCCACCAAGTTTCTGTGATTCCCACCAGGTCATACCCTCCTGTTCCCAGGAGAGCTACAAGCTCTTCCTGCTTATTACCCATGCTCCTAGCATTGGTGTACATGCACCTCAACGCCTTCCCACCACTTCCTTTCCTTGGAGTTCCCAGCCTCCTCCTTCCTCCCATCCTCCCTGATACCTGGCCCCTCTCTGTAGGAGTCCTGTCAGTCCCTGCAGTACTTCTAAAACCCTGCTCCCAGAGCTGTGATCCTCTCCCCACACTTGTCCAGTGCAGACATGTTTCTGGGGGGCCTGAACCGCCCCCCCCCCCCGGCCCAGTTTAAACTCTTCCAGACGAAGCTTGGTAGAGCATCTCCAAAGGACCTTTTCCCCATCCTTGTGAGGTGCAATCCATCCCTTGCCAGAACTCCATTGGCAAGAAACCGGGTGCCGTGGTCGAGGAACCCAAAGCGTTCCTTCTGGCACCACACCCTAATTCAGTCGTTCACCTTGGAGACCCTCCTGTCCCTTCCTGGCCCAAATCCCCGGACTGGTAAGATCAACGAGAAGGCCACTTGGGCCTTTAGCTCCCGGAGTTTCTTTCCCAAGTTCTCAAAGTCCCTGGTGATTCCAACCACACCCTGCCTGGCCACGTCGTTTGTGCCCAATGGATCACCAGGAACGGCTGGTGACCCCCAGAGCGAACAAGATGCGCTACTCTGTCCTTCACATGCCGGATGCATGCGCCTGGCAGGCAGCAAACCTCCCTTGTCTCCAGGCTGGAGCAGCACACTGCCACCTCAGTGCCCCTCAGCAGGCAGTCCCCAACAACAATCACCTGCCACCGTGTCTTCCCGGTGGTGGTGGGCAGCCATGCCCTGGCCCTTGCCTCTCCTGCAGTGGCCCCCTTGCTGCTTGTGGTCCCAGGCTGGGGGTCCTGCTGGTCCCCCAAGGCCTCATAAGCCCCAGCCTCCCCAAATGGAGAGAACCTGTTTCCCAGCTCCAGATTGGTGCCAGGAGAAGGAGGCGGCCGTGCTGGCCTCCTCCTCCTGTGGGTGACATACCTCCATGTCTCCGTGGCTGCTCCTCCTGTGGCCTCTCCCTCAACCCTCTGTCCAGAGGGGGGGCTGCTCCCGGGGGGCCTGGGGAGCTCTCTCGGCCCTCAGGCACCTCACCTCCTCCTCTAGCAGGGTCACCAGCTTGCACCGAGGGCAAGTGTAACCCTGCCTCTCCTGGGGGAGAAGGGCGAACATGTTGCAGGTGTTGCAGCGGACAGCAACACCCGTGACTCCCACCAAGGCCATCTCCTGGTCTGCCACTGGGATCCCTTCCGAGACCTTACCTTGGTCCCCCGCCTTGTCCGTCCTGCAGTTCCCCTCACTTGCCCAGTTCTCCCAGTCAAAAACCCACACCCACACACACACGATAAAATAAAATTTAAATTGGAGGAAAAGCAAAGCAAAGCACAGTGCAGCACCAAAAACAAAGAAAGAATAACATAGCAATAAAAACAAAAACCCTCGGCGTTCCAGGGAAGGGAGTCCCTGGGCAGCCTGGGCCAAAGCTAAGGGACACAGATAAGGGACGACGCCTTATCAGTCCTTCAGGCCGGTGGCCCCGCCTGCCTGCTTCCTCCTGGCCCCAATAGCCTCTCTGGCCCCGCCTCCCTTCCTCTCTGCTGCTCCTGGCCCTCTGCTCCCCTGTCCAGCTCCTACCTTGCCTTCGCCTGTCCCCTGGCCACTCAGCCCTCTCTCCCAGCCTGCGCCTCGGCTGCTCTGCCAAGAGTATTGTCTGTCTATTAATGACAGTCCCCTAAGTTTTAAACATTCTAGAATGGCAGCAAGATATGGAATCTAAAACACAGACATGGAGTGTCTTTTCATTTTGGGACAGAATAAATATCATTTTTTAAAAATGAAAGCTGAATATTTCAGGAAGTGGCTTGAAATATGCCTGAGGGACCTAGCTCCCTCTCCCATGACCATAGCTCTAAAAAAACCCATGCTGATAACAACTCCAAGACTTTCATTTGCTCCATCTTTTATGTGGTTGCATTTTCATAATGGTGACTGCACGCACCCTGCATGTACTGCAGCTCATTGCAAGCAATATAGCCCATGGGGAGTCCAGCATGGTGTGCAAACCAGCCATCCAACAAAGCTGAATGGTAGAAGATGTGGAACAGACAAAAGGAACACACACAGTGCACGGTTAAGCTATGGTGCTTGCTTTAAAAGATTAGATGAATTCAGAGGCTTTTTGCGAATGGGGCAGCATAAAAATGGTTTAAATAAATAAATAAATAGAGTATAACACCATCATTGTTACTCATTGTGTTGCTCTGATTACACTGGAAAAGAGATTTTTAAAATCTAATAAAAGAGCTGAAGTTTTATGAGAGGAGAGATGCCTGTTCTAAGATTATAGACTAAGTGTGCTTTTCCTTTATTATAGTTTAATTCTTATGTAGAGTTAGGGCACAGTCATATGTCCCATGGCCCTGGTGCACATAACCACTCTCTGCACTGAGGGGTTTATGTGCATTCTATCCCCCGAATGAAGCAGTCTCCACCACTGCTGTGCATTGCACTAGGTATTTTATCCAGACAGCTGGAGTCTGCTGCTTAGATAAAGCTCCAGTGAGGGAGAGGGAAAGAAGCTGGGATTTCCACAGGAAGATGTGCAAGTTCTTGGCCCCAACCTCCTTCCCTCCCTGTCATGTCAGCAGGCTAAAGATGGTGACTTTGTTTAAAACTTATAGGATTAATCTGCTGATTTCTTTAGTTGGGTGACAGTCCTAGTATTACAGTTGTCTGCAAGGTACCATTTAAGTCCTACTTAAATGGAGTTGGTTTCCTCTAACAACTATTAAAACAGGTTCAGATCAGCATTAAGATATGAAAGTGTAACAAAACCCAAAAACACTGTTTTAAGCTTTTGGTGTAAATATTTTAAATTAAGACTACTTGGTGTTTTAATATGATACTCAAGTTTTACATTTCATTTTTTAAAAAGGAATCCTTCTTCAAATATAGTGAATAATTCTGCCAATAAAGTCCAGATTACATTTTAAAAAATCTGATAGTACAGGAAGTAACACTCAAAATTATGTCAGATGTTCCATTCTTTAAGAAAAGTTCCACCTCAAAAAAAGAGCAGTATAAAAGGAGCTATAGATAAATATGTATCCATGTGGCAGTCTGGATATGTATTCCTGCGGCAGCAGTTTCCATCAATACTTTCAGTTTCATAATTCTTGAATAATCACTCTGCTCTTGGCTAAGTTGTTTGAGCAGTGTGATTAGAAATGCGCTTTGTCCTTAATGTAAGTGTGTGGAACCCTCAACGTACTAAGTGGCACAGCAAAGAGCGCTGTATTTTTTTCCGCAGAGCAGTTGGAAAACCTGACTTTCTTATGATAGAAGTGGTGCAGCTGACTGAAAAGGCACTGTAGAACTTCTTGACCTGGATGCACTTCTTGTCTGGACAGAGCTTGTCTCCTCCCAGTTTCCTTCGGATTTCAGCAATCTTTCCAAACCCTAGCAAATTAGAAATGTTAGGAAAGTAGTTAACTTAAACTGTAATGAACTAGTCCGTCTAAGTGTTTGCAGTGGAATTTCCACAGCTGGTTTGGATATAGAGCAAACTGTCCCTTCTTTGGTAAATGAGCTACAAATCTCTTCTTTAGATAAGTTTAGAAGAGATAATGCAATGTATGACAGGATAGTGCAATGGGACAATATCTTGAATTAAGTTGCTGCCTTGGTTCACACACAATGCTAATCCATGCTATGTGTTTTTGATTCTGGGTTATTGTGACCTGTGAGTCCAGCTATGCTAACAAACCATAGGCTGTTAATCACAAACAACCAAGAAAGAGAACCTTCTTTTGTTTGATCTGTAGTCAACTTTCTCATTATATGCAAACTAAGAATCTATTTAGAAGTGGTAGGCAACAGTGGGGGTGCCAGCACTACAGCACTGCAAAAGTTCGATGAAGGAGGAGGGAAACAATCCAAGGACTGAGAAAAGAAACTAGTTTCTTCCACTGTCTTCTAGGCAAACCCTGGATAGGGCAGCAAGCCATGGTTTAACATTATGCACGAGCCACTGAGTGATAGACTTGGTTCACATGAAACAACAACCTACAGTCAAACTTTGACTTTTGTTGGTTTAACTTTCATGGATTTGATTATTTGTGAGTCTGCTATCAATAATCAGATGGAATTTTTTTGGAGTTTTGCAGCCTACTGCAGAAAATCATCAACACCATAGAAAGGAAGCAAAAGGGGAGAGAGGGAGGGCCTCCAAAGCATGCCTTCTTTCCCTGCCCATCCAGAGATGAAAATATCTCCACCATTTCTTTTGTGCAAACAGGAGGCACTGCTGAGTGAAAGGAAGGACAGGAAATAAGAACATAAGTATGTAATAAATGAAGAAGAGGAGCCCTGCAGGTTCAGACCAAGGTCTGAGAGAGAGGGAGGGAGGAACAATCCCAAATGAACATACATATGGTCAATAGTATTAAGAGTTAAGGTGGTGAGGGGTAGTGATATCTGCACTTTTTCTGTTTTTGTGGGGGCCCTGTGCCCCTAACTCCCATGAATGTGGAGGGCCAACTACAGATTATAATTTGAATATGGATTATCATTGAATAATGGGTGGTTGCTGAATTGTGGGTTGTCATTAAATGTGAACCCTGCATTATGGTTTAAGTATGGATTGTAAACATGAAAACCCCGGACTTCACAACCACATTTGGGTTCTCATCATGATTTGCTCATGCTTAACAACCCATGTTTAAATCAGAATGCAATAACCCCACATAACAATAAACCATGATTCAACAACAACTGATACTCAATGCATACTCAGGTTTGTCATTACCTTCATACTGTCGCTAACTCCCCCAGTCATCAGATCCTTGCTTTGCAAGTGCACTAAGTACTCAAAAGTTGTCCTCATGGCAATTAAATGATCCTGCCAAACACAGAAATTGTTTCCTGCTGATAATATACTTATCTAGGGTTGTAAATATGCAGCAGTATGGAAACAAATGGCTGATTTGTAGTGCCAATGGACAATATCTCTGTTTCTAAAGGACCTTCTAATGACTGCATATGGAAGATAACTGGTAGTGTATAACCTCTTACCCTTTTCATACAATTGAGTCTGCACCCAGGTATTTCCTATCACCTTCTCAAAAAGCCAGTGGTATGTTTTCGTACACAATTTGTACAGTATTCTTACAGGGTAATTCATGTACCGCTATGAATAAGCTCCAGTGAGCTCAATGGGGCCTACTTCCAGGAAACTATTGAATTGCATCTCAATTTCAGTTTCACATTAAATGTGGAACAACCATCCTGACTTTAGTCAATTACAGTGCTGATTGCAACAACTAGTGGTTCAGGAACATGGATATTCATGTGGAAATATTACTCATCAATACAATTTTGCCAAGTAGCCTGATTCTGTTAACCTGTCACTGTAGTGGTGATTTGATCTATTTTAGTTCCAGACAAATGTTATGCCTGGACTGCAGAGCAGAGTTACTTTGACTCTGCTTTACATGACATAGATGTCTCTGCCCCATGTCCTACAGTGAGACAGTAATGCTATCTTCTGTGTTGCTGAGCCTGAAAGATTCAAATTCTTCTCCAATAGTGTTACAGATGATACAGTAACTTTCATGCTACATTCTTATGACATGGCAGAGGGGTTACTAACTGAGTGAGGATAAAATACCACCACAAAACGCTCATGTGTGCTCCAGCAGAGTTTGGAAAGGAAAGTCAATCTTGTATTTAATATACCACACAAGGTAAATGGGAAAAGGCATTTTTTTTCAAAAAGTTTGTAGATGTGTCCAGAAATGAACAGGTATCAGATCAATTCCCTGCCTCCACAAAATCTCCGTGAATGCATTTAATATAGTCTAGTCTATTTTTCAAAAATAGACTATTTTCCCACATGCAGACTTTGTCAATGCAATGTCTTTTCTCATTTGAGATCGAAATAGAGGAAATGATTGCTTACCTCTAATGAATTCTCAGAATATAGATTGTATATCTATATCATTGAGTAAAACAGAAAATGCTGCATAACATAGAAAGAGGTATAAAGAAGTTGGCATGCTAGATTACATTTTTTACAGAAAGTTGCTCTTCCTATTAAATTTACATTAAGGTCCAGTCATCTCTCTTGAGTGCTAACCTGCATTGTTTTTAAGCTTTTTATTGAGTAATACCAAATATTGTGCAAAAATACTTCTGCCCATGCAACAGAATGTGTTAGGGAAATCCAACATGTGGGCTCAAGCTCATGCATAACCTTTTATGTCATTGGAACCTCCAATCAAGCAGGAATTCTGATCACATGGCAGCCTATGTGTGCAAGATGCTACTGTGTAGCCTTTCCCAGTGGAGATATCTGTGCCAGCATGCAGATGGCTAGTAGCTGGGCCCACAGCACAGTCTGCCTGGGACATTAGGAATTAAGAAATAAGGTTCTTCCAAATATGAAACATGGTGAGTTAGAAGGCTATAGGCACAGCATTCTGTATACTATAAACACTTATTTAACTTGCATCTTTGCTCTTAACCCAGCATGTCAGTGTCAAATGCTGTTGTCAACAATCAGTGTAACAGCTAGAAAAGATTAACAGAGGTTAAGCAGGGGCTATGACTACATATCGTCATGGTTCATACATTCATTTTCAGTCCCTTCATCCTGTGAGCATACTACCAGTCCAGATGCTACATTATAATGACAGGATACCGCAGAGCATCCAAAGCTTTAGATTTGTACATGGTGTCCTTGTATGGACAATATTGGCATAGTTGTGCATGTCCAGATAAAATGTGTGATGGGAGTTTTTGTAACAGTGTTGTTTATATGAACTTCACATAGCCTCATATCTAGATTCCCATGTCACCAGCTAAGCAGATACATTTGGTTGTGTCATTCTATAGCGATAATTTAGTATTTCAAAGACTCAGTGCATAGTTTAGCTGAAATACCCGTTAGGAAAGTTCTATACAAGCTTTAATTTGGACATGGTTAGAAATGCCATTTTATATGCACATATTTATACATTGGCCATATTGAGCTACAGTATAGCTTGGCTAAGTAAGAACAATTAACATGCAAAAGATGAATGAGTTCACACAATCTAGTTAATGTTGCAACTGGCTAAATATGGTATGTTTTACAGATCATGGGAATGTTTGTCTCAGAAAAATGTAGCATATGGGATACTCTGATCCTAAATCTTAGCAATTTCAATACCAGAACAAATCTACAATTTGGAAATTGTGTGTAAGAGAGGTACCATTTTTATGCAAATTAATTGATGTAAGGAAAAGTAATACAGAAATTTATGCTGTGGTACAGCGGTGAATCCATTCAATTATAAAGAAAAAGATTATGCTAGTGCAGTAAATTTTAAGGTCAGATTATAAATTTGCAAACCTATTTACCTGGGAGTAAATCATGCATATGAACTGCAAAGCATTTTAAATGGTGGTAGGTATATTGTCCTAGCTGCTTGCTATAATAGGTTAAAACAATTAACTGGAAGTAACCAATGGGCTTTAATGAGAAAAGGAACTCTCTATTTTCATATGGCCTGCTGTTAAGAATCAATGCACACTTCTTTGATTAAAGCAAAATGTTAACCATACATTAGACTGATGCATTTATATAAAAGAATCTCAAGTTTTCTTAATGTTGTTCATACTTGACACAACTCTAGCCTCTAGTAGTTTATTAGGTTATAGCACTGCTAGCCACCAAACAGATATATACACTTCTGCTGGGCAAAATGTTATGTGAAAAAAGAGGAGAAATGTTATATTTCATTATCACTGATTACCTGCTAAACATCACCCAAAATATTTACTGAAAAGCAGTAATTAGATAGGAGAGTTTTAAAACTGTTTTCAAATAAGATTTTTTTTATTACACATTCTTTGAAGGATTGATTGTTGCAGTTTGCCTGGAATTGCCTAGAAAAAAAGACAATTTTCTTTAAAAAACAAAACCAGAAGTAAAATTCATTGCAGGAGACAGTTTGTAGTATACAAACCTACACAATCATCTTGCTGCAGGAACTGATCCAGTAAGTCACAAAAGCTAAGACTGATAATTAATTAATGGTAGTTTAGTTTAAACTAATTTAAAAAAATAAAACAAGTCTTCTAGTCAATTCTATATCAATATTGATGACTTCTTGAAATAATTTTCCCAGTTATTTTGATGTATGCCTTTTTCTGAGTATAAAGCACCTGTCAGCAAAGCATCCCATACATATTTCAGTAGAATGATTATTTTAATAAATCTTTAATTGCCAGAAATGTTTACAGTTCAGTGGGATCAGATTTTGAAAAGCTAATTTCAAAATAAGAAACCCTGTGTAATGCCTCTTGGTTGCAAATGTCACACAAATAATTTCAGTATGTTTTTAAGATTAACTAATTTTCCATTTCCTGGTATGGCTTATGCTAAAAATATCTAATGATAGAGGGAACAATTTCCCATGCAAGTACAGCTGAATAAATAGAACCCTCCTTCATGTTCTTTTTTCCTATTTGGCTAAGCCTAATATTCTGTTCAGGAGTACTTGCAGAAATGAGCCATGCTGTAAAGTGTGAAACCGAAATGAGCATGTGAAAAGTATCCTTAGGTCAGCCTCCCATTAAATGCAGTGGCTGGCCCACTATGGCATGCATATGTATAAGAACAAGTCCAGGAGGGAGGGAAAAGGCCCATTGGTTTCTGAGCAGATCCCTTCCTTCCTATTTGATTGTTCCTGTCCTAAATTTTTAGGCATTGCCACTGATCTTATTACTTATAATGTAAACCTGTCTTCCTTGTCTAACTTTACACCCAATAATTTCATCATTTGTATTTTTCAGATTATATTAACTTAAAATTGACTTTTGTATATATCAGAAAACAAAACATACCTGGTGGGTTATGTATTAAAGAAATATGGTGGTAACTGGATATTTCTTCACAGATTTTCTTGGGATCATCTAGGTGATCATTTTGTCCTTGACTTCCAAAACTGTACCTTCGCTTATACTGCTCATTGACCAATGTAGTAACTTGGTCCCTGAGGATAGCATTATTCCTATGAAGACGGCGTGCTTCAAATTGTAATATGTCTCTTTCATTCTCTGTTGACCGCATTTCATTTTCCATCAATAAGAGTTCCTCATTCAGTTGTCTTATTTTATTTTTGCATTCGGAAACCTCCTGTTTATATTCATGCAGCTCCTTTTTAAGAAGCCAGTTGTCATCTGTAATGTCTGTTAGAACCTTTCTCTGCCTTTCACATTCTCTTTCCATGTTGGATAAATTAGATTTCAAAGCTCCAATTTCTATTTTTGCATTTTTACACTCAGTTAGAAGGTTTTCCTCAGCATTAGCTCTGCTTGACTGGGCCTCTGAAAGCTGCTTCTGTAGGAATTCTTTAGCATTGATTGCTTCCTGCAATCTTTTATCAAGATTCAATTTTTCCTCTTTAAGTGATTGTATCCTTGTATGAAGAGCTTCCAGATCAGAATTAACTGCCTTCTCATTATTTTTCAGTTGCTGTATTTCATTCCTGTTCAGTCCAAGTTCCTTTTCTAACAAACTATTCTTATCTGTAAGCTGACCTATTTCCTCCTGCAGCATTTTATTTTCTTCTTGAAACACTGAAAGTTTTGTTTTTAAAGATTCAATAGTCACAGTAAGATCAACTTTTTCTTTGGTAAAAGAAGCCAAACTTTCCTGTGCGTTTTGGTCTTTCTTCTGTAAATCATTTATTTCTCGCATCAGTCGCTGGTTTTGAGCATAAAGCTGATCCTGATTTTCTTCCAGAGTAGACTTTTGCTGTAGAAGTTCCTTGCATTTCTTCAGCAGTCTTTTCACTTCTTTAAGACATTCCTTGCAGTCTCCTTCTGATTTCACTAGCCTCCCTTGGAGGTTGTTCTTCTCATCATGTAAATCCTTAATCTGCTTCTGATATTTTGAGTTTTGTTCTGTGAGAGACTGCATAATGTCAGTCAGAGGTTTCATTTGATTCTTGAGATCGCCATTTTCATGTTCAAGGTTGATCACTTTTTTCTGAATGCATTCTGACTCCCTTAATGACATTGGTAACAATCTTGCTTTTTTAATATAGTCATCAGACACAGCATTGACATCACAGAATTCCAAAATTTCATGTTGCAATTCTTTCTGTGGACTGAGCAGTTGCTTCTGTCTGTCTATTTGTCTTTCTTCCATGTGTTCTGTAAATAATAATTGATCTTTTTCCACTTTGGATAAGAATTGTAACTGTGGCTTGTCAACAGCATTGCCTTTCATCAGAAGTTCTTTATCCAGGTACTTGTTTTCAAATGCTGTTTGTACCTCATTTTGATTATGTTCTCTAGAAGAAACCATGGAAATATGAAACTCACCTACTGAATCCTCCAGTTCTGAAATTTTCCTGGATTTAAAATCCTCATTTGATGCATCAACGGCTTTCTCTATTAAATCCTGTTCTGACAGATAACCAGAATCGTTGTCTTTGCCACACACATTAAGAGAATTTTGAAGTTCAAAGGTACCTGACAGTTCATGCCTAGGGGACTTTTTGTTGTCTTTCATATCTTTGAAGTAATAACTCATATTTTCTATCAAGTGTTCCTCCTCCTCCTCCTCATGCTTATATAATGCCATGGACATTTTATGTTCATCATAATTTCTGATCTTCCTTGGAGAAGTCACCCTTTCTGTTTCCAAATGGACAACTGATGGGGAACAAATGTTGTCAGCAGAGTTCTTCAGAACTTGGTCACTATGTGAAGACAGAACAGCTTTATTTCTAGATGATTGGGTATGGATTTCTGGCTTTCCAACTGTGTTATATTTTAACAAAATATGATGTGGAGTATTTTCAGTTGTGATAGTATTTCCTACTATAGCACTGACATTGTTTTCTGGATAGTGGCTGGTAGCAGAACTGCTTTCAGGATGAAGTTGCTTCTTAAAATGAGATCCTTCTTGATATGCTCTTGACTGAGAGACAGATAACAATCACATCAATAGGCCTTCAGTACTTAACAATAGAAGAGATATGGCACCACTGCTAAATTGCACAGGGTGCAATGAAGGTGGCTAATTACTTTAAAAAGTTGATACAGAATACAACTTGTAATGAATAAAAGAGATGGTGATTGGGATGGTAGTGGGCAACCCCTCGCCCCACATTTGAGATATTAACCTGAAATATCTACCTCCTTTTCCACTTAATTTATTTATTTATTTATTATATTTATATCCTCCCCTCTTGCTTTCAAGGAACTCAAGGCAGTTTACACAACTCTCCTCCTCTCAATCCTATTTTCACAACAACAGTCCTGTGGGGTAGGTTGGGCTGAGAGTCCGTGACAAGCCCAAAGTCATCCAGTTAGTTCCATGGAGAGTAGAACCCAGATGACTTCAGTCCGTCCCACACTCTTAATCACTGCACCACAGTGCATTTAGGATGATTAGTCTGAGTGCAGGGTCTGCTTAATATAATTACTGCCTAGTTTCTGAGGCAGTTTATAAATGATGGTTAAGTGGAAAGGAAAAGCAATTCAGGGAACTGGTTATTATTTATTTTGTTACACTTTCCATTTTGTTGGTCAAATCTGCTAACATTTCTCAGACTCCACATACATTTCTAAGTTCCCATTAAAAGTTATGACATGGCTATATGAATTATGATGGAGTATATGTAGGATACCATCAAGAAAGTGTGGTGAACCTGTATTTGTGTCACAGAAGTGGGCAGCTATCACATTCTTCTGCTTCTTCATTGATGCTATTCTTATGTTGTAACTTTTGTTTTAGCATTTCTAGACTCTTGGGAGAAAGCGATCTTCATTCCTCCTATGTAATTTGCACCCTTTAAGATTAATAACAGATTTTTAAAAATTATACATACACAGCCCTTCCACTGAGAGAGCAGCTTACTTGGACGTCCCAAGCAATCTCCTATCCAGGCAGCAGCCAGACTGCCTCCTGCTTAGACTTTCTTGTGATAGCAGCATGTATACCTACAATAATATTTGGTGCTTATATGGAGCTTTTTCAAAGTGCAAATTTACTGACTTGAAGGAAACGAATGAAAAAAAGCCATTACCAACAAAAGGTGCGCAGGAAGACAGTGATGCTATGTAATACTAGCACAATCACTATCTGTACAACTCGCACTGTTATTTCACTGGTCATTTCAGAACTAAACAGCTGATAGTTTTTAAACCCCATGAGTACCTCAAGTTTAGGACTTGGATTATTTAAATTATTCCCAACCAGGGGTATATTAAAATATTACACTAAAGAGACAGTTCTGGTGATATTTATGTCTAGAATTCTTCTTGACTGTGTGTCATATAAAATTTATTACATCCCAGATAGTGTATAGTGTCACTTCTGGGAGTCTTGAGTGATTTGTTTTGTAAGCACCTTTCTACAACACATTTATTCTTTATTTTATGGAACATTATAGTACATATTTCATGGAATGGTTTCTGAATCAGAAGTGAAGGATGAGTGATCCTGGGGACTGGAAAATTTTAAGTCCTTTGGTTCCTTCCAACTCCATTATTTCAGAAAACAACATTCCACAGAAAATCAGTTCTTGCTTACATAACACATTTGTCAGTAAGAAAGACAACATACCATAGCAATGCTGATAGGTGTGCTGGTCAAAAATGAATGGTCTGGATTAAATTCTGGACTTTTCATGTCAGTTATATTTTTATTAAGTATCTCGTTGATTTCAGACTGAACCTGATGAAATAAACAATGAGATGATTAGTTTTTTCTGTCCTGTATTCCTTTTGTTATTGCTATATTGGGTATAGCTATTTAGTAGGGACATGTCTTTTCTTAAAACACTTAGGAATACAACTATACTACAGTCTACTTTTAACTTACTTGCAGGTAAGTTGTATAGAACTGAAGCCTTTCTAAAATTTAAATATTTATCTGAACTACTGTTGGACAGATCATGGTATTTCTGATTACATGAACATATTTTCAGTATAGAACTTGTGAACAAACCTTAAAAATAACAGCTGAAGAATTACTGTTGTTTTGAGCATGGGCTGTCCCTTCTTGCTTCCACAAGGGAATGCCCCAAAGCTTATCCACACACAGATATTTAACCACTGCTGAAAGGAGCTGAAATGGTTGGAAATAGAAAATTAAGGCTGATGGGACAATTTAAATAGCCTGGTACTCCACGGGTGATTTTTATTGAGTCTTGCAATGAATCTGAGTTACACCGATCTACTATTTGTGGTATCTTCAGTAGTATTTAGAATGAGTGTGCAGCTAAGTAATTTTAGATCCTGGACTCAGTGATTTATGGAGGATCCCTTTAGACAGCCCTGTACATTATTTCAGTTGTATACAACTAATATTTCTCTTTGTCTCCCATACACATGCCATTTCTCATTTTAACTGAACTTAAATCAAAGTACCATAATTACTAGAAGAACAGTATGGAATCTGTTTTAGCAGCACCAATTACCTGCTGCTCTCCAGGTGATCATTGGGAGGCAAGTTGCAGGACCATGGGCTTTGGTCCCAAGGTCCAGCCTTTGCTATATCACAGTTTAGAATGTTCATTTTTGGCCTTCAACTCCGGGATTTCAATTTTTTATAACAGTATTGCGCTGCCCACAAGCTAGAAGCTTCTGAGAAGGTGGGAAGTGGGGGGGTATAGCTTTCTAGGGGTTCTATTTCACATTCCCTACTACAAAGGGCAAATCACTGTTGCTCAATTTCTCCCTTGCTTTCCATTCTGAAAAGCTGCTGGCTGTCTACCTTTTGGAGATGGGAAACCAAATGACAGATGTTCATTACAATAAATTTTGAGGGTGCAAGACTAATCAGAGGAGTGGGTAAGTTCAGGCTTCCGGGAGCCATTTTGCCCCCCAGTGGTAGCCTGCACTACTGCCATGCAGTTAAATTCGGCAGTGGCAGCAAAATACAAAACTGTAATTTGATGCTGGTTTTGGAAAAGTGCTACAGACAATTTTTGGCAACAAACTGCTATGGCTGGCCAAAATGGCCAAATTTTTCTTAAAGCAAAAGGTGGCCATTTCAGCTTTTTGTAGAGTCTGCCACTCAAGTTTAGCAGCCAATCTCCAATGTTTTTATCATCTCCATATTTTGGTGGTATACCAGTGGTGGGTAGTGGAGAATCACAAACACTCCCCTGAACTAAAAAAAGGCTAGAAGCTTTGGTGATCATGGCCTGTTTGTTGGCTTCCTATAAGCATCTGGTTGTCCATTTTGGGAATGTAAGGTGAACTAGATAGGCAAATAGTCATCCAAAAAATCTTACAAATCAAAAAGCTTAACAGGGCAAGGCAAACAAGGACAAGTTGAAGCCTTTAGAAGGCACGTTGTGTATTAAAGGAAAGGGTAAGCTGTATCTTCCTTAGTGAGCAGATTTTCTTTCAAAGGTCTTGCTATGCCAACAATTCATTACGACAAACTTTTACTGGAATAGGGAAATGCTTTCAATTTTATCCTCCATCAGTGAAAGAATATACAGTGTGAAGATCCATGGGGAGAGCAAAAGACAGTAGTGAAATGTCTAGCAGGTATACTGAAGGGAGATGGGAGGCTTTGCAGAAAGACTAATGCTTTTTCCTTTTCCCATTCTGTTTTCTGGGTGTGTCATATCTTTTTAGATTGTAAGCCGGCAGGCAGAGGCTATATTTTGTTTAATGGATTATATGAAAGCTGCTCTGGGAACCACCTTAGCTGAGGAGAAACATAAAAGCATTTCACATTAAGCAGATTTATAGCAGACAGCATGGAAGAAGTGGGAGCAAGCGGGAACTGGTCTTAACTCCATCCCCTTTCAGTGTGTCGTACTCCTGTTCAGTGCTTTACTTTCTGACTTACTCCACGTTTAGTAAGTTTGCATGGCCACTGATTACAGAGAAAACTTTTCAGATAGTGATAAGCTCTGTAATTTTTTTGATTTCCCATTTACATGCCCCAGTGTGATTAGAGAGAAATGCAGCCACAGAGAAAAGCAGTATTTAATTTGCTATGAAAGAAAGTAGTAGTGAGGGGAAACAGTTAAAAGAATAGGTAAGCACAGAATTATTACTGGGATTGAGTTGAGATTAATACACATAAATGATTGCATATGTTTTTCTTCAATGATCTGCTTATTACAAATACAGTATGACCACATTTTCCTCCTTTTTCATGAATATTTAGGGATTGCTCTTACCATGTTTACATTCTTCAAAGTTTGTTGTCGAAGGGCTTGAAATGATTCTAGCTGTTGTTGTAGGATCTAGTTTGTAAAAACAGTTAACAGAAAACTTAAGACATACATGATGTAAACTGTGTTTGTTGTTCCCATACCTAGACTACATGTCTAATTGTCGTTTTATGATTTTTTTAAAGACAAGAACAGCAAGCTATTCTAGTTTGCAGAGGAAAGTGTTGCCAAACAGCTGATACTCATGGCATGTTTCCTGTTAGGCTCTGGCCCCAAACCTTTTAACCCTATGTATACTTTTGCCAATAGTTATACAGACAGATTTTAACATGTGCTATGCATATTCAAATCTGATCTACATGCATGACATTTGCTGCCCAAAGACAGATAATCTTATCTTTGAATCAGGTGACTCAAACACTTGTCCAGAACAGGATAATAAGGTACAGCTCCATTCTCTTTTTATCCCAGAGAAAAATCCTGAATGGTTTAGCAAAGTTTAAATCTTTTCTTTTTGTCTTTATAATGTAAAGGGGGGACTAGAGGGGGAGGTTCTAATGGTTCAGTTAATTCACTCTAAAAATATCTATCTTTATGTCCATCCGTCTTCCTTAAAAAAGAAGGTATGTCTCCAGCCTGAGATTATAGTGTGAAAGTAACTCCAAAACCACCAACTTCTCCATTCATTTCAAGGGATCCTGAATGGAATAGCATATGATATATTTAGGATGCAATCCTATGGCCTATACATATTCTCTGAGCAACAACAGGATACTGAGAATCTCCCCTCAAAGGACGGAGGCCACACTCTGGCCTTGGAAGGGGGCGAAGATCCACACCCTGCCTCCTTTGGGTCAGTGTAGAAAGAACAAAGTGAGCTGGTTAGAAAAGCCACTTGGAGAAAGAGGTGTTCTGGTGGGCAGTTTGGAGAGAAGAGGCCACGATATGAGATATCCTGAGCCTCCATTTTTCCTCCAAGCCCATCTAGTGAAAATCAGGAAAGACAGAGGACAAGTTAGTGAGGATCCCCTTCTCTCCTATTCTGCTGGCTTCAGCCCAGCAGGGCATAGGAATTTCAGAAGCCTCCCAGTTCGGAGGGTTATGAGCAGTGTGAGTGCAGTACTACTGACTTAAAGTTGACTAGTGTAGACCTATTTTGTTATGGCAGCCTTTCTCAACCTTCTGTCCTCCAGATCCTTTGGACTATAATTCCCAGCATTCCTGACCATCATATCCAATGCTGCCTATAAATGTTAAAGAAATACGTTTAAAACTCAAACCATCAAAATATATAAGGCTACCAACTGACCAGATCAAGTTACTACCTATAACAGTAGTTTGATCTTTTAAAAAATCACCCAGTGTAGCTTTTCATGTCATTGGATATGGTTAACGGTGCAATAAGAGGTGGCGAAGAGGTTGACAACTCTAAAAACACAATGTAAAAACAAGATAAAAGTCCAAAGACTTCAGTAATTTTGAAATCCAAATGGAAGTTCCCTCTCTCCTAGCCATTATTCATATGTATCTACAGGCTTGTAACCTTTTGTCCTAGTTATCCAAACTATATAAGCTTACTTTTAATGCTGATTGTGGCTGGACTGGACCATCTCTTCCTGAAGTAGATTGAGCTGAAAAATTAATTTAACAAGACTTGCAGCAATAGTGTTGATAGGTCTGGAGGCTTTAAACCTTGGCACTTAGACGAGGGTGACAATATGCAGCCTCTAGGCTTCATGCAGCCCTCTTTGCCATTGCTTCCTGAGTGCAACCCCCACCATGCAGTGAAAAAGTATTTTTTTAATACCAAAAATGGGACTTCTAATTAAACAAAGCATTAAAAGACTCAAGTTTGCTTTCCTGAAGCAAAACTTTGATTTTTTCAGCACTTGGAAGTAAAATCTTAAAACAGTAAAATTTTGAGAACTTTTTTTTACCTGACCTCATGGGGAATCTGAGGGGCGGGAGAATGGCCCCTAGACTCCTCAAGTATCAGTCCAAGACTTAGACAAGCAATCTGCCAGAACGGAAAGCATCTTGGTGCAGAGTTAGGCTTATTCCTTTCCTATATGCTGTGTTTGCTAGGTGCTTGTTTAATTCTTGATAAGAGATGTAATCACACATTACTTTTCTACTCCTGCCATTAAAGATCCAACTGTTCTAACAAGAGTTTGCAAAGAATGACCTAGCTAATATTGGGAGATTTACTACTGCATTTTGTTCATGGGAAATGAAGAAAGAATATGACACAGACCTGCCACTTCTCCATTCACCTTATTATGTAACAATTTGCCAGCTGTTCCACAGCCACATCATTTAGGCCAGTGATGGACAACTTGCTGGTTTGATGTAATGGTGATAAGCTATGTCAAACAGTCCCCATGGATAATTCACAGACTTAAAATTTCCTGGACACTACCACTGGTCACTGAAAGTACATTTTATGGGCATTTCTTGGGGGCAGGGGGTGTATTTGGATCGCAGCTATGGCACAAGGATTCATGGTTTTCCATGCTGCAACCTCAGATCCAAATCATACACCCCCTCCTTTCTTATAAAGGTTGACTCTGATTAAAATAACACACACATTGGGATTCTAAGAAAATAATAATGTAGTGCTGTAGTGGACTACAGAAAAGCATACTGAAACACTTAAATGTTTCACTCTTGGGCCTTATTTTTGTACAGGGTGAACAGAACTGAAATGCCACAGAAATCGTCAGTGCAGCAAACTACAGAATGCTTCAAGGAGAAAGGGCAAGAATCGAAAAAGGCAGAGTGTCTGCCCTGCACTGATGATAATGCACATACTATCCCGTTGTGATGAAGGGAAGAATCAGCTGCTATCTCACAGAGGATGGATGCAATGGCATCGCACAGTGTCATGTCCTGAGGTGACATAACCACCCATCACCGTGTCCATTATGCTGGGCGGGGGTGGGGGAGTGGGGACGGCGGCGAAGGAATAGCCGTATTGGAGAGATGAGGCTCCGGTTGGGTGAGAAGTTGACTCACGGGTGGCTCGTAGTTCTTGGCTCTCCGACGCAGGGGCCTGCGCAGAGGGCAAGGCCTTCTCTTCTCCCCACAGGATCTCGCAGCTGGGGCTGCCTCTTTCGGAGCACTCCTGGATTCCTGCAACACAGCCTGGGTAAATGACACGACTCCCTCGGCAATCTTCCTTCGCTCCCCGCCCGACCCTCTTTTGACCCTATTAGGCGCCTAACTCACTATAGCCAACACCGGCTCTCATCGCGTCCTGCGTCGCCGGCGCGCCGGTCGCCCCATTCAAATTGCGGCTGGCTCTGACACCCAAACCGCCGCCCGCCCAAAGCTACCGGACGTTGCTCAGCAACGAATCTCCATAGAGACGGGAACGGGGAGAACAACGGCTGCGGGAAGGAGCCCCTCGTGTCTGCTCTTGCGCCCCCTGGAGGCTGCGAACTGTTCCGGCCGGACTTGCTCTTGGCGCTAGCCGCCTGGGAGTGATAAAAGCGTCGAGCAGGGAGAGTCTCTTAAAAGGTCTTTATCATTTCTCGGCATTTCACCATAGAGCTCTTGGAGAAATAGAACTGCAATTCTTCTCGCAGGGCAAAGAACAGATGGTCCCATGAGCCATTTTCCACTTATATTTAGTGTTACAATATCATTAAATATTATTTAATAATAATATTTAATATTAGACGGGGCAAACATAGGACCCTCTAATGCAAACACAACGATGACAGGGTTCTAGTGTATGGATTTAAAATTTAATGTAAATTTCACAAACTGGCTAACAACTGAGCCTAGATAACATTGTGAAGTATTAGCTACATGCAGATCCTCACCACCTCTAGGAAACCCATCATTAGTATTTTATTCTGATGTCACTATTCCACATAAGCTGGTGCTTTATTCTCTGAGGGTTCATACCATTTATTAGGTAAAGCTATCCAAATATGCTTTGGTTGATTTAAAAACAAACAGCATAACATCTATTTTCTTAAGATAAAGTAGTATAACATCTCTAGTTTTATAATACGCAGAGTGCCTAGTCTCTCCATCTCCTGCTCCTTCACTCTCTTTCTTTGATCCTTCCATAAAATAAGACTGTACTTTGTCCAACATGGAAATAGTTCCAAGTAACAGCTAGATTCTATAGTATAAAAAGCAAGGAATCCTTCGTTTCTCCCTTTCTTGGTTCCAGGAAGCCTGGGGGCAGCTCCAGGCCCCACCTGTAATGACCTCAAGCCTAAATTCAGTACCTGCAGATCTGTGCTGCTCCACGTCATCTTGGGAATCTGAACTTGCCACTGTGTTCAGATTCTGGCAATTTCTATGATGCTACTATCGAATTAACTTCCCCCCATCCCTTATAATCTGGGGGCACATGCTGCCAGATTCAATAATCAGGAAAACTCAAAAGCTTGCATATTTTTTGTCATCTCTTGGGTGGTCAGTAAAGGGTTTTGAGCACAATCTTGTGCCTGTTTAGATCGAAACAAGTTCTGCCACTACTGATATTCCTTAGCCAGTGCAACTGGCTGGGGAATGCTGGCTGGCAATTCTAGGGTCCTTTTCTTTGTAAACAAGGACCCTTGGGATTATGGGATTATGTCCTAAATCCATGTACTGGAATTTTGTAATGACTCACTGGACTGGATTCTGGTTTATTCAACTGGGGTTTTGTGTGTCTGATCCAGGTGGGAGGTCTTCAGTGGAAGGATAATTTTGTTGTGTAAATTATGTCTTTAAGAGCCATTAGATTTGCAGTAGTTATGCCTAGACTCAGATAATTGAGATAATATATGTAAACTTCGAATCTCCAAGTTCTAGCTACATTTGGCAGCATCATTAAATTTAATGAGATTAAATGAGCCAGTTTAAGTAATCGGCTGTTTCATTATTCTGTGTGGTATGAATGAGCAGTTTCTCTTTATTACTGAGTTGCTTTTGTTTCATGAAAGAAGCAGAATTGCAGGATTTGTTTTTTAGGGTGGGGGCATTATCCTTTCGTGAATCAATGGAAAGCCAGAAGTGAGTCTCAAACAAATCCAGGTGCGTTTATTGAAATCAAGCCAGTGGATTCATCCAAGGAGCATGCATAGCAGGATCGGCTTATCACATTCTGAAGTAACATACATTCCACTCTAAAGACAAAAGTCTCCATTTGGTCCAGAGTCTAAAATTACCTGACTGTGCCACTGGTTAGTGTAACAGAGTAGCTTTAATCTGATCTAGGGCACAACCCTAGGATATATTTATTGGACATTGACTGTATTGGGTAGGGGTTGAACTGTGGGCTGTTACTGAAACACAGGTTATCATGTTGTCTGAACCTTGCTGCACTAACTACAAACAATCCATGAAGTGAACCCATGATATGTTGTTAGGTTCTGAACTGTGGGTTGCCATTTGTTGTTATCTCAGTTCGGTGGAGACAACACAATAATCCATGTTTCAACATCCCTCTCCCCACTCCAGTTCAACAAGAACCCATACTCAACCCTTGATAGTGGGTTTTCATGTTGTTTGAACCCAATCTTTCCTGGACCTGAGATAATAAACCTGAGATAATGATAAAGTTTCATCTTGTGTTGTGAGTCACTCCGAGGCTTTGTTGCGATGGGGGTGGCATAAAAATGTTTTAAATAAATAAATAAATAAATAAATAAATAAGTTTCATCTCAGCATGGGAAAAATGCCTTTTTCTCAGTTCTCCATAACTACAGCCAATCCCCATTTCTCTGAGATTATGGAGAAAGCAAAACTTAAAAAAAATCCATGTACAATTTCAGTGTTATGTTTTATTAAAACTCACCCCTCCAAGCCACTAGTTTTTATTTACAGAATAAGTCAAACCTTTTTTTTTTTTTTTTGACTATGTGCTTTTGTTGGGAAGATATATTTGATATGTGGGTTACTTTGGAATAACTGGTTTGCAGAAATTTGCAGGTTCTTCCAATTCACAGCAATGTGATTCATAGTGTTTATGAATATAGTGGTTATGCTTCTAATATGTTAAAAGAAATATTCTTCAGTAGCAAATAATTGGAAGATAGATAGTGCATGTGTCAAGACCATGGCAAGCTCTAGCAGTTCAAGGAACACTATACCGCAGATCCTTTAGGAGCGAGGCTCTCGAGATTCAGGAAATAAATAGGCATGTTACTGGTGTTCTGTCAGTCTCTCCAAATAGTTCTAGTGTTTATATAGAAGACCACAGTTAGCAAAACACTTCTTCCACCTGTTCAGTAGCAGCTGAGAAGCCATTCAACCACTGGACTTAATCCAGCAAAATTACACAACAGCAAATAGGTCATTGCTATATATATATATATATGGTGAGGCAAAACATCCAAATGATGATCCCATTGTGGTTAAAAAAAAAGTGGTAGAAAAGGGTGGTATCCAAAAATGATGGCTGAAGTGGGCTGCCTCATCTGGAAATGAAAGGGCCTGGGAAAGGAATTAGCAGCTATGGCAACTGTCCTTTTATTTTCCCTCCCACATAGAACAGAGAAGACACTTTTTATACCAGGAGTTTGTGGATTTTCTTCAATCTTGTATTCACTGGCTGCATGACAGAGATAGCAAAAGTAGTTGAAGTAGTTGAATCTTTGTGGATTCGCTGTGGGAGAACTGCCAAGATGACTATGTAGGATTTTGATTATCAAAAGAAACTGACATTTGCCCTTGTAAGGCAACTTGCCGGAGATGCTGTCTCATCCAACACCTACAACTAGCCTGTCTCTGTATTTAACTTGAGCAACTTCACATCAAGTACTAGCACAAACCTCTGGCACACAACCCGGACATGGTTCTCATAACTTCTGCTACCCATGTCTCTGAGGGGAAAATGATAAGCATAATGATCGCTGCCAGTTTTATTTGCATAACCTTCTTTCTTCCTTGGAAAACTGAGTCCATTATACAAGACTTCTGGCCTTTAGCAAAAGTTTGGGATTGATGCTTCTTTCTTATAAAGATATAGTTCACATCAAACACTGCAATGGTATTCCCTGAGGGAATGTGGAATTAAGTAATCTATTTTTACCATGAAGGGATTTAGCCAGCAACTATCAACTGGCTTGCTGCTGACTTCATTGGCACAGGCCGAAACCTATTTGACCTCCGAAAGCTTTCTTCTAAAGCAGTTGAAAGTCAAACTAATTTTGATCTCTATAGAACTGACAACTGCTAATTTGAGAATGTTTCATCTTGTGTTCCTGAATGTGTCTTCCCATTTTTTCCTGGGTTACAAATGGATTGTTGAACATTCCAGAAATAAATGCTCCTGCAAAAGGCATTAAAAAGCTGTTTAATGTGTATCTGTACAGTGAAGTCCTATTGATGTGCAACTCTTTATACTTGCAAACCACCTTGGGAGTGTTCTGAAGAACTAATTGTTCAAGAACCTGCACATGCCCAGTTTTTTTTTTTAATAAACATTCTACAAATAGCACCCACCCACCTTATCATAAGCAAAGCCCACAGTCCAGCTTTAGTTGCAACTAATATCCCTGGATGGAGATGTGCATTCTTATCAGCATATATTCAGCCAGTTGATGCAAATGTGTATTCAGACTCATGCACATCTGCACACACATCATTCTCACCAGACCATGGCAAATTATTTGCCCTGGAGCACAGATAGCTGCTTTCCAAGAATTGCAACTCCAGTACCCCAACTCCGTGTGGAACTAATCACATGATTCTTTGATTCTGATATTTTCATGTATTTATTCACTTAGTTCAGAGAGCATAATTGCAATGAGGACAAGGAACTATGGTACTGAAATTGCATATTTAAATCTGGGAATAATTTTTCCTGTCTCTTCAGTATCATGTAACATTTTGAGATGTGGAACATAAGCCCATCTTATGGCATAATGCAGCCTTCCCCAACCCTGCTGATTGAGGATAATGGGTGTTCTAATCTGACACATCTAGAAGGCACTTGATTGGAAAAGGTTGGTATAAACAAAAATAGTGTTGTGTTGAACAATAAAGGGCATAATGGCTGAAGGGTAAAGACATATGCAGTATAGGAACAGCTGACCATTCTGGGACCTCTGTTTCTATACCAACATTTGTCTCTAGAATATCTCTGCAGCACTGAATGCTAATATGCAAGCCTAGCTCCAACTTGTTGGCTCATCTGTCAGTCTGCGTGGCTTCTCCAAGTTTTGTTCTTCCTCCTCTGGCTAGGAAACTGAAACTCTGCTTCTAGTCCTTCTCCAGTACCTAGCAGCCGTAGCCTTGCCTTTGCAACTGGACAAGGAGGAGCTGGTGATGGCAGTAGCAGCAAGTGAACAGGGAGGGACAAACTCAAATATCAGCATTTGGGTTCTATTCAGTGTTAGCTTGACAAGTCTCATTCATCTCAGAGGGTCTGTTCTAAGTAGGACTAATACTGGATACAACTCAGGCATTAATATAAAAACAGATTTAACACCATGTTTACAGCACAAGAGGTGTCTGTGTGCATCTTTAGCCTGAAGGATATCTTATTCTTATATAGTGCTGAGGTTACTTGTGGACTAAGTCCCTTTTCAGGAGGCTACTTGTACAGAAATTGAATGGGAAAATCTGGGCAAAGAGAGGGTTCTTTCACTGTAGGAAGCTGTAAGTAACCAACATACAAGTACTCAGCTGTGGCTTAATATAGTACATTATGTCATATTAACTTTGCACTGTGCCAGATTACACTGGGAGTTATTGTGATAATGCCTTAGGAATTATTCCATCTATACCAATTTGTCTACTAGAAACATCATCCTTCTCCCAGCTTCTCCATTCTGTTCCCCCTCCCCGCTTTTTAAAGAGCAGTATGCTGGAAGCTGCTGGAAGCCAATAACGTCTTGTCATTTGTGTGCATGCAGGTATTTGCTTCTCCAAAGAGTTAAGCATTGGGATAAACAGTAACGGCTTCATATCCCTCCGGAGGCCGCATGCGAGCCCGCGCATGCGCTTCACAGTATAATTGCCCTTCCACGAAGAAGTAGCCTTTCTGCTTCAGGTTGAGGCCGCAGTCAGAGCACACGAAACATTCCGGATGCCTGTACTTATCCCGTGCTTTTACCACTGCGCCACTGTTTTGTCAAAGAGAACAGAAAAAAGAACGACATCAAATCCCTTTCCATTCAATAAAGACATCAGGAATATAGCTTAAGAAGCAAGACTGGAAAAATTAAAATAGGACTACAGGCCGGAAGCCCAAGATTAAACTGGTGAATGCAACCCCATGTGTCAATTTCAACCACCTTCTACTTTGCAATTTCTGAGCTTCATCTATGCAGCTACTGCCATTCTGCATTGTGCAGGTCTGACAGGCACCCTCTACTGAGGCTGAATTTCATTGGAAGACAAGCAGAGCTTGCAGGACCAAGAAGCTTTGCCAACCTCACTTTGGAGCAACAGATGAGATGAGGCATTTTTTATAGTGTTGCCCCAGACCTTCAGCTTGTAACCTTTTCAAAGCATGTTCTGCTGTGAAAATGATACAATCAAATACAGAGATGCGATCCAAAATAGCAATTTGGAACATTGGATTGATTGTGTTTGTTTATTCCCTCTGGGTACCCTTTTCCTTTTGTGTCAAGTCTTTTAGATTGCAAGTTTGCAGGTCAGGACTTTCTAGTTTTGATTGAAGGTATGCAAACTGCTGTAGGAAGAGCAGGGTTAAAATGCTCTCCATAAATAAATCCATTTTTGTTTAATAGTGTGAAAGAGAAATCCCTCCAATTTCCCCCCACTAGACTGAAGTGAGTACCTTCAGATAGCTATGATATAAATTTACTATAAGTAAATAAAATATCTTACACAATTCCATTTCCACACTTGTCACACAAGGGCACCTTTGGCACACTTCCCCCAGGGGCAGCCACTTTTGTTACTGGTGCTCTCACACTTCTTGTACCACTGGGCCGCCCATCTAAAGAAAGGGCAAAAAGATGCACATCTGGTTACAGAACAGTACATAGCCAGAGATTGTTTCTACATTTCTAGAATTAAAAATTTAGAAATAATTTATAAGTGTTTATATCTCTTGAATAAAACAGACTTTACTAATAACAATTCCATGTTTTACTGTCAAAGAATGAATGCAGAACTATATTTTCAGGTAGTTTAATATGTATAAAAATGACACCCAAAGTGGATAGCAGCAGCAAAACCAAGACTAAAATAAACTAAATTAAAACACTCATAAAAACAAATAGATTAAAACAGCAGTTGAAGAAACTCAATAAGTCAAAGAGTTAACAGTTCCCAGGGAGTAAATGCATACATACTAACAGGTAAGCCCTACACAAACAATAAAACTTACTCTTAAGTGGACTGTAGGAACACACAATAAATTAGCACATGCTTTTCAGTTAAATAATTTATTATTAATATTATTATTATTATTATTTTACTATTCCATGACTGCTTGCCTTATTATATGATTTAAAATATTGTATTTTAAATGGACTCTATTTAACTAACTTGATTTGCATCTGCAATTGGTATCATTCTGCACATTATATTTTAGCTTTCCTTTATTTATGTAATTCAGCCTTCTCCAACCTGGTGGCCTTTAGAGGCATTTGGTCTGCAACTCCCACAACACCCTGCATTAATATCCCACATTTCTTCCATCCTGGAATCAGGGTGGCATACATAAACCCCCCAAAAAAGGCACTGAGCAGATCCAATCCTGCTTAGCTCCAGGAAGGCACATGTATGCAATTTAAATGAAGAAAGATATAGCTATAACTGCAACCAACCAGATTCATCTGAGACCATGTCCTGGAGTATCTTAAAGGAACCAGACTGACGTGGTTGACTAGGCCCCTTCTGGTCATCATGTAGAAGCCTGTAAACATCAGACTGGGGCACTGCAACTGGTGTTGGGTCACTGCAAAGTCAATGGAGGATATTCAGTAAAGATGGAAAAAGAATGCAGAATGAAAGGAGAAAACATTAGCACGCCAGCCTATGAAATATGCACGATAAAACTGAGTTATGACTATATACTATAATTTTATATTCCTACACAGACTAGGATTAAAGAAGCTACTTCAGTTATCCCCAAGCTTGGACTTGTCCAGTTCCTTCCTTTGAATGGCAGACACCTACATTCTCACATACAAGCTATATTTTGAATTACTTTTGGAAGCTCTCCTTGATTTCAGAAAAGGTATGCTTTTTGAACTTGTGGGAGGCCTCTGATGTTTAAGAAACAGAAGTTCAAATCTAATTTGGCTGGGGAAACTAGCTTCATGGTCCTTTGGATCCAGGCCATAGTCTAAATTCCTTTAAAAAGTCACAATTTGGCATATTTCCATTATTTTAATAAAAATAAAAATAGTACTGATGAAGTCAGAGGCAGAAAGCATGTTTTAGCCATATGCAGGCCAAAATAATTTAACTGGAAGTTTAGATGTTTTATTGGCTGTACTCACTTTCAGGGTGGGACAGAAATATCCCTCCCTTAAGGTATATCCTGTGCTCTTGCTTAGACCATAATATAATATAATATAATATAATATAATATAATATAATATAGCATTGAACCTGAGAACTTGATAAGTGCCTGCCAAGACAAGTCCAAATATTAAAGGTTGCTCCTTTATGCAAATGTATTTACACAATATATTTACCTTGTATTCCAATAGCGTTTGCTTACAACAGCTTGCAAAACAAACATTTTAAAAAGTCCTTATTTTTTTAAAAAATAACAATGTCACAAATGTATGTAATCCGCAATCCTACAATCAAAAGCAAAGCAGCAAACCATAAAGTCATTTAACCAAAGGGAAAATAAAATGGTCTTCATCTGCTGCCTAACAGTATAATCTAATGCGCATGCCTATTCAGAAGTATCTCCCACTGAGTATGGGGTTCAATGGGCCATACTCCTGGATCAGTGAGTATGGGGTGATACAAGTATAGGTGCCAAGTGGGCACTTTTGTGGAGGGTGCTGTAGAGACAGGGCGCTAACACAGAGAAGTCCCTGCCCCAGCCTCTGAGGGAAGGAAACCCACAGCAGAGAGTCTCAAGGTATCAGGCACAAATGATAGAAGTATTTGTTGCAGTTCAATCCTATGCTTGGTTATTCAGAGGTAAGCCCCACTGCATTCAGTGGGCTTTATTCCTAGGTATGTGCACATAGGCCTGCCGCCTGGAAATAGGCTTTATGAGTACATGTACATACAGATTCCAAAAGAAATCACAGATCATCAATTTAGATTTAGGTCTTGATATCAAATAGCCAACATGAAGGCAATGGGAACATCTCACAAGAGAGTGAAGACTGGTGTTAGATGCTAGATACAAAATACTCTAGGGCAATGAGACAGGCATTTCCAAGTTCATGCCTAGTGAAAACAAACCCCATCAAGAGACACCTCAGAGCTCTTTTTACCAGAATGGTTGCCAAAAGCATGTTTGCTACTACTTGTAATATGATAAATGTAATTTAGTCTAGGATTCCAGAATAGCTAAAGTCAGTTCCCTTTCTAATTACCAAAGAGAATCATATCCATCTGGTTTAGCAATTTTAGCAGCACACAGCAAGTTGAGACAATTTTGTAATTATTTTCTAGTGTTGTAGTTAGCTACATACTTCAGTGCAAATGTATTTTTGTTTGCTTTGTTTTGAGCATGGTCTATTTCAGTGAGATTGTGCAATGTCCTGTAGTTTAAAAGTGAGTGCACTTAGGTTAAAAAAGTTTTAGCCATGCAGGGATAGTTATTTATTAAGTATAACATTCCTAGACATTTGGCCAAGTGGCTAATGACAAATTAAATATGCAAATCTAAATCAAATTAAAATAGTACAAAACAATATTATTAGACTATACAGCTGCCTGTAGCAGAAATGAAGAATATGTCTATCACATTTGATGCTCCTTGTTTTAAGAAGTGCAACCTGTGCTAGAAGGTGACAATTCCATGCAACATAATAGATATTCCTAGTTTCTGAACACTGTTCCATGAACCAGAAACTCAGTACTTCCTTCACTAATTGTGGTTAAAATCTGCAAATGCCTCTTGAAGCTTAAAAACCTCCCAGAAAGAGAACCAAACTCCATTTTTCCAGCTGATCAGTGTAATGCCAGATAAGAAATAAGATTCTATGGCCCCAAAAGAGCTTATGCGGGATGACTGGAATTTTTGCATTCCTGTGCTCTGATTTCGGAGCTGGGAGTTGGTGCTCTTCATCCCTGCCCCCTTGCAGCCACTGCAAACCACACTGGCTGCTTCTCTGGCATTGAGAACGTGACCTTGGGGAAAGATATTAGGTGGCTTTTTGGGGGGTAGGGCCAAGAGGGGAGTGGGGAGGTGAGCATATGAGTTATTCTTAAGGTGCTGCAGTGTCCTTCTCATCCCCTCTGCTGCCAGATGTGTGAAAATACCTGGCTATCAAAAACATGGAGCACAATGATGTTCTCTCACTCTGCACTGATGACAAGCCTCTGAATGAATCAGCCATAGACCTGAATACCCCAACCGTATTGTTTAGATTTGAACAATTAAATTGACGCCCAGAAATGTATGAAGACAGTCTATTCAGCTTTCAGTGATTCGCTACCAGAAAGCATTGACATAAAATGTTTTCAGTCAGAAGGCTTGTAGTACCACCAATCAAGAGACGTTATATAGCTGTTCTGTCTTTTCCTCCTCAAGAGATGTTTTTGTGAAAAGAAAAAAGGCTGAGGGCAAACATGAGAGCATTATAAATTATAAACAACTGTGTCACTGTGTCAGCACCTTCAGCAAAATTCATTCCAATAGGCGGGTGATGGCATTTCAAAGGGCATTTGGAAGCACACAATAAAGCATTGCTGGGGTTGGAGAATTCTAAAGACAGGTAAAGATACTTCTGTTGTCTGCTCTCATCTCCTATTGTACCATCAGCAAATTCTTGTACAGATTTGTAAGATGATGTTTGTGGGAACTTATATGATTAACAATTTTCAGCTTGCAGTTCATTTTGCCATCCTGTGCTACGTCTTCCATGAAACAATGAATGGATGTGCATGACACAATAACCCATCATGGGATGCTGCCCACAGTGGATTGTTGTGTTGTGCAAACCCACACTGATTCTCACAGTGATAGTTGCCTGAGGGCAGAACACCATGCTGGCAACTCATGGCTTTTTCTAGGAGTTGTGCCCACAATGAATCGTCTTGTCTGAACCTGAGTGGCCAGCCCCATTGTGGGTACTTGGGATCAGCTACCAAGCAACTTGGCAAGAGCAGCAAAATCAACTTGGTACTCTTAACAAGCATGCCTGCTCTCGCTGCCCTGGATTGTGAGCAGGTTTTGGCTGGCTGTCCCCCCCACCTTCTCATTTACTCGTTATCATTTTAGAAATCACAGAAGTAGCTTGACAGTTTTCATTATTCTTATTATGATAGCCAATGAAATCTTCAAAGTGCTCAGAGGTACCTTGGAGAGGCTGTCAGGTCATTTGAAATTGATTAAAAAGTTGTGCGCTCAGTATGTGCAGAATTTTTTTATTATAATTTAACAGCAGTTGTGTAAGTGCAGGAATTTGACGTTTCAGTTTGGACAATGTCCTGGGTGGTGCCTGCTGACATGGTGGAGCAGGAACCAATACCGGACATTACTCCAAAGAGGCTTGCAATAGGCTTTTTCTTTCCCTTTTGCTTGCTTTTGACAGATGCCAAAATGGAAGCTGTCAAAGCAAGGTTGTGAATAACCTTTGTTTGTGAAGTGGAACTTGTGTGATTTACAACCCCTCCCAACTTCATCTTCCTACTGTCCCAACAGTGCGCAGGGTGATTTGCATTTGGCACTTTCCCATGAGATTCCTATCCCTGTTTTTGGGGGGCGGGGGGGGGGTTGACCTGTCAAGACTCTTGTCCCCTTTAAAGGGTTTTTTGTTTTTGTTTTTTTGGATACGGCAAAGGTTGCTTTTTGCCAGGGACACAGTTGCGCTAGTGCAAATAATGGGAGTAAGAAAAAACTCTTTGTGCACTTGGGTACTTCTATGGGAATGCCAGTGGTTGCCAAAACCGATTGTGAAAAAGGGTAAATGGGAAAAGGGAAGACAAGCCAGTCCTCCTATGGTGTCCTCTAAGAGACCTACAGGGGGATCAAGGGGGAGAAAAAGGGTGAGCAACCCCAATGAGCCCTGTTGTCTGTTGGGCTCACATGGGCCATGCAGCAACCAATCAACCCCTTGGTTGGCTTATGGCCTTGGTGGGCTGTCACATGCAAGTTGTCCCTTTTCACCAAGGCTGTAATCCATATCACACTGAAAATCAATGACAAATGGGCATTAGGGAAGCTTTCAAGTTGCACATGGACTCAGGATATTGGCACAAGTCATTTCATTTAATAACCTTAATAACTAAATGAAGCAAAGGACCAATCATGGCAGCATTCTTCATGCACTAGGATCTATGCTGAGCATACATGGTGGCTACGATTACCTTATTGGGGTTGGTTCCCCCAGGGCTGTAGAAACCTGTCCCTGCAGTGTTTCCATAATATTGTCATCTGAGTACAACTGCATGGGTGTGTTAAACTGAGCATGTACAATCTTGACACCAGGAAGATCCATTTCTAAGGGAATGTTGGGGGCCATCTTAGCTGCAGCTTTCAGTTCAGTAGGACAGATAGTACTAACAGTGCTAACTGAAGAGGGTGTGCTACGTCCGCTGCCGCCGTCAATACCGGAAGGAGTGCTGCATACACTGTGCCAAAAACCAGTACACAAAAGATATGTGATGCGAACCAGAAAAAACATAAAAAGATAAAGAGCAGGTGCAGAAGCATTCTCAAGAGTGGTGGAAGAGACAAAATGAATCAAATGCAAGAGAAAGGGATCAAAATCAGATGCTGTGAAATTGCATTTTTCATGTTTTATTTCTTCAACTTATAATCTGTCATAAGTTTAACATGATGGCAAGCATTATGCCAAACTTCCTTTGTATTATTTTTCAGAATTTCACCAAGTCTTACACTAACCTTTCAACACATAATTACAGGAAGGCAAGACATTGGTTAAGAATCTGACTAGATTCAGATAGGTCAGCATCAAAAAAAGCATTTAGAAGGCAAAGTTACCTTGCCAACCCTTTCTATAAAATATCTTGCATAATTGGCATATTTCCATTCTAGATCATAACACAGGGCCAATACATGTGATGCTTTCTTAACACCAGGTAATCCACTTTCAAACAAGGTATCAAGTAGTGGTAATTATAACCCTTCTAAGCACTAATGAACTAATAATGCAGTTCTGGACTGTTAATTTAGACTTTGATGCTACATGAATCATTCAAGCACACGTGTCAGATACATATTCTTGCATTTGTTTCAGATTGATGAAGGAGCCATGCTTTGCCATTTTTAATTATGAGAGTCTCCAATCTTCAATATTCAATGGTCCAAAACAAAATCTACATAGAACAGGAATGCAGTATGTGCAGTTGATCCCATTTTCCCCCTTGGTTGAAAATTCTTGTGTGAAACAATCTTATAGAAAAAGATAGAAAAATTTGCACTTACAAGTTCTTTTGACAATCATTTGGAAAGCACCATATTAAATGTTATTGCTCAATTTTCTTCAATGTCATCAACTCCTTAAAGCTTAAGGGCAGGGTGTATTTAATTTAGATTCATTGATTTATTTTTCACATTTATATATTGTTTTCAATCAAAGGAGTGAATGGATAACTTTAGTTCAAAATTTAGATTTGCCTGATCTAAAAATCACCTTCTGCAGTTGCTAATAACTTTACAAGGGGGTAGGAAGGAGGATACCATTATAGTATCTGTAGCTGCATTTCCCTCCTGCCTAGGAAATACCTCTGGTGGGAGTAATTTAAATCAAGTAAATAGCACAAAATATGTGCAGCAGCTCTAATCAAATGCAGAGCCAGTTGAGGGATCCAGCCCCGATCAGTGGTTAGGCCCCGACTCCCTCAGGAGTGCTTTCCCTTTCTGGGGAAGAGCTGTCCAGGGAAGGTGAAGTAATCTGCTATAATTCACTTACAATGAATAAGGACCTTTGTGTGATACCCTAGGGCAGCCTTCCTCAACCTGTTATCCTTCAGAAGTGTTGGACTACAACTCCCAGCATTTCCCAGCCAGGACTTTGCAGTGGTAGAGATGCAAAAGTTCCTCTCTTGCACATCAAACTGGAAACATAAGTGAATGTACAAGTCACTTGCACATCTTCTGCCATCACTGACTTGTAACATGTGAAGCTGCTCTAAGGTTGTGAGCTGATTTAGCAGAAAAGTAAATACAATGGAAATAATGAGGCTAACTTCTGGATAAACCTGATCTGGCTTTGGAGCACAAACTCAGTGACTCTGCAAGATTCTCATGCATGTTTACTCATAACCAAGACCCACAGATTTCAATGAAATTTCCTCCAGGTAACCAGGCATAGGACCCTACTGTGCAACTGCTGTCCCATGCATGTTCACTAGGGATTTTAATGGGGTTTGCTCCCAGCCCCAGGTAAGTGTACATGACTGCAGTCTTAGGCTATAATCCTATACCCACTTATCTGGGAGTAAGTCCCACTGAACCAGTGGGTGTTACTTCTGAGTAGACATGCATAAGACTGCACTGTTAACTTCCAAAATTTGGAGATTATTAATCATGCCAGTTTTCAGGACCAGTCAAAACCGAAATTTCTATCACATCCATTTTGGTGAATTCTGACACACATGTATGCAGCTGTTGGCATCTACCAGTATATTTCAGTTTTTAGATTTTCACAATTTGTCACAATTCACAATTGAATGCCAACATTCACTAAGTTTCAGGTATTTATTGTCACATATATGACATAGAGCTAAATATTGCCCACAGCTTAGCAACAGCTTTATTTGCCTCATAGATCCTTATCCAAAATTTCCTCATCAAACTGTAGGCCAGCCTTCCTTCAAGAATGTCATCTGGAACTTATGTAGGACCATGTTGTCACACAGCTGAAGAAAAGCACATTCCTTACCATCAAAGGCAAGACAAAGAATTCCAGAAGAGCCTCACATGCCCAGGGCAAGTATGCAGTTGGACAGTTGCCAGACCCCTCAGCCAAATATCCATACAAGGGGACAGCCATTCAGCCACACACAAAAAATCTGGATGCATGTTTGGCAACCAGAAGCAAGACTTGTCAGCAATGATAGTATTAACTCAAAAACCTGAAGTGCATTTTTTAAAAGCCAAGCATAGGTGCTGAAATAAGCAACTGGGGAGGGGGAGGGGCTGGGAGAGGGAGTACAGTTAGCAAAAATATGTTAGATGTCTTCCAGCAGTTTTGTATATTGCTATGTAAACTCAAACAGTTTCATAGACAACTGTATAAACTGAATGTGGAATAAGATGAGTGCAGAAGTGCTTGATTTCTTACACATTATGAATTATCACTGACCTTCAAGATGTAAGCATCAATAACCTCTTTTAATTTTCTGTAGTACACATTTTATCCTACAGTCACATCTTCCATAAAATCTTATGAGAATTGCTGAGGAATCCATGGCCACCTAGGGAACCCTAGAGGGCAACATAGGCCTGAGATTTTGCACCTCTGTTCTCAGTGGAAGATGGTAGCTCCAGTGCCACATGGGCAGTATATCCAATCCGGGATCCAATCTGAACTTTACAGGAGCTGTCCTTGGTGGGAGCCACAAAGCTCAAACTAGGTTCAGCACCATGGACAGTTCCTATACAATTTGGCCAGAACCTTGAGTTCCCCACTGACACTAGAACCACCAAGTCACTGCTGCCTGTTCTAGCTCTTGAGACATACTGGGCAACTGAGAATTTGGGCCTTTCATACACCCTCCCAGCTTCACAGCCAGATATCACAGTATCATACAGAAGCTGTGCGGTGGTCTCATGTCTACTGCTGGTTCTGGGCCAGGATGCGCTCCTGTGACACAATATGCACGCAAATTTTACATATACTTTTCAAATTACTGTCCTGGAAATGTGTACACATTAGGCTAGCTTTCAATTTTCTCCTGGCACAGAACATGCCGAGATATTATCTGATGGAAGATCCATTGATGCTAACTGGGGAATATCACAATTTAGCAGATTACCCTGAGCAGTATTTCCACTTAATAAGTCCCATTTCACCATTATAATAATCAGCTCTTCGCTGTTTAGGAATGGCCTTTGATTTCAGATTTATATATACCACACAGCAAACATTTTATTCATTAGAAAGCTTTACACATACTGATGTACCAATGTTACTGTTTTCAGTTTCTTTGTGCGCAACCACGAAACACACCATGCATCCAGTTACAGATCAATTTTATAACCTGCTTGGGCCCATGACTACGAAAGGTTTGGGCCGAATATTATGCTTGTGTTCAAAGTAGCCCATGTCCTGGAAAAAAAGGAAAGGGTTACAAAAACAACATTTAGCAAATCACTGTACATTTGTTTCTAAAGAAGATTAGTTTACGGACACATAGCAAATTATTGAGTTGTAAGTCATAAAGTAGTAGTATTAACATATTTGCTGTTGTTATAAGAAAGAGAGCACTGGGTACAATCAAGCCAAAATCAAGCACTGTTCAGGCTCCAAGCCTAAGCCCACATACTAGGGAATAAGCCCCACTGAAACTGGTGGGGCTACAGTTGAGTAAAATGTGCTTGGGATCTGGTTGTACATTTGTATTTCCCACTGAGATCAACAGGACTGCAACCTGATCCTATCCATGTTTGCTCAAAGGTAAGCTAAACAACCCTAAAAAGTGTTCTCTCCTGTTCGTGCATGTGTGCACGCACACAGAAATGTAGGCTTCGGTCCTCAACTTTGGCTGGATTGTGCTCATCCCACTATGGGAAATATATATATCTGTAATATTGGTCTCTCCTACATGGTCACTTATTTTTACAGGAGCATTTCTTAAATTCTGGACATCAAGAAAGAAAATAAAACATCAAGAGCTGGACCCAAAAGTCTGAAACCAGGTATACCGGCATGGCAGTGAAACAGCACGGCACTTACTTTTCAGGAATTAGGCCCCGCAGCTGTCCATGAAGAGCATCATGTATATTGCCAGATGAATACAGCCCAATTGGAGAGTTATAGGCAGAACTCACTACCTGCCTTTTGTCATCAAGGTTTGCTGCCGCGACAAAAGGCCGGGCCCTTCTGTTGTGAGCCGTACCAATAGGCTTGAATTCCTGTGCATAGTAGGCAGACAAAATACACAAAGCTACAATGCACATTGAAGCCAATAACAAGCAAAACTGACAACACCGCTATGTAGTATCACAACACATCTTGCTGCTGCAAAGTGACAACAGAAGCTTTGATTTAGTAGGCTACTAAGCAAGCATCCTATGATTCGTTACTGAAAATTGTACAAGCAAAAGGGAAGATACACTCAAACTGTTATTCTAGAAGTGTCATAACAGTTTGAGTATAACTGGATGTTACAGAGGAGGGGCTGGCCAAAAATCAACAAGCTCCATACTTCTTCCTCCTTTTTCCCAGTATGATCTAGTAAAAAATTAAGAAGAATAATTACATGTTATGCCTGCACTGAAGGCTCTGTTAGGAGCAGCCAAAAAAATGAAGCAGGATGCAAGAATGGAAAAATCTTAGTGCAATGACATTATATAACACTTGGATTACTATGCTGAGGAAGGGAAGAAGAGGTGTGAGGCTATCACTGTCTCAGCAGCCACATATCCATCAAGCATCCATCTCAGAGTAAGTCAAATAAGACTGCAATTGAATGCATATTTACTTAAGAATGCATATTTACTTATTTACTTAAGCATTTAAAATCAGTAACATCTACTTCTGAATAAACATATCACAAGTAAACTGGAAAAACTTTTTTCTGAACCAAAAAAATACCATGCCCCTTGTAAGTGGATAGATTTCCTATATCTGTATGCAGTGCTTTTTTTGTCCTAGAACAGAGTTCCAGCACCTTTTTTTCAACAGATTTTCCAAGTTTTAAAAGTAACTTTTGAAAATTTGATGTTTGGTCCATGTAGATTTGAATCGCCCTGTCGAGTGTAGCAGGTCGGCGGCAAAATCATTAAAATGGTGCATGCTTGTGTGTCGAGTCCAGTGCATGCGTGCTTTGTCCACGCTGGTTGTGATGGCGCTGCTCGGCTTGTGACACTGCTCGACTTATGATTGGTTGTGTGGTCGCACACTGAGTGCTTACTGCAGGCGGCGACCATTATGTTTTGTTACACAACTGATGTGTGTGGGTGTGTGTACAGTGATTGGTAAATAGCTGCGTCCCTATCTGGTAAATAGCTGTGTTCCATCAGCTGCGTCCCTATCTGGAGAATGATTGCCTGGCGACAGTGACACATGCATTGGTAACTTCCCAATTAGACTTCTGTAACGCGCTCTACGTGGGGCTGCCCTTGAAGACGGTCCGGATACTTCAACTGGTGCAAAACAGAGCTGCCAGGTTGCTGACGGGGACTAGGTGTTGTTCTCATATAACCCCAGTCCTCCGTCAGCTTCACTGGCTTCCCATTGAAGTCCGGGCCCAATTCAAGGTGTATAAAGCCCTCAACGGCTTGGGACCTGGTTATCTAAAGGAGTGCTTGCATCCATATATGCCCTCCCACCCCCTGGGATCGGCGGCAGAGGCCCTCCTCCGGGAACCCTCCGTGAAAGATATTTGGAGGGTGAGTAGCTGGAGGAGGGCCTTCTCTGTGGTGATGCCCCACCTATGGAATGCGCTCCCCAGAGAAGTCCGCCTGGCACCGTGGTTATTTGTTTTTCGGCGCCAGGCCAAGACCTTTTTATTTAAAAGTTATTTTAATTGTTAATTGATTTATGGGGTTTTATATTGTGCCAAGATGTCTCCAAATTTTTAAGGTTAATTGTGTGTGTTGGGTCTCTTTTGTAAGCCACCCCGAGGCTTTTTGCGACTGGGGTGGCATAGAAATGTTTTAAATAAATAAATAAAATAATTTCATGCGTTCCAGCAGCATTTTACTTACAAAAAAAGCACTGTCTGTATGTATTCAGAAAAATATCAAGGATATAAATTTGCTTGTCCTAAAGCAAGATAGACATGGATGCATGCTCCATGAACGTCAAAAGGTAGTAACAGTCTCAGGACACCTAAAAGACTCAACATATAACAAACTCTGCAATATTTTCCTGGGGATGTAATACTGTGTTCTAAAAATAATGCATTATAATTTAGTGCATACAAAATCTCACTGAAGCCAAGCTATCTGCCACAGATATTAATGTGCTAAACAGGATGACACAAAAAGATATAAAATTCACTTTCATCTCCAACATTAATTGCAATCTATACATGGCTGCTCAGAAATAAGCTCATTTGAGTTCAATGTGACTAATTCCCATGTAAATGACTATATGAGTACAGTTTGGTTAAGAAGCACTATGACTTGCTCATGCAATTTGGAATATTTTATTACTTTAAAGGCACATCCCAGGTATGTCTAGACAGAAAAACAGGCCTACAACGTCCAGCATTCTGGGAGTTGCAGGTCTTTGTTCTGTCTAATCATGTATAGGATCATGTCCTTAATAAATAGCACTTATATTGTGTGGCAACCTCTCTTGTTCATTCCTCCTCTTGCTTCAGGAGAGATTTTTCTGCAGATACAAACGAGTACAGAAGAGTGTAAAAGGCCACATTGGATTAATCATTCAGTACCTGACAATCAAAGCTTTCTTTCTTTCTCCTCCCACTGACAACATGCTTACACAGGATTTCAGAAGTCATACTCATGTTAAGCAACACTTCCCAGATAGATGGAGTGGGCTTTTCATACTCTGGTTTACTTATTTCTCCTCCCCATGACTGGCAAAAGTAGAATTATGCACCATCAGAGTTTTTAGACAAATTTGATCACTTTACACAATTTGTGAATATTCAGCTTTTCTTATGATGGAGTCTGGGGTATTTATCTTTATACATAAACATCTAGGGCAGCCTTCCCCAACCTGGTGGCCTTCAGAGGGCTGCAACTTCCAGAATTCCTATCCAGCAGGGCCATTGATTGGGAATTCTGGGTATTACAGTCCAAATGTGTCTTAAAGGCACAAGGCTGGGGAAGGCAGATCTAGTGGACAGAGGTCAATCGATACGAAAGATGGGGAACTATAGTTCTTCAGATTATTTTGAACTCAAACAGCCATCAGCCCCAGCAGGCATAACCAATGGTCAGGAATGACAGGTTGGGATCCAACAACATCTGAGGACCAGAGGGAGTACCTTTGATCTTCAGCATATGGAATTAAATTACTGATAAAAGTCACCACCAGTAATCTTCAATTTATTCCTACTCCTAGCATGCTATGTAAGCATTCAGATCAAGCCTTGTGGACCTGTCCTCCTAGAAACATTGCACTGCAGAATACAGATGGGAGGTAGCAATCCTGAATGCTCCCTCAAATGAAAAGATTTCTGTATCTGGAAAGCTAGCAGGCCAGGAAAAAAAAAGAGATGCTATCCCAGTGTTTTTTCTAGTATACTCATTCTCTGTGCTCTGGGATGACGTTTCTTTTCTTTTCCACCAGAGAGCACTCAAGCCCACTACCAATCAAGAAGGGTTGGAGTACAAGCTCTTTTTTTGGTTTTTGGTTTTGTTGTGGAATGCAAGCATCAGTTTTTAACAGCAGTATTTAGGGAAATGCAGTCACATTGCATTCAATTGAACCAAACTGTTTGGAAACTTGAGTTTTCATTATTAACCCTCACCTTAAAAATATTAGCAAACAAATTCATCAAAAAAATACACAGCACTTTATGTTAATGTAAATGAGACTTGCTTCTAGCTAAACGTGTTTGGGATGTGACTGCTCTTGTCAAAGAATGCAGTTTATCCCATTTCAATAGAAGCCACTTTAAATACGTATAAATTAACTATGACAAAATATATGATCACCTAGTTTTTAATTGGATTAATACATGAATTTCAGAAATACTATGTAATGTAGGAGCATCACTGTTGTAATATCATAATATAGAAATACATCTATATTGTTACAATACTCTTTTCACTACAATAATCTTCATTTCTTGGAATACCATCAAATTTGCAAAATGTAAATTGCAAAGCAAATAGCTGTACTATATATACACAGTCCAGCTCTTGTGTTTGTTGTATATAATAATCTACATTTGGCTGATACGTCTAACCATTTACTAAGAATCCAAGACCAATTTAAAATAGTAATCACAAAATCACAAAAAATTACTTTTGAAGCCTAGCATAACTATCAAGGGCAGAAATCACATTAGTAGCTCTACTTTCTTACAATGGTGAACCTATTTTGCCCTTTACAAGCATCAAAAGAGTATTTTCAAACAATTCAACATTCATTTATAGGGAATCAAAATGGTTTTAAAATGTTAAGATGCCTGTTTTGAAATGAGCTCTTGAGGAGTTTTAAACCTGAGTTTTAAAAGGCAAATCTCCAGCATTTGGCTCCTGTCTCCTCCATCACACCCACCTCAGAAAAGCCACAACACCCCTTCCCCAAGGCGCAAGAAACAGTCATTCTGCACCAGCTGCAAGGGTAAGGGGTGGGGGTGTCTGGAGCCTGGAAACCCAACTTGATGTCAGGGCAAGTTTCTCACCTTGTGACAGCCTCTCTGAAAAATCCTATGGCAACCAGATGTTGTCTAGCAGCCACAGGATTGTTACCCATAATCCATTTTAGCGCTGTATAAAAGGCAGCCAAGCAGGTGTGTACAAGCATTGTTGCTGTTTAGGAAACTGCACCGGCCATAACAACAACCTGTGGAGGTTGTTCAAGAATTCCCATCCCCCTTCTGGCCAGCTTTCTACAGCAGCTTTCCAGGGGTAAGTGAGAAGAGGAGTTTGAGAATATCCAGTAAGCATAGAAGAGTCTTATGTGAGATTCTTGAATCTCACCCACAGAGTTTTGACTACCCAAGTATTTTGGATAAGAGGCTTCGTTGTCCTGTGTGTTTAATAAACCATGCTAAGAAAGATTACATTATTTTTATTAGAAGTAATTTATGCCATCCCCAAATTACAGATTAGAAGTTGGATCCAGATCTAGGTATACTTATAGATCTGGATGAAATCAGCGGGACTTCAGTTTCAGTGGGCTTACTCTAATTAAACCTGGATCCAACCAAAAATAATTTTACAACTTAGGCATAGGCCTGCTTAATTTTGAGGAAAATATAACCAGTAGAAACAAAATAACTTTATGTAGATATACATTAAAAAAGAGGTGGGAGAAGAAAAACGTTAGGCTATTTCAGTCTGTAAAATAATTAAAGTCAGATAAAAAACAGAGGCTTATAACTGACGCAGCAAGCAAGAGCTTCTTTGAGAAGAAATATTCTATTTACACTTACATTATGTACAACCAGTGCTCAAAATTTCACTGTTAAGCAATATTGTTGGGTTGTGTCCTTAATAAAATGTGTTATCTTATAATATACCAGTATAAATCCACCATGGGGTACACCACTTCAAGCAGGAAAGGGCCTTTTTAAGACAAGGGTGGGGATCTTCTGGCTCAAGGGCCAGATTTGGCCTTCCTAGGGCCAGACCTACTATTTGCACTAGGGATGGGGAAACCCTTTGGCACAAATAGGAGATTCCCCACCAGGCAAAGAGGAGGTATGGGAGCCTAAACCTGAATGAGGCAAATGGCTGGAGCTCCCTTCCCTCTCGCGTCAGAGTTTCAATCTGGGTGGCATTCACTGTTTTAAAAAACTGATATTGTGCAGTTTGGCCCCTCTTGAAACACTTCAGAAGGTTGTTGTCTGAGTAGTTTTAAGTGCAATACACTCATCTCTGGCTCATTTAATGTTCTCTGCATGAGAAGTTTCTTCCTTGAGGGGGCATTCCTTTAAGGATTACTAGAATACTACTTGGCTGGAAGACGTGAACTGTGGTAGTTAAATGCCAAACATTGTTATCCTTGAAGTTTCATCATATCATCATAGCATGCCATGACTGAGACTTGGGAAAGTAAGCTATTTTGTGTATCAAAGAGGCTTCCATGTAACAGCTGGAAGCAGAAGTGTAGACAGACAAAATAAAGGAACAGTTCACCTCTCCACCCTGCTAAATACCACTTCCCAAGTCTGGCCAACAGACCACACAACAAATTCAGTAAAGAGATGCTTTCTGACATGCCCAAGGGCAGCCATACATCCAGAGGAACTTTTATCTTCTTTTTAAAAAGCAAACTACATGACTTAATATTAACATATGTGCCATTCAGCCAAGCATGAAAGAGTCTATTACAAAAGAAAAACAGAAGAGAGAGAGAAAAATAAAAGAGGGTTCCACTACCTTTTTGAATCAGGCACCCAGATGTACAATCCCCTCTGAAATACTATCCATTAGAAATAAGTTTAGAATGCAAGATTCTGGACCTAGAGAGAGCCAAACTGCTCGTACAAGGCCTGTTGAATGGGCCTGTACCACATGTGTGATTATTGGCGTACTTATCAATAATTTGAGTCCTGCTCACTTTAAAAAAAGATCAAGATAAATAGGGCTGGGTAAAATTGGATGATCTCTTAGAGACGGGGGCAGGCATTCACTTCCAACATCCAGTCCCTTAGCACTCTTCATCAGGATTAAGCATCCTATCTGCATCCAAGTGAACCATGGCTAATGCTATGTACCACTCCTTCTCAAGTGAGGCTTGGAATATGAGCTTGAAGTTAGCAGTTATATTAAAAAAAACTAATGAGGGAGGCAGTTTAGTGTTAATCATGGCTACCATCATGGCCAAATATAACCTGTAGCCATGTGTTGGCCTCTCTCTCATTCTCCCTGTAATTTGCATCAGAGAGGTGAGCCAAGGGGCGAGATACTCAAACTAATTCCCAAGTTCTTAGCTATGGGACAACCACACTGGCCCCCCGGTGAACATGCTTGATGGACCAGTAGAGGGTCTCGACCAGATTAAGGAATAAATATTTCCATCATAATTTTGTGATTTAAAAATGACTGGATGAGTCTGGAAGCTTGTTTTGCTTAGGTATAAAACCAGGTGGGATCCTCATGGATAACTCTCACCTGGGCTCACTAGAATCTTGCTCTAGATGTTTTCAGTAGCAGAGTTCTATGAACATACAGGTTATTGACAGAACTGAATGTCTGATGATAACGTCCACAGTCGATGTAAATATTAGGTAAGTTCAAGAGGTCCTTAATTCAAATTGTTCAGGAATCACAGCTTTGTGTTATTGTGGATATTTTATTATGTTAAATAGGCAGTTAGTAATAGAAGTTGGTAAGTAAATAACTATGAAATATAAGGAGGTTGCTGCTAATTCAAAATGGCAACTACCTGTGGTTCAGCTTCCAAGTTTACTTTGAATGGATGTGGCTTGCCATCTTCTGTTACTTGTGGAGACCACAACTTTGTTTCTGCCCTGCAGGTGAAAAATGAATGCACTGTTAATTTGCATATTCAAACTTACATAAGAAGTGTGTAGTGCCAAAAACCCAATTCTGCTCAAAACCCAAAAGAATCAACGTGGTGGAGGGAAGGGAGTCCAGTTCTTTCTAGGGAAAGACACAACTTGTAAACAGATTCATGGTAAAAGAAAGACAGGGAAAATTGTGAAAGATGAATACAGCAACAAATAAAAGAAGACATGGAAGGAATCACAAAATCCAAAAAATGGGTTATGGATAGGTTGCCATTGAACTAAGGGTTGTTAAGTCATGGTTTGGTGTTATATGAAACGGCACTATACCTTAATGGCAGAGTATTAGCCATGAACAACCCAGGGTTCACAAGCTGACAACAAACCATGGATTTTCTTCTGGGTTGTTCATGATTAACAATCCATAGTTAAACCATATGGCAGGTTTTGCACGCAGTAACAATCCACGAGTCACCCACACCCTGACCAAGCCATACTCTGGGATGTTATTTTGTGTGAACCAGACCTCACTCTAAAAAAAAAAATAAAAATGGCTATCATTGGTAAGAATATGTATAGTAAAATAGCTCAAGCAAGAATGGGCAATGATCTGCAGCTAGACAAGAAATGGTTGATTCTGTCATACAATTAAGACAAGACAAACTCTCGGTTCATAGCTTAAAGGGTGAAGAGAGCTATCTATGATGTATTGGAAACTTAGAATTTAAAATCTATTAAGACAAAACCAGATGTGTTGCCCTCAAGTTTTCACAGATAACATCCTTTGGGCTGGTGACTATTCTCCTTGAATTGTGTATCATGCTCATTGTATACCTACACACTCAGTTAATACATTGTGCTCTTATCTACTTCTTATCTGCAGCTTCAGTGTTCTCACTGTCTCATTCTGTTCTCAGGGTCCCTGGCGATGGTGGCTAATAAAAAGCATTTCTGGTTCGATTTTCACCTTGCTTTCTTGAGCAACAGGCTAATCAGTGCTCCTAGCTCTTGATTAGCAGTTCTACAGCCTTTTGCTTCCAGTGCCCTCATTGCTTCCCTCTGCTCTTTTCACATGTATTTTTCATCCTCAGATCATCCACTGAAAAACTCGCCTGGTAGATAGCCTGACCTTGTCACCATTTCCTGCCCTTCCCTCAAGAACAAGTAAAGAATTGTTCAATTTTGGACATATGAACATACGAAGTGTTATTGGTTGGGAATGTTTAGAAATAAGTAGATTAAAGTTGAGGTGGATGAATGTGACCAGCCCAAGACATTTTGCTGCATGGAGCAGACAAAATGCTCCCTAACCTCATTCCCACACATGGAAATCCAACTGGATTAACAGCTTGTTTATTTACAACATATATACACCCCACCTTTCCTCTAAGGGTGTCAAGGCAATCATTGCATCTTATGTCCTCCATTACATCTGAGGAATCTTATAGCCTCCACTACTGCTGAGGGCAGAAGGGTAATTTAGGAATTACAAAGAAGAGTATTCATTCTGTATACACAACTTCATCTTGCAGCACCTCACCCCTGATACTTACTCTCATAGCATCTGCTGCCCAAAATAGTTATTTCATTTTACCGGTAGGGCTGGACCTGTGGATATAGCTCAGCAATTTGGAGGACAGTCTGATAGGTCTGGCAGTGCTCTTTGCCAGTGCTGCACTGGAAAAAGTCACCCAACAGGCCTAATATGTAGGCATGTCTTATTTAAGGCAGTATAGTTTAGGCTGCTGCTTGGTTTTCCCAAAGCTCAAGTAGATCACTGGGTTTTCCCTATGGGACTCATGTGCATTTGGTTGAAGGGGTGAGAAAAAGATATAAGCAGGGGGGGACCAGTGTGCTAGACTGTTGCACATCTCTATAAAACAAATGTGATATTCAAAAGTAGTTCTAAACTGTTTTCACATGGGTGTAACTTCCACAAGTATTTACTTTGCCCTTTACCTAACCTCATGTGTTTCAAAACCAGCTCAAGACACTACCCAAGATGCCACAGAAAACAACAGCTTTGGAATGGGAGGGTCAATAATGAAACATTGTCAAAAGTCATGCCCATATACTGGTTGGGCTGGTTAACATGCATCTAATTCTCAGATCCCAGGTCCAGAAAGCTATATTGGTTCCTTGGCTACCAAAAGAAGCCCTTGGAAAACAGCACAACTGAAATGCATATGGACAACAAGGAATTCATCGCTTTACTCTAAGGACACTGTGACATCATACCTTTCAATCTTCAGGCAGAGCTGGTGTGATGCTGCTTTAATTCTCTCTTGTGCATCATTATGAGTCATGTTCTCTGTGCTATAGCCATCAATGGCTATAATAACATCGCCAGGACACAAATTGGCTTGTGAAGCTTTGCTTCCTGGTGTAATCTGAAAGAAATACAGAATGGTTCTTTTAAACTACTTGTGGACCAGTCTGTTTCCGCTTAAGACTCTATATTAGCAACAAAGCACATTTCCTGTTAATTAGTGTTCTTTAACTAAACCAATTTGATATTAAAACCATTCTGAAAAAAGTCAGTTCTTTGGGTGGCAATAGATTTCCATACATGTAATCTAAATCTAAGAATTAAGGAGCAAGTGCCTTACTCATTTCATCACACTCATTCCAACCACAACTTTCAGGATTGTTTCTTCCTAATTTCAACAGATCCAGCTCAGTGTTGAGTTGGATGTACATCCTAAAGTATACAGCTGCTCTCTGGTCCATATTTATTTCAACAGAGGCAACCAAGCCAAATGCACAAAGCTAAGGAGCTTCCATGCAAGAAGCAGACCTTGTTGAATTGTGCCCTCTATCTGTAGGAAGGGCATAGTTGCAGCATAGAAAGACAGGTATTCGTCTTGCACAGCTATTAGTCACTATTGATCTCCAGTTCCTCAGTGACTTCCTGGGAACTGGGAGAGGAGTCTGCCCATTGCCAGAGGCTTCCTACTCATTGAAAAACTTTAAGGCCAAAACCTTGTGCAACTTAGGATTTCTGGATCTTACAAGATGAGGAGGGAGAAAAGACTTTGGTGAGGCCTATATAAGACCTTGTATACTTGGCTCAGCCCCAGCTGGAAAAGTAGACATTGGAGGCCATGGGGGCACTTCCAACTGCTAGAAATGGGAACTATCCTTAGCTCAAATCTAAATGGAGACATGAGACTTTTCAGTGGCAGAAGGCTTGTGCTGCTAACTGGCCTGGAAGTCAAAAGTGGCACGTGAACAGACTAGTCAGATTAGTGTACACATGAACAAGTATGATAGAAATGAGGGCTTACTGGAGTTCAACATGTTTCTGGATTCAGTAATGCCTGTAAAATTGAATCCCAAGTTATGTCCTAACTAAAATTCAAGACTGGTATCTACCTCTTTCTTCCAATTGCAGTGGGAAAGACTGAGTAAGCAAGGGAACTCCAGGTACGCCCCAAACAGAGGGCTGGATCCAGCCTATTACATGGAATTACAATTGCAACCATATATATCGCCAAGTTTGGGATTACCTTCTGCCAGGAATGAGTCTTTCTGCTCTCTGTCTATACCACTCCCACTGAAAGAATGTTTAGCTACTTACATGCTGAGTAATGCTTTTTCAGAAGAGCTCCAAGAATTCCAGGAATCTCCCTTCCTCCTTCCCGCTCTCTTAAAAACAGACTTGCACTGTCACAAAGCCTGGCAGGTGGTGCTGTCTGCTTAGGGAGTGGTATCTTGGTTTGACTGTAAATGCAAAGTATTTCTAGATGCTCCAAACACGATTTGCTTCACAATAGCTTCCCAATTTCAAATTCTTAAAATGGTTTCCAAAAGCTTTCCATACACTCAAACTGACAAAATAAAAGGCTTGGTTTCATTCTTTGGGTCATTGTGTTTTAAAATATAATTTGCAGTGCCATGGAGAATGCTTAAGAGACATTCTTGATATACTGAAGCACAATGCACAGCCATTGGAGACTATTACATACTCCAATTCAGACTATATATAGGAGTGTGACTGAATTTTCTTCCTCTTCTATCAAAAACATGGTGATGTCCATTTTTATGAGGATGTTAAAGGGGGATTAAATCATTTGGAGCTTTTCTATACAAAGCTGTTATTCCACTGTATCTACTTTCAGTTTTGTCACAGAATTGAGATCAAAGCATTACATGAGTGTTAAGTTTCCTGCTTTTCTGATACATAATGTCTAGGTGGCACTGTGGTATAGCAGAACAGTGCCATCACATAAAAGGAGGTCAGTTTCCTTTGCTTTAACAATTAAATGCTGCATTTTCCCTGCTCAAACACAACCTTCCTAGAAATGCTGGTTAGTTAGGATGGAAAATTGTGCAGTCAGAATATCATCAGAAGAAATTATGACCAGTTGTGAGTCATGAATGATGAGTGGCATGTTAAATGCCTCATGCAGAAAAGGCCTTGGGTTACACTAAACTAGACAGAGACTTGGAAGATAGGACTGTCAACAGCTATTGGCCATGGCACCTAAAGAGTCAGAATGCCGCTAAAGGGTGGGTGGCAAACAACACTGGAAATGATTGGCTTCCTGATCTTTTTGTGAACATCCCAAAGGTATTGGCTGGCTAACGTGGTCTCAATAGACCATCAGATTGATCCAGTAGGGTTCTTCTTGTGTTGAAGCATTCCCCAACTTCATGTCCTCCAGATGTTTTGGACTACTACTCCCAGCCATTCTCACATTGGCTGCAGCTATGAGTTGATGCCCAACATCTGGAGGGCATGAAGATGGAGACAATAATTTGCTATACAACATTCGTTTTCACCTTGCAGATCATGAAGCACCACTGGATCATGTTCCAAGCTTATATGAGAGGGAGAAAGTAGGAGGAAGGCAGGTACATGGGGAAGAAGGCAGACAGCAAATGAGCAGACACACACAGATAGAAGATGCGATGAAGATTTAAATTGTGTACTGTAAACGTTAAATCATGTTTTAATACATTTTAATATGGTCTATTTTATAGTGTTGTGAACCACCCCAGGAGTTTTGGCTGTAGGGAAGCATGGAAATGAATTATTTAATGAATTAAAAAGTGGGAGCAGGAAGAAAGGAAGACTATACTACCTGGATTTAGAATTGTTTCCCTACCTGGTTGCTATATCTCCTTGAAGTAGCCCAACATGTTTTGGCCCTGGGTTTTCTTTAGAGGCTACAAGTTCTAAAAAGCGCTCACAGAGATCCCTAAAAAGAAATATCTCCAAGATGTCCTAGGAGTCATCTTACTTTTTTTCTGAACACAAATGTGGTAAGTTGTGGGTGAAGCAGTGGCCTGACTCTCAAACATCCATGGTCTTCCTCTCTGTGGCATTTCTGCTTGGCTATGGTTGTTTAGGAAGCGTGAGAATATTTAATCTACCAGTCAACTTTCTATTAGGGCAGTCCAGCTTTCACAGTTACTGCAATAATTACAAAAGGAATCTTTTGTTTCTTGCCTCGAAGCATCATCTCTTAACATGCTTTGATTGACCCATGATCTGCTTATCTGACATTGGCTCCATTTCAATAGCCTCGTAGCACTGCAGTAAGTTGAGGACCACACTGTGGTTCAGCCATTATCTGTACTCTGGTTTCAGTAACCACAGATGGTGTTTGGTATTTCTTCAGTTCTTTTGATAATCATCTCGGGGCCTGCTCTTTCCCATCCTAGTAAACACTTTATCAGCTTGATGAATGTGCTATGGTGACAACAGCACTCTACTGAAAGCTTTACGCAACCAGAAATTTAATTAGAAGAGGGCTGTTTGATTTGGAAGTTGTTCTTTACTTGCCATAATCAGGACTACCTGCAGGTTTGAGGGATAAAATACTCTCTGCTAGCTCCCACTTTTATCCCTGGGTACTAGTGGGCTTTCCTGGTGCCAATTTCAATGCTCAAAGCAGTGCAAGGGGAATGGGCCTGACCACCATTTTAAACTTTCATAATGGCATAGACCTGGGGGAATTGTGGGAAATTAAATAATGGCCAGACCATTGCAAGTAACTTGTAGGCTAAAATTCACTTAGGCTGAGAACCAGAAGAGATAGTACTTTCAATCTATATGTAGAAACTCTTTGTTTTTATTTCCTTTTAAATTTTGCTCTAGAGTAGATGCAGGCCCAGCTCATATTGCAATCCTAGCATAGGAGTAGGGGCCTTTTAAGATCTGGCTTGGCCCTCACTTACTGCAGGGTTTAAAGGAACAATGTAGTGGCTAGATAACAAATTTAGAGTAATGTCTATTCTGGTCCCCAGCCAAAACTTGGACATTGCTCAGTGTTGTGGGAAAAAATGTTAAAATGTCAATGGCAGGCATCAGTGGTGAACCGTGCCAACTGTCCAAGGCTTTATGTCTTGATGCTAGCTGTAATCTGGTTTTCTCTGCTACAGTTTGAAAGGGAAATGGCAAACATATTTACAGAGATATCTAAACCTAAGTCTGAAATGTGTAGAGTATCTTCTGTTAGTTCTCTATTGACTCAGTCTACAAATCATTCAAAACATTAACTTGAACTGCAAGAAAGCAGGAACAATCCAGTGATTCTGTACGAGTTCTCTGCTGGATCCTGCACATGTCCTTTCATGTACTTCGGGGAAGGGCTCAGTGCAATATACAGATGTACAATTCTGTACAAAGGTCAGTGGGGAAGACCCATTGTCCAGAAGCTCCGTGCTTTTGGTGTGTTCCATTTAATCAATCCATTTCAATTTAAACACTACAACATCAAATATATCTTCTGTGGTTTTCCATACGAGGTGCAGGGTGGTCATGTGTACTATTTTACTGAGGGCAGTCCTCTATTTGAAGGATTGCCCACTCCAAGTCTGGTTTAATGATAAAGAACTGTAAGAAGGGAGAGTACTGGGGCCTTGAGCTTGCCCATCAACAGATCCCCACTATGGTGAGATGAATCCTCTTTTGGTGGACAGAGCTCTTTTTGGTGATTCATTTGCTCTTCTCTAGAAATGCATGAGTGACCACCCTTGTACAAGGTAGACTCAAACAACTACTTTAAATTTGTTGAGTCACACAGCACAACAAAGTTAGTCTCAGTGAAATCCATAATATTTGCACAGAATCAGGCCTTTAGCCACTTTAGGGCAATTGGCTTCAATGCAACTGAATTGGATAAATGCAGTTTTTCTGCAACAAATGGCTGAAGCATTATTAGATTGCTTTAAAGATCACCACTCAGGATTAGACCCGCATTTCTAGGGGAGCTATTTTTACAGTACTATTTTTACAATTACAACACATGAGAAAAAGAATCAGATGGTGTTGCAGAGAACAGATGTTAACATCAAGCAGATGTATTAAGTAAAACAGAAGATATTCATCTTCACAATTGCCTTTTAATGTAAACATGTCTTTCAAGACATGTAGACCTTGAAATAATGAGTCTTGTCACGCAGCTACCAACACGACTGCTCTCACAGGGTCTAAATAAGTAGACAATTTACTTCACAGTAATTTGTATAAATGCTGTTCCCCTTTGGTTAATTTAACTTTGAACTTCACAGAGAGTATTGTAAACAAATGAAGACTAGAAGCCAGACTGTTGCTGAAATACTTTTCCTGAGAGATAATGGAATGTCTTTTCTCCCTTGTAATTCCATAAAAGGAAACAGCACTCCAAAACATTATGATAACTGCTATTGTTTTTAAACACGTCACTGCTTTCTTTTTCTCTACCAGTATTGCAGTGTCAGGTAGCCAAGTGTGTTTCAGATGAATTTAGTTGTATATTTTGCAAAGATAAAAATCTTCAGACTGAATAGAGTACTGGTAAAACAAATTGCTGGAATTGAAGGAGAATTTTTTAATACTGTTTAAAAACAGAGCTTAACAGACAATCTTGTGCATGTTTTCTTAGAAGTCCCATTAAATTCAGTACCATTAAATATGCCCTTGTCCCAAGAATGCATATACAATTGCAGCCTTAATTTGATACCTGAGAGCTAATATAAATTCTCACCTGATGCTCTAGAAGCCTTCACAGATGGCAATAATTCTTCAGCAGTTTATTCTGAATCCTTTTGTATAGTACTTTTTAAAACAGTGCGTTAAAAGGGATAATTAATTCTACTTCTACAGATTCTAGTTCCTCAAGGGAACATTAGTACTTTATTTTTATAGAATCTCATGAAACTAAAATTGTTTGAAAGATAAATGATATTAAAAGTAGATTTTATGGGAATGTTTACACTAGATTTTATCTCTAAATGGTAATCTCAAGTCACTTAATCACTTTTTGAAGTTCCAGTGGGACATAGTAAAATATGTGCTTAACCTTTTCATTGAAATCAGTGGAATACACAGGAAACTTGTTGGGCTTTTGTTAATTATTTTCAGTACTTAGATCATACATTTCAATCCACAGAGGACTGAACTGTGGCCAGTTTTTAAACTGGTAGGTAGTAGGAATAGTGAAATAATAGGGTTTATCTCACTAAGGCTGTAGTCTTATACTCACTCACCTGGTCACATGTCCTATTTAGCTCAGTGTGAGTAACAGTTACACTGAGCAGGAAATCTACCATAACACGGGTGGGGGGGTGGGGGAATGAGAGGAGGAGAATTGCTGAATATAAAATGAAAGGTGGGTATTGACCACCCCTGGCCATCAGCAATTATTATCATTACATTGCATTTATATCCCACTTTTTTCTTTTTGTGAGGCACCCAAAGTGGCTTATAGTTCCATTATGTCCTTACAACAACAACCATGTGACATGGGTTAGGGAGTGATTGGCACAAGGTCACCTGGTGAGCTTTACAACTGAGTGTGAACTACAACCCCGATCTCCTGGGTGTCCAGCCCAGCAGTCTAATCAGCCCACCACACTGGCTCTCAAGTAAATGAACACTCACTCACTCCTAGTTCTTTTTAACTAGTATTTTGGGAGCGGGTTGAGGAGGGACTGAAAACTGCATTTCTTTGCTGCAGCCAGAGAAGAGGACTTCCCTGCTCAAGCAGCTTGTTTGGTTTCTCTGTTGGGCACAGGGAAAGAACAGAACACCCTGTCCTTCTCCACTAGGTCTCTTACGTGTCTATATAGAATTCCATGCATTCGCCTGCATGTAATTTCTGGTCACATGCGCTGACTAGGCAAGATCTAAACTACAAGCCTTTTATATTAACCCATCTTAGATATCTAACTAACCCATTGTAAAGGCTCTTTGGATTAGTTTTGTGGTATTGAATGTTTCAGTTTTGAGATGACCTCAATTTGTTTATTTTAGGGATTTATAATCCATTTTTCAACAAGCTCCCAGCATTCAGTTACAAACCAACTATGTGATTCATATGGACAATCTTTCTGAAAACCAGACAGCTTCCCACACTTAATATGTCCTATTATTAGGTACAATCAATTACCTAACATTACACCCCTCAGCTTGAATATGCAACCTCATATGCATACAGGGCCCAAATGTCTGTGATGTGAGAACATACCCTAAATATGAACATTAACATGTATCGCTCCTCCACAAGTATGCTTGCTGTGATTTCCTTTTCTACAAGAGTTACACTAGATAACTAATCCAAGAACTGGATTCAGTTTACACTAGTTCAGACATGCTATGGAAATGGCCTTCCTTAGTCCGCTTTACCCGGTGGCATCTTTAGCCCTGTGAAAATACTATACAAGGTGTATGTGTGTTGGTAGAACCTTCCAAAATTAAGCAAAAGGACCTCCCTTGAGCTTAGTCCTTCTTCTTGTGAAAGGCAAGACCTAGATACAACCCCTGCTCAATGGTTCCTTGGCCTGTTTCCTGGCTGAACCATGTTTGGAACTACACAGGGAGAGGAGTGGTTGCGGAAGTAGAGGCAATGGAATAGCAGCAGGTGAGAGGAAGGTTAAGTTCAGCAGTATAAGGGAGTCAGGCTTTGCACTGCCTGAACCTGGCACTTTTTGATTACGAGGAACCACTGATGTCATCTGCAAACCCAGTCAGAACTTTCTGCAAACCTTTTGTCAGCATCATATACCACTCCCTACTGTAATGCAAAGTATTTGGGGCTGGCTTAGTCTTGAGCTGGCAATGAAGACTCATTTGCTTTTCCACAGAAATGAAAACTGCTTGAGCTGCTTGGTCAATCTGGATCATAACTGCTGTAAGCATTTTTACCCCTCCCTGCAGTGTAGGTAGGAGGGCTGCCATGATGAGCACCAGCACTTAGGAACTTAACACCATGCTTAAACTCCTGCTGGTTCTTGAATTCAGATTTCCCCCTCCTGAAGTTAGCTGTTAGGTTTTCTCCAAAATAACAGCCATGAGGTAATTTCATTGCAAGAGCTTCCCAATGGTATAAGCATTTGGGGGTCAAGCTATGTTTTTTAAAGGCAAAACTGCTTCTGACTTGATCAAATTTAGAGAAGAGAAAAAACCCACAGTGGGCTTAGTTGTTTTTTTTCCTACCTCCCTGTTTACTCTTTCCAAGCTGCCTCACAGATTGCTTCATCCCTTTGCAAAAATAAAAAAGGATGTTTATTCTTGCAAACACACATCACAAGCAGGAGGAAAAATGTCTTGTGATGAGGCGATGTAGAACAGAGAAATGGGGGCAGAGAAAAGGGGATAGTGTTCTTTCCTCCTTAGTGAAATCATAGCTCCAAATCCTCCCTGCCATTTTTTTCAGGAAAGAGACACAAGAGGGCAGGTATTGCTACATGTATTATTAATAAAACAACCTCTCCGCTCCTCCACTTCTTTCTGGAAATACCTCGGAAGAGCTAACATGCCAGGCATGGTTCACCTGTAATAGACCCCCTAAATCTGCAAACGTATGCACCTTCCAGGTGACCCATCAAGGCACTGTAGGAATCAGCCATAGGGTGCATGACCTGGTCCTCCTAAGCAACTGGATGACTGGTCAGACTGTTTTTATCTTCCAAGCGACTGCACCTCCCCACCCCTCTGTGCTTGCGAAATCGTGCTTTGGCAAGGAGTCCAGGCAAAACTCTTCCACGCCCTGGAGTCAAGCCCCTTCTGTGAGCTGCTTTACTAGTTAATCCTAGCATCCTGTTTAGTGCACTAAGCTGAAGTTTCTCTTTATTTTCTGATGCAAGAGACTACTACTCATCTTCTTCGTTTGGTTCTTTAACAAAGAGATGGAACCAGAAACTAGAGTTCATTAGGTGGTTTTGCTTAAACTAGTATTGGTGCCACTCATAATGCAAACATGCAAACTTGATTGTTGAGTTTAAAATTAGAGGTCTATCTCTTTCACTAACAGAAAGGTGAGAACCTCCATTTCCAAGGAATGGCGCTGATCGTCCGCAGCGTATCAATACACGGGGTAACCTTCTTCTGAAACTGTCCTACGTCACAGAATCAAGGGTACAGACACACCCATTTGCCAGTTGAAGCCAGCGCCTTTTAACAGCAAACGGGCACTGGCCTATTTGCACCTTGCTTGTACAATCTTACAGACGTCTGCAAAAAACAAGTTCCATTTAAATCACGGGAGCTTACCCTCAAAGGCAAGAAGCTATAGGCCCTCACCCTTATATGGTCCCTCTTAGTCCTGAATCCGCACGCTCTTCATAAGCAAACTCGCCGAAATGTTTGAAGCACTGATTACACTTTACCAACAAGTAAGCCTTTTGCGCGTGTCCTTCGCAAATCCAGCGCTCCAAGGCAGCAGCACCCGCGCAGCGAGCACACTCTGGCCCCTACAGTCGCTGGCATCACGCTTGTTTTCACAACCCCAAGTGCGTCATTTTAATAGCAAAGGAAAGACCTGAAATGGGAAAAGGGACATACCCTGGATATGATTAGTGGCTGGTTAAAATCTATCCCTCCGGTCAGCCTGAAGCCCCAAGGCGCAGGTCCCGGGAGAACAACGTTCTGTGGCATTTTCCCCAAAGCGGCAACTTTACGACGGGATCTGCAATGGACTTTCTCTCCCCGCGGCTCCGGGAAGGGAGTTGACGTGAGGTCGAGCGGCTGGCAGCGCAGCGGCGTCCCGCGCCCGAGGAAGCTCCCCTTTCCTCCCTCGGGCCGCGGCGATCGCCCTTTATCCCAGCTCCCGCCTGACGTCACTGGCGCCCGGTCCCCTCCGCGCGGGGGAAGCGCCACCTTTGGTAAGGGCGGCCCCGCGCGCTCCGTGCGCCTGTTTCCCGGGGGTCTCCCGAGCCGTCGCTGGGGGGCTTTGGGTTGCCGCCTCCCGTTTCGCGCGCCAAGCCCCCGTCCTCTCCCTTTTGCAGGGATGACTGCACGGAGAACTCTCCCTCCTCCAGTAGATCGGACTTCCCCAAACTGCTGCCCTCGAGAGGTGCCGGACTGCTGGCTGGCAATGATGGGAAGTTTGGAGAAGCCTGCCACAAATCCTCTTTTTTTTCATTTACAAATTCTACTGGACTCCCCATCTTTTCCCTTTTTTCCTCTTTCTCTTTTCTTTCACTGTATATATGTATTTATGTTTACAGAACGTCCATGATTCGAATGTGCAATCCTGTTCAGGACTAGGCAGAAAACCCTGAAGCATGTCCCAGCCAGCTATGAGGATGATGGGAGTTGTAGGCTTTTCTTTTTGGACTAAATTAGAAAAGGATTGTGTCCTGCCCTGTGAAAGCCTATGCCTGTTAAGATATATAAAGAGGAGTGACTCTCTGCATGCTGCTGCCAGAGCCCCTGTACCCATTTTCCTGGTAGTAATCTGCACTGACCTCAACGAGATTTCCTTTTCAAGCGGACAAGCACCGGGTTGTGGTGCGAATTACTCTCCTGTTCTCTGTTTCCAAGCACCTGCCTTCATTCCCCTCCCCTTTCCACTGAGAGTTCTGTGCCAAGAGTATTGAAGGCTTTTAAATAAAGATTCATAGTGTAGCAATGAGGCAGTTTTCCTGGCATTCACAACCCTCCTCATACCTTTAAATGCAAATGTACAATGACTTAGGCCTCTTCATTTCTTTTCTTTAAATTTAAAATTGCAATAGCTGCTAAGATATTGATCCACTCATTAATTTTATTTATCTAAATATATTTGTTCTGCCTGTTAGCCAAGACAAAAGGGCAGATCTCATCCAGTTCGCATTCAACCTGTCTCAAGGGGCTCAGGGTGGCTTGTATGGGGTTATGCTATTTTGTTATGACAACAACCCTGCAAGGTAGCTTCAACTCAGCCCATGGACATGGAAGGTGCATGGCGGTTCCCACCTATCTGGGAATAAGACCCTTGAATTCAGTGAGAGTAACTTCTGCACAGCCTAGTTGCTCAGGGGTTTGAACATCAACATGTTGAAATCACACACTTTCTTCTTTTTCAAATTGATATAATGCAAACTATCCCCTGTTTTTTGAGCATGATGGAAGTCTCAGCAGTACATTGGTACCCCAGATAAAAACGACGAAGGATGTTGAGTGATAATTGAACTAACCACTGTTTTGTTTAAAGTGCCATGAAACAGTAACTTGCAAGGAAACATTCAATGAAGATCAGTTACCCCTTTGGGGATAAACTAATTGCAGTTCAGGAGGAGATGTAGTTAGCTGCAGCTTTCTTTCTTTACTTGAAGCTGGTGTCAAGTTCAGCCTCTGAGGGGAAATACATCCACATGAAGTTCTGCTAGATACCCACTGAAGTTATGAAGCCACCCCCTTTTTCTTTTCTATACCATCTTGCTTGATGAGGAATTCTGCAGAACTCAACAGCTTGTATCCTTTAGCTGGCCTAAAAAATATTTTATTCAAATATGGATTTTGGAACTTATCCTATGGCCAACACGTTTCATCTCTTGTCTTCAGAAATTGTCATTTATGTAGCTCATTGACACAGAAGGACACCTGCTTGTTAATATCGGCTTTCTCTACCACAGCTCATTTTCTAAATGTTTCTTAAGGTGCGCTCCTATGCATGTTTAGGCAGAAAAAGTGCATACAAGGTCTACGATGGCCCAGCTGTGGCTATCTGGGGCATGCTGGGAGCTGTTTTTTTCTGTCCAGACATGCATAGGATTATGTCCTCAGTGATTTCATGTTATATAATATGACGTTTCTTTTGGAAGATGTATGTGTCACAGTACATTGTTCAGAACTATTTGACACCAGCCCAGGGTAAGCTAGGGCAGCCTACTGAACGGGGATTAAATTGACTGATCCAGCATCTCCTGCTTTTTCATGTTTGGGTTGCCTTTAGCAGATCTAGGGTGCAATCCAGCGCATCTTTAGGCAGAAAAAAGCTCTGAAACTCCCAGTGTCCTTGCAGCCAAGCAGGATGGGAATAGTAGGACTCCCCCCCCCCCCCCCCGCTTTGTCTCAATGGAGGTTTGTTTTCACCTCCTTTTTTGGAGAGATGGCTTAATACTTTAGCCATTGTTGCTATGAAAAGATTGGCCAGGTTTATTGGCCACTGATGTACAGCAGCAGCTGCAAGACAAACATGGTGGCATGTTCTCAGTCTACAGATGGGATGCATGCCAGCAGTTGGGCAGCTACAGGACCCAGTCAGTCATGCTAAAGCCTTTGAGTTGTCTTCTATCATTTTCCAGATTGCTATGGAAAAGGGGCAAAGCTCTCCCAGACCCCTTTACTTGCAACCCAGAGTCATGATACTAGTGACTATTGCTAGTCTGTATCAGTCCCATAGCCATAGCTGCCTTGCCGCTTCCTTTCCTTGCTGCCTTTCGTTGCCCCCTCTTCCCTGTGAGGTTTTCTGTGTGGCTTGTATGCATATACATGCAAAGGGTGCTAGGAAGGAAAATTAACATGCCCCTTGAAAAGAGAAACAGTGAAGCTCCTTATAAGTAAACGCAGGTAGTTGCTCCAGATTGCTGCTTGATATGACCAGCTGGCACTCCAGCTCATAATGGAAAAAAATGACTTGTTTGCTGCTATTGTTTTTAGCGCTCAGCTAAACACTCAGAGTTTCTGAAGATGATATTGTGATATCAATTTAAGTTGCTGGATAAACTCATCAGGGTGGCCAACTTCTGGCCTTTCAGATGGTCTGGCCTTTAGCTCACAAGCTCACTTGCTGCTGGCTGTACTAGCTGGGACTGATGGGGGTTGTAGGCCAAAACAGCTGGAAGGCCATAAGTTGCCCACTCCTTGGTAAGTGTAACTAAGCATTGGATCCACATATAAGCTACTCTGGTGAAGTACAAGATGTGAGAAATATCTCCAGTACTGCATATATTTCCACTTTTAAAAAGAGTAACAGGCAGCCACAGGAAGGCCAAATTCCAGTATTACTTGTCTGAATTAAGTTTGGCTCATTTTATGCTGGCAGTTCATTCTTTACTGGCTGAGAATGTTGTTGCGAAAGATCAGAAAAAATGCAGGAAAATATGAAGAGGAATGTGCACAGTGCTTTGTCTGTGTGATATTGCATTTGTAAATATTTCAGGGTACTATCCAGTCAAACAGAAGGACTTTGTGACAGGAAAGATTTAAACACCTGCTTAACTCTTCAGTTGAAATTAATGGCACATGCAACAGCTTCATTTTGAACCTGATTGTCTTCTTTAGATGTTCACTCCTCCAGGAATGCTGCAGTTCCTTATTGGTTGCTGAGTCTGCTTGGTTCTGAGATGCACCCTGGGCTACTGTGCTAAAGATGGTTAATTTAGACATCCTTGCCAGGGAACTAAAACCATACAGTGTACATTTGCCATAAGCTGCCAGGGTCAAATGTACAGTCGGTGTTTGCATTGTGAGCAATTGTTATGGAACATACACATTCTCCAATAACCATTTGCAGAGCCCAAAGCATTCCACACACCTCAGTCTGTGTTTTCCTGAGCAGCATTCTTAAAAAGTCAAAAGATTCTACTTATTTGCCATTTATAACTGGCCATATAAATATATTATACTTCAGAACGTTCTTCTGATTACATACAGCTTAGATGTGGAATCTATATCTTTCCTCCTCCAGGTTCTGCAGCAAGGAAATGATAATTCTGGTAAATACTTATTTAGAAGTTGGTGGCACTACTCATTTCAGGCAGGGGAAGGAGGAACATTCTAACAAATATGTAGCTAGGTGAGTTAAATAACCTCATCCATTAAAATCAACAGACATTGCAGTCTTGTGCATGTTTATTCAGATGTAAGGTCCATTGTGTCAAGTAAGGTTTATTCTAAGGTGAATGTTTTCAGGATTATAACCAAAGGCTGTTATGGGACTCTCTACCACATGCTGGGCATCCCATTAGACAAAATGAGGCAGCTGCTACAGGTAGAACTTCCTGGGGGGCAAGTTTTTGGAGGGCAGAGCTGAGCTTCTACTCATTGCTCACCAAGATGACTGTGTGAGGAGCAGTGGAGGGGGAGTTGTACTTGAAACTGTATGGAGGGCCCTGATTTGAGGAGGGCTCACCTAGAAACTTTGCAACTGTTTCTTGGTAAAGCAGCAAACATCTTGATCCTAAGCCCTGTTTACCTGTCAGTAAGTGCCACTGATTTCTTTTGTGCTTTACTTTCAAGAACAGGAGCAAAACTTCAAAAGGAAAAGCCATAATATACACCAAATCTCCCGAGTTCTTCAACAGACAGGTTGATTATTTATTTCTTGTGTGTCCTTTAACAGAGGTAAGAGAAAGTGGGAAGAGGCAAATGCTCACCTGTTCAACAAGCTCTCCGGCTTACTAGTTAAAAAAGCTACAGATGATTCAGTGTTACTATAAGGGTGGCAGGGTGGACCTCTGGTAAGTTATATACCAGCTGGACTCCTGAAGCATCTTGGGGCACTGCTTGTATTCATCCCTGTTTCACATTTCAGTCCCCCATGCTGGGACAGAGCCCTTCCCTGTAAGGAAATTCAAGTCTGTATGACAGATCGTCTCCAGCATTGCTCAGTGAGTCATATTTACTGACCACAAGAAGGCATGTGCTGCAATGAAGAGGAGCAGCAAAACTCTTCCAGGTAACCAGCGCTGGGAGCTGTAAAGCAAATGAACTCTTGGTACTTCCAGGTACCACCCTGGGACCTTGGAAGGGCCCCCTGCAGGTGCAAGTCCTGTCCCACCTTTTAAACAATTTCCCCTGCACACATAGTACTG